AAATTATTGATTATATTTTTTTGTGCTTTTTTGTATATATTTTAACTGTTTGTTGAACACATAGACCATACGATAGATTTATGAAACCAACAGAAAATAAAATAATTAATTGGATAACAATGGGTGAGGGAAATCATAACTATCACCACACATTCCCTTGGGGTATGTCTATGTCTATGTCTATATTTATGACTATATTTATTAATACATTGTTTTTACAATGTTTACTGTAAATTATAAATAACTTAAATAAATATTATTTTTCATGATTACTATCATAGTAAAACTTATATAAGATATTTATATATTTATATAGATTAAAATTGTTTTACTGATTAATTTAGTATTACATTAATTGTTTTTTAAACTTTGGTATCTTGTATTATATTAAGCAAATTGTTTTATTTTGGTTAAAGACTATTCAAACAGTGAGAAGACGTGGTACGAGATCTTCAATCCGGCCACACTTTTCATTGACTTTTGCAAACTCATTGGTCTGGCCTATGACCTGAAAAAGCCGACTCAGGAGACCATCGATGCGGTGATTGAGCGCAAGGGTTTGCCGGAGTATTTTCGTGCAAACAAATCGCGACCGATGTGTTTGAAAGTGGTATTTGGTTTCATTGATTGGGTGATTGGCCTGTTATGTGCCAAATGGCCCGTTTGGAGTATTGCTATCATTAAAGTACTATTAGGAAATCGACTCATTGTTTTGGACAATACTTTCCTCGATGGTATTATTTAAGTATTGAAAAAGTCGTGTTTTTAATTGATAGTTCAAAAAATTATGTTTTTAATCATTATTTTTTATTTTTCTTATGTAATTTACCTTAATTTTGTATCTTTATTTGTATATTTCTATGTTTTATTTAGCATTAATGTTAATTTACTATTGTATGATATTATTTTACATAATTTTTAAAAAATAATATAAAAGTGTTTACTTTTTTTACTAATTAATTAAAATAAATTTTATTTTTACAGTTACAGTAGAAGCTGCAAAAAATAAGCAAATATTAAAATATAAATGTTTATTCAGAAATTAATTAAAATAATTTTTTATTTGTTATAAATTTATGATTGAAAGTACTGTATAAAAAAATATCAATATAAAATTAAAAAATATTATAATCAAATTTAATTAAAAATGTTGAAAAATATTTTTTTTAAATATAAATTATATGATATATAATTGAACTATAAATGCTTTTTAATTGAACTGATTATTTTTATTTTGTTTTAATATTCAATTTTGTTAAATAATAATAAAATAATAGATTAGACATAACATGTTATTATTATATTTGACATAAAAAATAAGTATTAGAAAAATTCTCCTTTATATTTCTTATTATATTAACAATTGTGTTGTTAACTATATAAATAAGGTTTAATTTTATATTTATATTATTATTTAATAAAATTGACAGTAATATCGTTTTAATTTTATGTTTTATGTATTATTAAAAATTAATAATACAGTAAATATAATATGATAAATATGATAGCAACTAATACTGTTAAAATGTAATATTGAAAATTATTTAGTTTTTTAAATGATTGCGCAAATATTATAAAATATCAATATATACAATAGAAAAACATATATTATTTAATTTCAATTTTTTATGTTTTGTCAATAAATAATAAATTGATATTTCGAAAATTTATAAAATTATTTACAATATATTAAGTTTATTCATAATACTGTATATTAATATATGTAAAATAAATAAAAATTTGCAAAATTTAATAATATAGTAATTAAGTTCAAATTATAAGTAACATTAATTAAAAACTTTAATAATTAATTTCATCTCAAACATATATCCCTGAATATTTCTGGAATAAATAGCATTTATTTTATATAATTTACAATATTATTAATAAAGATAAATAATTGAATTCAACAATAATTGATTATATTCAATGACTATACAGTAATGTTCATTGAATAGTCCTAAATAAATTTAATTATCAATTTTCTTTAGCATTATATAAAATTAACTATTTATAATGATACTGACTAATTGTATTATATTAAAAATATATATATTATGATAAAATTTAATTAAAAATATAATAAAAACTAATAAACAGTTTATTATTTACATGTTTTAGATACAGTAAATAGTCATTTGATATATTGAACATTTCAATGTCATCAAATGTAATATACTGTAATTTATATACAGTAATTGACAATATATAACAATTATAATAAATGATAATCAAATTCAGGTCATCAATAAAATTAATATTGTTAATTCAATTTTTAATTTAATATTTATAAACAGTATAATGATAAATCGCAAGTATAATAAATATAAACTTAAATAATTAGTCCCCCTATAAATAATAAGATTGTAAAATATTACACATATTGTTTAGTTTAATAATATTTGTTGTGTAAAGTTTTTTAACTAAATTTAAGCCACATTGAAAATCTTGACATGACCTTGTCTAATATTAATTTTTTGGACAGCCATATATGTTATATAATTAATTTTTAATTACACAACTTTTTATTTAAATATCAATAACATTTAATTTTATCATAAAATTAATATTATATCTATAACATAAAAATAAAAATATACAGTAAAAATAAGCACTAAATAACGCAGTTATGTATATTTTACATAAATAAAATTTATAATAATATCACAGTATATTTAAAGTTTATTATATGATATTAAAGAAAAATATTTTATAATGTATAACATATGCTTAAATTATTAAAGTAAAAATTGATTTTAAATTATAAACTTTTAATTTAATTGATAACTTAATGTCTGACAAAGTATATGTAAATTTAAAAAATATTTTAAACTTTTTATGTGAATATAAAAGTAGTAGTTATGTTATTGACAACAGATATTTACGGCATTTATATACAGTATATAAATATAATTTATATTAAAACCCACACCATATGTACTTAAATTTAATACAAAACAGAAGACAAACACATTATTATATAATTTTATTATTATTACTATAAAAATATATAAATATTATTATTTTTTAATGATAACTTATTGTATGTGTAAATTACAAATATTTTAGTTAAACATAGGAAATATAATAATAATTTTAATATTTGACACATATATGATGAATGATAATATATCTATTGTAAACACATTGTTGATATTAATTATAATAGAAATTGTCCTATTATAAAATAAACATTAAGTTCATTATTATATAAATAACATTATATAAATTAATGTATCATACATGTAATAACCAAATATTAAATATCTTGAATAATATTTATAAAATTATAAAAACATAAGCAACTAGTTTTATTCAAATTTTATCATTATCAAAGAATCATATAATAATTTGCATTTATAGAAATGTATACTCAAAAAAATGATTATTTTGATACAATAATCTCAGTCTACCGGTGCTTGAGTTTAAGTTTCTATGGCTATTACAAGTCGGAGAATAAGCTAAAATACATTTTGCTAATCGGTTATCAACTGATTGTCCACTTTTATATACTTGTATTGACAACACCGTGTCTTACCAGAAACATAATGTGTTTGTGGACAACAGTTCACACGGAATGGGCTAATCGGCAAATATTCATACATTTGATTAACCGTAATATTGTATGTCATATGTCGGGTATATTTTACGCTATACGTGGCCGATATTTTCGAGATTATATAACAACATTACGGGAAACACTTGAAGCACTTGATATGAAGGCGACAAAAGTTGACATAATTGTTGGAAATAAATTTACCGATCACCGGCGTCTAGTCTATTGGTTTGTATTTCTGGTAATACTGTACGATCTGGCCATTATGAGTACAACCTATAATATTGGGTACTTACCGATACCTTTGGTGCTGACATTGCAGACATTTTTGGCCGAACTATACAATCAGCCCATTGTTTTTGCTACCGATTTCTTTCTCGCATATTTTGTATTGTATATCAATGTCATACAGGAATCACTGGCCACACGACTCCGGCACATGCAGTCGAGTCGTACGGTTAATAGCGAATCGGACATTCGTCTCGTGAAACACCAGTATCTGAAAATACAGTCATTAATCGACGGTCTGTCGGATATGATATCGCCAATGGTGTTGATTATGTTGGCCTCAATATTCAGCGATACAATGATATCGTTTTACTTTTGTTGTAAATGTGTGGCCGCCGGTCGCATGTTCTCCACTTTAAACTCAATGGCAGCACTGGGAGGTCTTATCGTATTTATTGGCCGATTAGGTACCGTATGTTTTATGTGTGATCGCATACATAGACAGGTATTTTTATATAATCTTTGTTTTTTATATACATAATTGTTTTAATTTATATTATAAATTTGCAGAATAAATCAATAAAAAATCTTATTGATATGTTTGACACATTTCATACAATCAAATGCGATGTTATGGTAATAATTAAATTTATTATACTCTTAGTTATTCTAGATATACAGTACTTTATATAATGTATTATTGTTTATAATATTTTGTGTATTATATATTAAATTAATTTATTTGAATGATTTACTAACATTAATATTATATAAATATTTAAAAATTGTTTAGTTATTATCATTGCAACAAATCGTCAAAACAAATATGAGAAGTGTGACGGCCTCTGGATTTTTCCCGATTGGAAAATCACTTATTTTGACGGTATGTTTAAATATATATATATATAATTTCCTTATGCATTATATTGATTTATTTATCTGAATTTAATTTTTATTTAATAAAAAATATTAATAATTATCTTTAATTTATTGTTTATAGACATTAGGTCTAATTATCTCCTATGGAGTTATACTATTACAAAACGATACAAATGATGATGTTTTTAAAACAAATATTTATAACACTACTTATTAGAAGTATTAATATTAATATTAAGTTTTATCATTATTATAAGTTATGTAAACTTTAATGTGAAATTAGTACTGTATTATACAATAATATACAGAGAAAATTATTTTAATGACAATCAAATTGTCAATTAATTATATTTTGATGGTTTTTAATTGTATCGACTATCCAGTCAATAAATTTGGACACTCTAGTGGTCACCGATATCTCTTTGCCACATTTGCCATACATTTTTGTCGACCCTTTATGTATGCCTATCAGCACAGCCCTATTATTGACATATTGAATCAAAGGTGATCCAGAATCCCCCTATTATTTATAAATATATTATATTTATTATATTAGATATATTTATGTAAATTAAATTATTAAAGTTATATAAATAAAATTACTGTATATTTTATTATAATATTAATAGTTTTATAACTTAAAAATCTAAGTAATCAACAAAAGTGATCATACCTTACAAGTATGGCTGGTGTTTGAGGTAAGACACGCCATACCGTGTCTTGTAATATATGACTGGCACTGTCTGTCTGGCAATAATGTCATCTGTGATGTCATTAAACTACTGGCCCGAACACCCTTATGGTTGATCCGACCAAAACCTGAATAATATGCAATCTCCCGGTGCTTATTATCAATATTTTTTTCAGGCAAACAAATGTCATTATAATGATTTCTCTTCTTCTTTAACATCTTATTGTTATTAATCTTATTATAAGATTTTTGTTCATCACTTCCAATGTAAACCAGTGCCAAATCGTTAGGACCGGTCGGATCACTAAAGTTATACATAGGATGAATATAATAGGTCTGAGCCCTGTCGACATCACCCTTATTAATAAACACGGAACCGGTTCTTATATAAAATGTGTCGACTTTTCGGTGTTTTCTATATACAGTAGTGTATATTAAACCAAATAAAATGTTAATTAATTATAATTTATTATTTAAAAAAACAAGAAGATTTAGTGATAATAAATAGTATTACTATTAATAGTTTGCAGTTTGACATGTTATGCAAAGTAATCTAATAGTAACTTATTTTAGTTATAAAAAAACAAATTTGAGTGATAATGATAATGATAATGATTTCAATGATTTAAATTAAGTCAATTGATTTTGTTTTGATTTGTTTTTAAATCTCTAGCTTTTATTATACTGTAATATACATTATACTGTATAAGACTATTATATTTTTAATATATTTGTTTTGATAACTAATCTCTTATAGCTTTAAGATATAATATTAATATATTTAAGAACCATTAGATACAGAAAACAAAATACAATAATAAATATTAGAAAATTAATTAATTTACGATAAAATCAAAATTGTACCGTAAAACTATGCTACAAAAAAATCAATAAAATATAAATTATGACATTACAATATTTAAAAATATAAATACACTCTGTATCATAAATATAAATCTTTAAAATCAAAATCTTTAAATCTAAAAAATATAAGTGCTTTAAAAATTAAATATTTTGAAACAAATTTTAAACATTACAGAAAACAATGAGCCGCAGTGATAATCCAGTTCCCATTGAGTACCGTTCCCGAGCAAAAGTGTTGTTTTGTGCGATTATTTTGAAAGGACACAACCCATGGGAACTGACCCGGACTGACACTTTCGGCGCCCATAAGTTGGGCCAATTTTGAACCCCTTTTCCTGTTTCCCAGACATCCAAACAAACATTTTGTGTAAATATTGCCACAATTTTTGTTATCAATTATGCCATTATAAGTGCCAATCTTTGCATGCGATGAGTCAACAAAAGGGTTGGATATTAAAACTCGTAACCAAAAAAATTTTGAATAAATAAAATAAGTAAACAAATAATATACAATTATCAAATTAAGTTATGACAAAATAATTATTATGATTTTAACCGCAAATTCAAATAAAATGATGTCAAGTCTGTATATTATGTCAATAGAAAGAGTCTGACTTACCTAATGTTAACATCAAAATCATTGACAACAACATACTGTAGATATGTATAACATATTAATTTCAACTTAAGATATGATATAATTTTTTATTTAATCGCTTGATTGACGAATATTTAAAACATTTTTATCTTAAATTATTATACTTTATATAAATTATGGCATTTTATTAACATTAATACAAATGAATGAAAATCAAGGATTTACTAAAACTAATAATAAATTTTTCAAAAAATAATTTCAACCTTTATATGATTAAAAATAAACTAATAATGTAAGAATAATACTAATATTATTTTCAATAAATTTTAACACTTAAAACACTTAATAATTTTTATTTTATTTATTAAATGAATTAATCAAATTGATTGTTAAGAAAAATGACATTTTATAGATAAATTAATTCATAAAAAATAATAAACTTATTTAAAATAGTAAAGGTTTAGTAATTTTATAATTATTATTGTTTACATAATCTAATCATTTTTTAAGTAAAAGTGTATACATTTAAGTAAATACTGTAAATACAAAAATCAATGCAATTAGTATTTTATGTACAAAATAAAACTAATTTAATCATTAAAAAATATTAAAAATTATTAAAATTGGTAATCAATTATTAAAAAACATAAATAATATTTTAATAACTTATAAGTTTCAATTATAATTAAAAATTATTATCAAATAATTATATATTACGATAAATTTATAATATTTATGTTTAGATATATATATATGATTTACACATTTATTTTCTAAATCCAAGGCTTAATTTAATTAAAATGATAACTACTGTATGACTAACTAATTATGACATTTTAGTTTTCAAGTTTATATGTAAGTCAAACAATGAGATGTATAGTTATAATAGCTCTTTAAATATCAATTATTAATAAAATAAAATTAAAAATAAATATCAAATAAAAATGCTAAACTATTTATAATAAAAATAAAAAGCATTTAAATCGCAATATCAGATACAGTAAATCTAAAAATTTCAGTTTATTTTTAATATTAATTAATTATTTATCAATTTATTAATATTAATAAATAATGTTTTAGTTAAAACAAAATTATTTTTATATTTATCGCAAGAAAAATCAAACAGTTATTTGAAGATAAATGTCTTTTCAGAAATTAAAAATAATAATAATCAGACATAAAAATCTTTTTGTTGTTATAATTTATTTATTTTTTAAAAATAAAAATGATACAACTAATTATAAATAATTTTATCATGTTTATTTTTTCATATTACAAAACTTTGTGTTATTGAAAATCCTATATATATTTAACATTATTTAACATTTAAAAAATAAAATATAAATATTTTGTAAAAATTATTTTTAAAATATTAAATAATTAGATCTAAAAAGCTCCTGTTCCACGAGCACTGGGCTGATTGTTTGGCATACTGTGCAGCATATTTAGATCGATTGATTAGCTTATAGTCCCAATCAATTTTGTTGGACAAGTAATCGTCAAGTCGGGTGCTATTATTGCTTGACATTACAGTTATGTCAAAATCATTTCCATTGCTTTATAATTAAAAAAAAAACAATAAAATTGGATATAAAATTTATATAACTATTTATATAGTTTAAATGATAATAAATAAACATTATGTATAACATACCTCCAGCTTTCTTCTAACTGTTCAATGCCAGTGATGGACATAATTGTGGTCAATGTAAAACTGGACAGACATACATTGAAATCTTCTATACGAGGATAATACACCAGCCATGCTATACACTGTACCTTATCATCAGATATGCCGCCCTATTATTGAAGTTATTAATTGTACACATATTTATTTTTTAAAAATGTCATATTTGTAAAACATAAAATAATAGTTTAACAATATTTACTATTAAAAATATGATAGTATTATTTGGTGTTGTAATTATCTATGCTCTTATCATATTATATACCAGTATAAAATTATTTAATAACTATATTAGACTTTAATAATAAATCAAATTTATAGTAATTATGAATACATTAATGAATATTAAAATGCTATATTTATTTAAAAAGTAGTTCTATTATATTTGTATATAAATATACTATATATATAAAGAAAAACATTTGATAAATGATTTTTACCTATAGATAATTGAATTATAATTTTAGGGCATCAATTTAAATTTAGATAAAATTGCTATTATTATTAGCCCTGCAGTAAATTTAATTTATTATTTATAAATTTAGACTAAATGATATATAAGTAATTTATAACATTATAATTAACTAGATGTTGCAGCTTAATTGCTTTTTAAAAAATAACAAAATACATAATAAATTATTTAGATTTAATACTTTAGCATAATTGGTATACTAAACACATTTACATGTATAAAAACTTAACTAATACTATAAATAATGTTAGTATTATTTATTTCATATACATGTATTAAATATTTAAGTATTAATAATTGAAAGTGTCATTTTATAACATTTATCTATAATCAAAATATTCTAACAAATTATATCATTTTATAAGATTAGTTAAGCAACAAAAATAATAAACAAAAAATACTATACAAACCAATACAGTATGTGTTTCATTGACTGAATTAAATTCACATTTAACTATCAGTTTATCGTTGTTTTCAAAGTTTACATTGAGTTCATTATAACCATTAGTCAATTGATTATCATCTACCGGTGCACTGCTACCGGCTGATGATTTAATCAATGTTTTAATCATTTGTTTATTGTTATGATTATTACCGACTCCAACATTCAAATCTTTAAGCAACCGGTGCCTCGAGTGGTGTACTATACCCAACACATTCAACGACTGGTCATACAAGTGCTAAATAATTATTGAAAATATAAATCAATTAATTTTTTTTTCTAAAAATCAGAATTAATTTGTTTGTTGTTAATTGATATACATTTTGTATGCAATCCTTATAACAATTTCCAGTAGTCATCCAATGTCTGAGTTTTGGTGGTACAAAAAATCTGTAATCGGGTACTGACCCGATGGCCACTATATCGGCGTCGATGTCACCGTTTTGTTGCTTTAAATAAAGATCAAAACCAGTGGTATCACTGAATTGACTTTTGATTTGATGCAAATTCTTGTAATTTATTTCAAATAACAAATATTTTTCATCTGAATTTTGGCCATTTATAGGAATTCCCATATTTTCCGGTAACGATAGTATAGTCTTATTAGTACTATCATCCGGTGCCCAGTAGGCCAACAATTTCCAGCACCGGTGCAATTCATTATAGTGATCAGCTATGACGCGATCGGGCATCCAGTTCTTGTCCGGTTCGGTGATATTATTATTATTATTATTTTCATCACTAGTATATGATTTGACACAACGAAACAAATAAATATTTTTGATATATTTAACAGTTTTTACATTAATAACAGCTTTTATCTATTTTTCAAAATAGTAGAGCATATAATTACACATTTTTAGTTAATTATATCAATTAATTATATTTGTGAAAAAATAACTATTACTTTAGATATTTGTCTTTTATGTTGAAAAGGTATCGTAATTAGTCGTCTCCACGTATAAGTGTAGGTTTTATAAGGGATGTATAGCTTTTAATAATAATTAAATCAGTTTTTACATAAAAATAATACATGAATTATTATTAATATGATATTTATAATGATTTTATTTCTACCACAATATCTTACATTTCTAGTACCAATATTCCAGATTTCAAAATCATATTTGGGATCAAATTCAATGTCATGAATAGTATCATCCATTGAATCAACAAACAGTGGCACACAATAGACAATATAAAAATTATATAACACTAATGTAATAAGTGATATGATATTCATAATTTTATCATTAGTTTAATAGAAAACAAAAATTCCCAACAATTTTTCAAATGATTATAAATCTATATATAAATATTACATTTATTATATTAATAATAGTATCACAGATATAATACTAAATGAGTCGTCGAAACATTTATTTGTGTCATAATATGAAAAATTTTAAAAACAACTAATTTTTTGTACTTAATATTATACCGGTATAATATGTGTGTAAATTGTAATGAAGATTTAACTATAATTTACTATAGTTTTTTGAAGTTAAAAAAAGTTGTTTCATAAAAAAAATCTAATCTACATTATTAAACCTGTTATATCATAACTAATACAGTATGTTTGTTTATGTGTGTTATTATAGCACACATACATATTGAGTCAATTGACTACATTTTCATCTTTTTAAAAAATAAGTGCTTTTAGATAACATAAGTACTGTACTGTACATACATAAGCGAGAAACTGTGATATCCAGAGTTTATTATTATTTTTTTTGTTAAAAAAACTCATTCCCTATAAATCATGTCAAGTTTAGGAGAATAATACTCTATACTATAGTAACTTTATTAATAGTTTTTTTTAAAATAATTTTATTATCATCCCATACCTACTGTAGTAATACATAGACACACTAATGTTATTATGTTTTTATGTAAATGTCATTATTTTTAAGTATTTATTTCGAGAGGATAGAGAGCTCATACTGACATTTGTGGGCAGTTATGTTTTATTTTCTAAGGGCTATACCTACATACAGGTATTAACATATAGGTTATGTACTGTATAATACAATAACTTATAATTTCAACAATTTTTTTAGGTGTTTGCCTCATCTTATAAGTTCCGTTTGTATAAATTAATACTTAATTTAAATGTTTTATATATAAATGATTGATTGTACTATAAAAACAATAACTGTTGTGAATAATTATATTTTGTTTAAATAACAAAACATAACAAATTTAAATATAAACTTTAATAGTTTTATTAAATATATATTGTATTTAACACATTAAACTTTAAAATAAATTGACTAAAATAATTAGATTTATTAGAAAATTTCAAATATTATGATAATTTAATCTAAAAATTTGTTTAATTATAACAAATTTACAAAAAGTTCATTTGTACTAAACTTTTTTGATTGTGTTAGACTTATTTTTGTTGTTGTTGATTATATTAGACTTATTTATTTTTGATTAATGTATAATTTTATATTTTAATAATAATTATGATTTATAATATACAGTAATTGTTACCATATTTACTATACTCTGTGTACAGTATGTATGATAATCATAAAACTAGAAAAAAGAAACACAAAAGTAATGATTGGTTTGTTTCGTGAGAAAGACAAACATATTTAAACAATGACTGGTATTGACAGACATCCCATACATCTCCTTCAATGGAGACGACATTTCTCAGAAAATGTATCTTAATTTATAGGACTAACGAAAGTGCACTTTTCTATACTATTTTTGAACACTTAATTTAACACTACTTTTCAAGTCAATAGTGCGAACACTAATTAAAGCAATCATAAGTAATTAGCCGTCGATTATCTCACAAAAAAAGCAATTGATTTGTTCGTCAACTAATAAAATGCAGAAAAATAAGAAACAAAAGAGGAAATCGACATTTGAATAGACATTTCATTTGAAAAAAAAGTTTCAAATTATTATATTTTAAATTAAACTTTAAATGCTTAATGATTACTTAAAATCGACAATTACTTAATAGTAGTGCGCTTGAGGACAGTCTTGTTGCTGGGGTAGGTGTGTGCGGTCAGTCTAGCATAAAAGCACTGTTATGTACTGTATATAAAATGTTGCACATCATTAGTGAAAAAGATTTAATATTGAAAATATAAAAATTTATTATTTTTATTTAAGTTTCATAAATAAAATATTTACATAAACAATAAAACAATGTTTGTTACTATTAGTTATATGAAATTATGTAAGTTATATAATAGTTAAAAAATATTTAATAATAAAATATAATAATGAAAATAATTTTAAAATATTTGAATTTACAAATCCAGTTGTACTGACTTTTGTATGGGTGGCATACGTCCGGTGCGAATGCGAGATCTCTATGGAGGCCGCAGACAAATGCGGTAAATATCATATTTATAAGATTGTCTCTCAATTTTAATCGTAATAATAAATTAATAATCAAAACAAATATTTTTATGATATGATACATATAAATATAGGAATGAAAATGATGTTATTTGGCAATCGTGAGGCAACGGCGCCCACCAATGATGCACAACTCGATAACTTTTGCGGGTAATTCATTACATAGATATATATACCTTAAAATAATTTCATTTACATTACTAACAAATAATATGTTGTGTCCGTTAATTTAATATTTAATATTTCACACACTCTTAAATAAATGTATATAATTGGAGATAATTTTAATCGATTTGCGAAATATTGTCTTCAATTGATTACATTTGATTAAGACTGCTGTCGTGTCGTCCATTAATTGTCGCAAAAAATAAATGTAAAACAATATCATCTTTGATTTAATAGTCATTTATAAAGATATATATATATATATATATATATTAATTAATCCAATAGTCAGGCCCGTACTAATATGAAATGTGTCAGCGATTTCAACGATCTGTGCTTAAAGGGAAATGTACAAATGGCTATTAAGATTGCACTAAACAATGGCAAAAAATATATGGATAAGCGATGCAACAATCCTAAGGATAGATCGGATTTCATGAAACACGTCCAGTGTTTGTCACCGAAAGAAAAGATGGAACCGTTTCACGTATGCGCCGATAAACACCTGGTTATGCTCAGCAAACTCAGGGATGTGACCAAAGAGGATCGCGTTCCCACCCTATGCTGTATAACACATCTATCTCAGGATTGCCTACGAAAACAATTTCAGTCGACTTGCGGTGAAGACACCGCCAACTATTGGGACGACTCATGGAATGAATTGGTATGTAATGTCACACAACAATTGTGGTCATCATTAATGATCGGGTATTATATACTGTATATACTATAGGTTGAAGAGAACATGTCGTTTGCCTGTTCTAACTATGACTCTATAGCCAAGTGTGAGAGTGATCTGAATCCGACTGCTTTGAAGACAATCAAAGACGTGATCGCCACGGATGACGCAGCAGTCTTAGCTCAAAGACATAAATTCAAGTCTGAAATCTCAACAGCTGTCGAATTGATGGAGTTTTTTGATTAAAATTTTGAAAATTATATTTATATTCAATTCAAAAATAATTGTTTTAATTACTTTTTATAATTAATAATCTTAAAATAATTTTGACAAACAAAATGTTATTATTTAGTTCTAAATAATCAACTTTTTATTTTTGTTATTATTTTTGTTAATCATTAGATTTTAATGCATTTAAAAAAAATTGATTTACTATTGTTTTTTTAAAGTTAAACTTTTGTTGTTATTAATTTGATAAAAAAAATAAAAAATAAATTTTAAAAAAATATTAATTATGCATTTACATTTTAAATATATTAATTTTTAGTATTTTATACAATCAAATTATAAAATTCAAGGTTTATTTTATCTAAAATAATTTTATCATCATGCAAACTCAATATTAAATTGTCTATTATATTATGCATTAATTTTAGTACAGTATTTTTAATTTAATTAAAAAGTATTAAAAATAATGTTTTATTTATCTAAAGCAATGGTGCTTTCAATTATATATAGTTATATATTATAAAATTTATTGATTTTAATTACTAATCAAATTATATTTTACTATTATTCTCAATTGTTTAAAAAAAATATTTTTTAAAGTTATTTTACTTATTTGAATTAAAAACTTTATTACAACTTTAGTATATACAATATTATATAAATTATATTAATACCGGTATATTTATAGTTTTCAAAATAAGATGATCTAAACATATATTGAGTAAATGTTTATTAAAGCGTTTTATTTATATGCGAAAGTTTAATAACAAAAACTTATTATATTTTCAATATGAAAAAATCATTAACTATTAATTTGATTTTGATTATTACTTTTACTTCAAAACAAATTGCAGTGAAGCATAAAATTTGAATAATATATATATACACACATATATATAATGCACATCAAAAAATATAAAATTATTTTTTGTTTGAATTTAATTTGAAATAAAAAATTACTTTATTAAATATTAATTATTAACTGAAAAATAATAAATTAATCAAATATGTATTGTAAAAAAATAAGTTTTTGTAAGTTTTAACAAATTTATAAATGTATTCTATTTAATGATTAATAAAAATAAAATTTTACTTTTTTAGTTGTATTAATCATAAGTGTTACTTATGTTAGATCTGGTTGTGATCTAAAAGAAGCCGATATGTGTGGTAATTAACTTAACATTATATTTAAAGTTTAGAAATTTTATTGTAAATTATTAAAAATATATCTACAAAAATAAATAAATCTACTAAAATAGGAAAATTAATTATTATAAACTTTAATTTAACTATTAATAATTAATACAAACTTTCTAACTCCAGGTATGAAAGGTTCATTTTTTGGCAATCGTGATGTAATGGTGCCCACTAATGACCAGGAACTGGATCAACATTGCACGTTTGTATTTTTTTAAATTAATATTTTCAAATAAATTATTAATTACTGTCCTTACAATATATATATGAAATATATGATTACTGTATGTATAGTACAATACGCGAAAGTCTCAAATGTCTTCAGGGCTTTACCAACGACTGTCTCAAAGGGTTTGTACAGACGGCCATTAAAATGGCGACTGGAAATGCAGACAAACATTTGTCCAAACGGTGTGACATCAAAAAGGACAGGGATGAGTTTCTCACAAATGCCAAGTGTCTGACAAATAAAGACAATATGGAACCATTTCATGTCTGTGCTGAGAAAAACTCTGTAATGATGGAGAAGTTAGTAGACGTGGCTCTTGAGGACCGAATACCTGCCGGTTGTTGTATATTTCACTCATTCCAGGACTGCATCCGAACTAATATGGAAAAGATTTGCGGCGACACCTCCCGTGACTACTGGGATGAAGTCATCAATGATATTGTATTAGACATTATAAAAATTAGATAATTACAGTATAATCCTCTAAACTAATACACATTTATTTGTTGTTAAGGCTGAAGATTCCGTGTCCTATACCTGTTCAGGTTTAGAGTCAGTAGACAAATGCGAAAAATCTTTAAATCCAAAAGTATGGAATGATCTGAAAGAAGTGGCCGCTATTAATGACGCCAAAGAGTTGGCCGCTAAACATAAGTATAGCTCCGGGTTTGCGCTGACCATAGAATTGCTTAAAAACATTGGAAATGAATAAAAAATAATAATAATAATAAAAATATCTTATAATATTATATCAAAATAAATACTAAAAATTATAATGTATTTTTTATTAATCAGTTAATACCAAATTAAATAGTTAAAAAGTTTCTGTATATCTTGATATGCAATATTGATACATAAAATATATAATTATGCATTATATTGTATTTTATTTATATTATTTTTTTGTTAATATATTGAATAGTAAATTTTAAATAAATATTAAAGTAAACAAGTATATAATTATTCAATTAAATGTTAAAAAAGTAAACAGTAATTATTCATTAAATATAGTTACATAAAGTGAATTATAAAAGTAAATAAATTTTTAAATTCAATGAATTTTAAATATTTTAAATTATACAATACATTAGTTTTTGAATAATTCATTGACAATAAATTTATTTCATAGTTATAGTGCTTTACTTGTCATAGGAAAATGTTACCGAACGACCCGATCGGGTCAATAGTGGAGAATTTCGGGGACTATTGCTATCTTTAAGTATACTTCGGGGCGAATCAGGACATCGAGTCAATGGCGACGGCGTAAATGGTTTGGTGATCACACCGACGTTGGTCTTAATATTGGATTCATTACTCATTATTGAGTCCAACGACAAACTGGTCAACACTTTGCTAATCGGTTTTCGGACGCCAGTATTTTTCTCGTAGATCGGTTGTCCAATAGTTCTTTCGCAGTCACGTATATAAGTGACCGCGTCGTGCACTGACTTATAAACCCGATCGGAGGACACTTCGCTAAAAAACTCTTCATTTTTCAGTGTGGCCTCAATATGAACGGGACAACCGCTTAACGAAACAAGAATATCAATGTCGGCGTGATTTTGAATAATCTTCTTCAAAGTGGTCACACCGGCTGAATCAATGTATGATAGCATAGAACAGTCAACAATGATATACTTCGGCAGATTTGGTTTCCTCTCGAGGACTAACTCTTTGGTTATTTTACTGGTCTTTGTATCGCGAAATGGAAAACAACTGTTTCTCGGTGTCATCGCTTTCAGCTCCTCTTTGATCAGACTATTCATAAAAATTTTTAAAATATAATGATTACAACAAAAACTGTATCAAATCTTACGTGACATCGACGCCACTTCTAATCTGTAACTCTTTTTTAAAGTACTGAATATTAGCGAAATTAAGTGGACCGCAAAACTGGTAGATTTTGACGCCATCCAACTCACGAGCCCTCTTGAACTTACTGATTGGCACATATATGTCGGAATAATCTATTGATCCCAACGAATATGTTTTCGGTCGTTGAGATTTGTATATCAATAGCAATAGCGAACACCCGAAGCCCAGGTATATGCCGTAATCAAAGTTCATTATGACTACACCCAGAAATGTAATCATCCAAATGCTCTAAAAATATAATTATATATTATAAATAATTTAAGATATATACGTATTATAATTTATATTATGTTTAATTATTGTGTAAATTTATATATAATGTTGTTAACTATAACTAAAATATTGTTTATTCACAATTAAGATTTTAATAACTTTAGTATTTTGTTATGTAAGATAATAATTTATTCATTCAATTTTATAGTTTTTTATATACTTATCTATGAGTTGTAGTAATAAATTTTAGTCTCATTATATTTATTAATGAATTTTAAGTATAATGATATGAATAAAAATATTTATATTTATATAAATCTATGTACTGTTTATGATTTATAAAATTAAAGTATTTTGTTTTAATATAATATTATATGTAATATTGAATTAAAATATTTTTATAATAACTTATTGATTAGATAATGACATACGGCATCCAATTTAGATAATTTCCAATAACTCCAAAACTCTTGAAATTTGGCAAATATTGAGGCTAAGGCACAGGCTATACATGAGGCCAATACACACTGGGTTTTAAGTAATTATTAATTAGTCATTTAACTAAATTCAAGTTTATTTATATTATATTTATCAAAATTATTACTTACTTTTGGCAAATCAGACATAAGTGTGCTCAACACTAATATGACAATCATTATACAAATACAGTTGATTATGCTAACAATCTTTATGATAATAGCAATAAAATATATTTAATATTTATTATCTGTTATCAAATAAATTGGAAATTTGAAAAAATAAAAATACCTGTGTTTTACCACCACCTCCTTCCTGTACTGAGGAACGGGGTATTGAAGCGCACGATGCGAGACAAGCAAAAAACGACGACCATATGTTGGTAACACCCAATGCTATCATTTCTTGGTTAGAGTCAACTTTGTAGTTGTGTTTTGCACCATAAATTTGGCCAACAGATAGGGTCAATATGTAAGACACTACTGCCACTGGTATACATCGGGACCACATATATTTAAAAAGCTTAAACTTGGGAACCGATGGACTCTGGAAACTATATTACATCAAAGATTTATAACATTATTCTATTAATACATTTTATTATATAAATAAATATATAACTGTACTAATCAGGTATGGGGCCAACGATGTCGATTTGGTATTCCTGTTTCAAGTTCATAGCCCACGATATTAAACAACCGCCAATTATAATGAACAGGTGTATAGGTAACGGTAGTTTAAGACCCATACGCTGAACTAATCGCTCGACTACCAGTTTGAAGAAAAGTAAAAGCGATACACATATTATTGATATGACAACAGCTGTAAGATTGGTGTCTCTGATCTTCTCGAAGTATTCAATGTAAACTTTGGGAAGCGCTAGCATTCCGGTGTAGTTATTGAGATGTACTCCCGTTAGATACCTGATCTGTGTAGTGAAGATATGTAGTGCAGCCGAAGTCATAAAACCGCTCACAAAATGGGCGGACAAAAAGTTACTAATAAATCCCAACCGAAAGATACCGAATATCAGTATATATAAGCCAATAATCATTGATATCATAACTGCAATATCGATAACCTTTATATCTTTATAGCCTTCCAGTGCCTGAGTTGAGTCGTTGTTTACGAGATCTATTTTCAAGTCATCACAAACTTCTACTATAGTTGTTCCGGTCATCAAACCGGCCACTATGGCCACCGGACCGACAGCACTGTGGTGTGATGTGCCTAATATGGTATACATGAGAGCCGGGAAAAAAGCAGTATAAAGACCATAAATAGGGTTTACATTGGCTATTAACGCATATCCCATACCTTAAAACAGATATACCGTATATAAAAGTATAAATTTTATTACAAAATATATTTTTATAATAATTACTTTGCGGCACTTGAAACGATGCAATAGTTATGCCGACCACTATATCAGCAATAAGACATTCACGGATGTTATACGCCGGTAGCCATCGTGTAATCGGTATGAATGTCTTAATTCGTTTAATCCAAGCGGTATGACTGACGTCGGGTACAAATCGACTAACCTTTTCTCGAGTTGTCTTTTTTGTTTCATTTGGTATATAATTGCGATTAAATTCACTGACATTATAGACGGGACGAGTGATACTAAATGAAGGCGACGGAGGGTTTGTTTCAATAAGGATCTGTTGTGAGTTTTTCATCAACAGTGTCGCCGCGTTTAGATTTTGCATATATTTATGATCAACTGTCGGTGAATTGGGTACTGAATTGGATCCACCGCTTAGCGATGGCAAAGATAACGATTGTTTTAATTTATTTTTCATTGAATTATTATTAAGTTTTGTATCATTATTTAATTTATTAATATTATTCAATATTAAACCATTATCACTTTCATCGCTTGAATAATCAGTAATATTAAGATTGTAATCCTTATTGCTATTTGAATCCATTGTCATCTCTTGTAATATGTGACTATCATTTGGCTAAAAAAAACTTTTTGTAATAAATACTTATTATATACTAAATATCACTAAAATTATAAACTTAAAATCTTGTTTTCATGTGATTTTATAGTTTTTACTTATCATTTTACTATTGAAATAATTAATAATACTGTATATTTTTATTAGACTAATATCTCAAAAATTTATAATCGGTCATAAAATCTTGAACTTCATATAATATTAATATATTTGGTAATTATATGTTTACTATTAAAGTAATAATTGTAATAATTAAATTAATAATGAATTTATTTTTTATAAACAATAATGTATTTTGTATATTATTGTATTAAATTTTAGCTAAATTTTAGATTGTCCAGGTAGAAGATTATACAAACTAGGAAATGTAATTTAATTTAAAGAGATTATATAATTTTTTATTATTAATGATTAACAATAATGTTATCGCAATTAAAAGCAATGATTATGATTTTTTGACTAATTTAAGCACATTATATATTTGTTTTATTACTTATTAAATGATTAAATTATCAAAAATGCAATTTATTTGACTATTTTGTATAATAAATGCTGATTTCTGTCTATTAATAGATAAGTAATATAATAATACTTATAAAAAATATTTATTTTCTATTTGGTTCATAAAAATGTAATTTTTAAAAAGTTTATCTTATATGATAATAATTTATTGTTTTTTATATTACCTTAATTTAATTAATGGTATATTTTAGTTTAATTATATTCTCATAAACTGTAAAATACTACTTTTTTATATAATTTAGTTTTAATCAATATTACATTTAGTAAAAAAATTGCATTACTGTATAACATAATACTGTAATTGTATAATCAAAACAATAGTATAAAAATAAGTAATAATATTTATTACTTCATTTTAACTATATAATACTGTATATTTAATATTATAAATATTTTATAAAAACTTAATGTATCTATTATATTGAATGCAATCCGGGTATAATTATAAAAAACTATGAATTGACATACTGTAGAATAATAATTTTTATCAAAACATTTATATAATTAGCAATTTATTTGTTTTTACTGCTTTTTAAAATTAAAAGATATTATTTATTATCTTATTTATTATATTGATATTAATAACTTGTTATTACAGTATAAACAACTATTGGTGCCGAAAATTAGTAATGCATGTCATTGAATTAGTTTTACATTTTACATATAGTATTAACAATATAGCAATTTTAATAAATATTATACTCTATAATACAGTAGACTATAAATATTAATTAGAATTTTTTAGAATTCCTGGAATCAAATAATTAATAATTGATTTAAAATTGATTACTTATAGTTGATTTTAATTTTTATAATTAAATATATAAAATATGTCAAAAACATTAGCATCAGTTTAAATAACTATTTATAAAAATATTTCGAAAATATTTTTTATAGGAAGGTTTCAGATAAATTTGTCATAAGATATATGTTTATAACATTTAAAATCTTTATATATGTTTAATAATTATATCATTAAACATTACTACCAATTATGATACTTATTAATATAATGTATCGTATGATATGTTAAAGATTTATTAGTAGTGTTTATTGTTTTTACACAATCTTGTATTTATTGCTGACTATTATATATTAAAATATCAAATAAAGTAAATTATAATTAAATTTCATTCATAAAATACATAAAAATAGTATAACTTGTTTCTAAATCAGTAGAGAAATGATTAGTAGTTTGTAAAAATAACAATACATATTATAAAGTTATATTATTTAAATTTTTTATTTTGATAATAATTTTTTTATAATAATAATAATAATAATAATAATTGATGCATCTATTACTCAAAATTATATTTTAATAGTTATAAAATACTTTATTTTCTAAATATTATAATATAATAGCTTTACTAAAAATTTTTGAAGTAAAATAATAATATTACATTTGTTTAAAATACATACAATACTTTTATTATACAATATTTGACTAGTTATATGTATAGTGTTATAAGTAAATTTTAAAAAATATTAATATAATGCTAATAAAAAAAATATAAATTTATAAGTATATAAGCATATATTAAAATGTAAACTAAAATATGAAATATTCTACTCTTAAGTAGACATAATTCTTATTATTTTCTAACTTATATATTAATATATTATATATAAATATATTTTTATTTTAATAAAATACAATAATATAATTAAAGATATTACTGTATATTTTATATTTAGTTAAAATATAATATTATTTACAATAACTTTAAAATAACTACTATTTTCTAATTTAAACTTTATATATATATAAACTAATTTATATATTTTTTCATTTATATAATTTAAAAATATTACAAACTTTTGTAAGGATATATAAGTATAATAATCTGAATATATTGTAGTTTCCCGGATAACGGTTTTTGTATTAAAATAACAATTGTTTGGCAAAGACTTATCAATAGTTTGTAAATTAACACACTTTACTATGTCTTCATCATATAAAATATGTTACTATTGTTTGCCATTATTATTATTCAGGCATTGATTATCATTGGCCCAGAAGTATGTAATGCCATTCGTGTGAACAGCTATTGTGGTGATCCCGGACTACCAGCCGATGCCAGTCTGTATAATGTTAATGTCGGAAGAATCCGATTCACCGACGGTGAAGTCGTCAGATACCGATGTCCACCAGAATTTCACACATTTAGTCAAACGAGACAATGTGTGTCCGGCAGATGGGTCGGTGAGAGAGCCCGTTGCGGTCAGTAGTGAAATCTATTTTGTTTGAATCTATTAGTTTAATACAACAATTATTAATTATTTTTATAAATAAAAAGGTGTTTCTATTGAAATTAATGTAAAATCAGTGCAAGTATTTGATTGTAATGTCGCTTCAGTTAACACAACAAACCACACCAACAAAGAAATACTAAATTTAGTGGTCAATCAAACGGAAAACCCTTTATTGTTTGCCAACTCGTTTCACGCGAGTCGGCTCATGACCGGACCAATCACTGTTAACGGATCAACTTGTTATTTATGGAAATTTACATTAAACAAGCCAACAATGATACCGTTCCTTACCATAGACTTTGCTACTCAATTGAACACTGAAGACACTATCAATAACTCTTTTATTGAACTAAACACCACTTCATTACAAAAAGATATCATAACTGTAGAGCCGTTTGTTAGTCCATATAGAGTATGCCGATCACTGCATAAGTTAGACCTAATTAATGGCGATCCCGTAACCAATGAAACGTTTTTATTGAACGGTTATTATTACCGGTGCGATAGTATCGGCGAAGATGAGTACAACATTGAGTCTAAGAAAGTGTCGCAAACATTGTTGGTTGAAACCCGTACTAACCGTCAGCGAGATATACATTTAGTCGCCCTGTTTTTGGCCTCTCATAAAACCGATTCGAGAACGGGTCGACCACTTTGTGGTAAACCCGAAACTGTAACCACTGGTGTCAACTTTAGAGAATCAAATTTAGGTAATAATTTTAAATAAGTATAATATATATATATATATTTTTTATTTATAATAAAATTTCAATAATATAGGCATTCCTCAGTTTCAATTTCAATGTAATGATTCATTTATTGATGTAACACCAAATAAACCTAACAAAGCCAAGTCTGAACACTGGTATTCAGTAAACTGTACAGTGAATGGTCTCTGGGAGGGACAGTTCCCGCAGTGTATACCTAAAGTCGAATGTCCGGGAATTTCTTATTTACAAGAAACTAAAGATCCGAGTGTAACGATTGAGACAATTGAAAACGTCTTTTTTATAAATAAGACCAATTGGGTGGCCAGTGAGCACAGTCAGGTAAACTATGCTTGTGTTGATACAGAGCATATTGTTGTGGGAAAGTTGTCCAGGACTTGCTTGAAAAGTGGTGAATGGAGTCTAAATATACCAAAATGTTCGGCATATCTTAAACCAGGTATTCATAAACTTGTCTACTCTTTTATCAGATATAAGTTACTTAAACCCAAAATTTATTAATTTTATTGTTTATATTAACAGAATCTCTGAGTCCAGTAGCTCAGTATCCGTGGACAGTGATAGCCATATTAATAATAGTATTAATGATATTCTTGTCGCTGGTCTTTATCATTGTCCGCAAATATGTGTCAAATATGCGCAAAGAGCTGCTTAGATATCGAAATAAGTCGCGTCGACACAAACAGTCGGCGTCGGTATATACCGATGTCAGGAGCAATAGTATAAGCATTATCTATGACGACTGTGCATCCAGTCCTACGTTTAGCAAAAGCTATGGCAATCGGATGAATAGGTCGACAAAAAAGAGTCATAAATACAAATATGATGCCGAATATATTGAATTGGAAGGAAACTCCTTTTCCACTATCAGTTCCAGTGAACCCTTGTATATACCGATTTTACCATCAAATTAATATATTAATTTCATCAATTTAATTATAATCCATGTTATCATTTAATTCAACAAACAAATATCTAATAACACAATTGTTATATTGTATTAAATTTAAAAATAAATTTCATATACATAAAGAGCAAAATTAAAATACTGATTTCTTAATTTATATTTTCATATATTTACAAAATATTACATATATTTACACTATTAATTTTTGTATATTAAACAAAAATAAAAGTTTTTTTTTCAATAAATCAAGTAATTATTATTTATTTTGATAGTATTTATACTGTTTTTTGGTACTGTATAATGCAGTTTGTATTATATGAAATAATATAAATTATAGATTTCCTGTTATGTAAATATTAATAATTATAATATATATTGAATATTACAATCTAAGCATTATATTAAAACATTAATCAAATTAAAAACGCATTTATAAGCATATATTTATAATAATTTATTTTTATTCATCGGTTCTTTAAGGAAAAGATCTTTTGTTTTTGACATTTAAGCAAATTTTAAGCACCAAATCTTTTTTATCTTATTTATTATAAATAAATTAAATAAAAACAATACAACTCTTTTACTTTAAGGGTTTGATTTTAAATCTCTGCTATACTTATAAAATCTTATGACGCGGATGAATGAAATGAGGAGAGAGAGAGAGAGAGAGAGAGAGAGAGAGAGAGAGAGAGAGATGATATTAGGGATGGTATCTATTAATAGATATCCCATCCCATCATCCCATTCACAGTTTACAAACAGCTCTATAGCCAACATATGTGAGTGATATTATGAAAACCCTGTCTAAACAGTGATGTCTGTGCGATAATAATCAGAGTTTGAGTCTTCAAACAATTATTTTTGTTGTTTCACTCAATAGCTAACCTATGTATGTATTACAACCTCTGTATATATTTAATATTAAACAGAGACTGACTTATTATTAAAAGGACTTTTTTAATACTCTATTGTATTATTTCTCTACTAAAGTGATTGTTTGGCTAAAAATAAAGTTATTAAACACACATTTTCTTTTTTAAATTGTTTTTATTTATTTAACTCATTCATTAGTTCTCACTTAAATGTGTGGAAAAATGTGGTTAAAATTTCAGTATTTTTTGAAAACATAAATCTTATGTTTATTTATTTACATTTTGATGTGATTAGCCAGAAATTTGCAGCAAAAAATACTGCAAAATAATTGTTTCGTATTTTTAAGTTAAACTAAAATAATATTATGTAATTTTTTACAAAAAAAATATATGAATTTACATTTACATTTATTCAATAGTGTTGTACTGATGTTATTTTAAAAATATTATTTTTAAATATATAAATAAATGTGTTCGTGATTTAAGTCATGTATGTAATGACAGTAAATGTAAAGTTTTATAAAAATTTTCATTTAAAATTGAGTGAAACAAAAATCAATTGAAAAATTTATTGAATCTCTTTTTTGAACAGGTATTTGAAGGCTTATATCATATTTGTAATACAGAGACAGTGAGGCTGTGTATAAAAAAATTAGTTTTTTCTGATTAATCAAACAATATGTAACATTATATAAATGATTAAAACCAATCCATACCTGTTTCAAGTCTACACCTTTATCTGACTGTACTTTTATATATCAATATATTCATGTATATGATTTAATTAACGTCATTATATATCACTGGTATATACAGTTTATTGTAGATTATATGCTCTCATGTGTATGCATTGTGATTATAATAATAACTATTGTAATAACATTGAAATATTGTTATAATTATGTGTGTAGATTTTTTTTTAATTATGACAACAATAATCTCATATAACAATCTCCAAGTTTAATAATAATAATAATAATAATAATAATAATAATAATAAATGTATAATATTTAAGTATTTATAGTATATAAAGCATTATTCAATTGAATTGCGGCTTTACTATAGAGACTGAAATGATTAGATAACGGATTGATGTATAATAAAATGTTTGTCCAATCAATTGACTATTAAAAGTGGTGTCTGTCCTCATTAATTGGTAAGTCCTAATTCACATATCTGTCATATAATAGTATATACAGTATATATGATATATACCGTTAATTAATAAATTGGCAGCAATTTTTGATCTTAAATTAATAGCGCCATATCATAAAATATATGTTGCAATAATAATAAATAATATTATATTTTGAAAATAATATTTATATAATTTTTTTTTCTCAAAAAATTATCAATTTTTTTTAAATAAATAAATTTATTTGTGTGATATCCTAAATTAATATCAAATATTATCGTTTAGTTTATATCTATTTGGCACTGAAATTGCGTAATCCCTGAACACAACTTCAATCTGAATGGCCAACCAAGTGATCTGTTTGTCAACATTTGAATACACACCTTTGGGACCGACTATTATAGCTGCGGCCGCTATCCATTGTCCCGCTTGTGGCCTACGGCTCGATGATGTGCTTCGGCAACAATGTTACGGTAAGTCCTGTTTTAGATATACCCAAACATTTCATTCAATATACTGTATTTCATTTACATCAATATTTGCTGAAGTTTATCATAATCTTGTACTTTGATATTGAAATTTTTTGAGTTTGAATTAAACAAAAAAATGATAGATATTTGACAGAAAAAAATGTACTAAAAAAATAGTACAGTTTTAATAAGAATAATAAAATTATTATTATTATTATATTTTCTAACATTACAACAGAAAATATTTTAATACATTTATTAATTAATGTTTAATAATAAGTCATTTTTCTGTTAAAATAATTCAATGCATTATTCACTTAATGCGATTGATTTGCTATTAATTGTGATTTCTGTAGATATTTTAAATGCTTTTCTCGCTATAAATTGTGATATTTTTAGATCTTTATTGAATTTAATTAAATATATTTATCGCAAATTTTCCGAAAGATTCGCCAAAAGTAAGTAATTATGTAATAAATTATTATTATTTTATATATTGAAAATCAAAGTTTTTTTTATTAATTTAATAATTAATCTATTAATAGATTAATTAAACAAAGAAAAAAGTTCAATAAAATAATTAATAAATTAACTCATAAAATATATAATTTATGGCTTATTATAATATTTGAAGCATAAAATTTGTTTATCATAATTAACAACAAAAATAAAATATAAATGAAAGTAAAACAATAATACATTTAACTTGTGATGAATTGACTCATATTATTTCAAATGAGTTACTATTTTTAGATATAATAATAGTTTGCCAATGAATTTTAATGTCAATCATGTTATAGTCTTGTTTATAGATTATATAAATTTATATTTTTGTTTTTTTACAAATTTATCGATTTAATTAATTATTGAAATATATTAATTTAAAAAATATTATTACTTTATAATAAATTTATAATTTGGGTTATATTTATTATCATATTATTCATAACTATTTCAATTTCCGGTAATTACGGTATATATGATATACTGAAGTTAATCCAATAGACAATAAAAAATTATGGAAATTATCTTATTATGATTGCCATAAGAGTATTAAATTACAGTAATTTATATATTATATGTTAATCTTTTGTTTGTTTATTGATTATTATATTTAAAAAGTTAATAAACAAATAATAAAAGTTTTTTTATCAAAGATATTGTATTGCTGTACTTATAGCAACAATTATCTTTAAATAAAAAATAATTGCAATAAACAATGATTTCGTTGTTTTCATTTAATTTACTTTTCATTAAGTATTTATCTCATTACAAAATTATCAATTAATTTAAATAATTACAAAAAAATAGTAAACTTTGCATATATTTTAGTTTTCCTATAAATCAAATAATTATCACAACTCATGAAACCCTTCAACTAAACTTAGTTCTCAATTTTGACATTAGATTTGTTAATAATAAATCTCAAACAATTGAGTCCCTGGTGTTGCGGACACGGGCACATGTAGTTATTGAAACGACTGTTATATTCGACTAATTTTTCATCACAATCGGGACATTTGACTGGTTTGGTGTCCACAGTATTGACCTCCAATTCAGACAACTCTTTCATCCATTTTTGCGGTTCAATGTAAAGAAAATCGCAATCGTAATCATCCGACTCTATCCCAGTTTTCTTCACAATATGAATATCATTAAACAATTTGTGACCACATTTGGCGCAGAGATAGTTGGGGCCTAACTGTACGCCCCCATCGACACTGTTTTCTATCATATCCAGGCGTCTATAATACTCATTCAATTGGTTTTTCCATTTCCTGTAGAATATCTCTGAATCCAAAACCATTTCTAACAAGACATGTCTAAATGGTCGGTGATTTCCATCCAAACGATAATTCATTGTCTCAAACATCCGGAGCTGCAAAATGAAGCCCTCATTTGGACCAATTTCCCGCTGCTTCTGAACCATTCGTATTGTCTCATTGAATGGCTTTTTGTATTTTTGCATCAGATATCCGATGACCACTGTTGCTGATCGCGAGTAACCCATATGACAGTGAACTAGTATTCCCTGTCCAGACTCCTGGGCCTGTCTTATGAATTCAAAGGCGTCTGTCGTCATATGAGTCAACATCTCTTCACGGGGCACATCGTCCACCCAAATCTGTTTGTACGTTATCTCCGACGACCGGTTATCCTCTTTCCAGTGGTCATCAAACACAGACAATACGCTACGGACATTGTTGGCCAACAACTGTTTTGGATCAAACGCGGCACACATATTGCCTAACCACAGATGATCTTCAATTTGGTTCATATCTTGATAGCTGTCAAACATTTTCTTCAATTTGTTTGATTTAACAACTTCTTCTGTTGTCGTCGACTCTGATTTCGTTTCAATCAATTGTCTAATAAAATGTAAAAAACAAACAAATTGTTGTATAATATACTCAATTAAAGTCATAAGTTATCAGATCTATGGCCATAAACTGTACTTAAATTATAGTAACCGTAATCTAAATTAAAACACTTTATTATACGATAACAAAGTGATAAATTATAAAACATTTGAAATTTAAAAAAACAATTTATACACTTTCTCTACTATAAACTATTACCGGTAGTTAAATATCTGTTATTTGTAATAATAGTTGAGATTTTTATAATATTAATAATACAGTATTAAAGGCTATAATTTATAGATATACAAAATAAACTGTACTATTAATAGTAATTTATGAATTATTTATTGATTTCAATTTACATTTTATTTTATATGTAATGTTAAAATCAAAATGTTGTTAATTTCTAATTGTTTAAATTTCTAATGTAATTAAAATTATTATATAAACTAATATACGATATCTATTGAAAATTTATACAATAATATGATATGAAATTTGTACAATACTGTAGTTAGTCTCACAAATTTCAATACATATTACAGGGATAACGGGATAACAATGTGTTTGCCATTCAATAATATGTGAAACAATTTAATAAATTGTCATTGTTTTCATCATATCATACTATATATCAATTTTATGACATATAAATGCAATTTATAAAAAATAAATCAATCAATAATAAAATGCATTACAATTAAAACTTACTGAATATAAAATTTTGTCAAATTTGTTGTAATATAACTAAATTGAAAGTAAACTTTAAATGTTGCAATAATTGTTGACAATCAATACTACTAATAATAATACTGTACAACAATTATTATTATTAAATTTTATAGTATTGTTTTACTAATTAATTACTTATCAATTTTTCATTATAATCGTCAAATTACTGTATTAATCAAATATTAGGAAAGTTATTGAAAATTTCAAGTCTTTTTTGAAATTCAAACTCTAATAAATATATTTACAGTTTACTAAAAATCAGTCTTAAGTTACTTTAAGTATAGTTTTTACTATTAATATACATTAGTATTAAAAAAATAGTGTTGTAATAAAAAAACTGTTTAAAAAAAATACTCAAAACATATCTATGACAACAAAATAAAGTGATATTATTTTAATATATATACTAGCGCCTTTTTTAAAAACATACATTTATCTATACTAACTTATAATTTACTATACAAATTATATTAATACTATAATTGTTTTATCTAATTTAAAATTTAATCCAATCTAATTTTTAAATAATACGGATATAGAAATAATTTATTTAATTTATTAAAATTTTTATTTTACATTTCATAACATAACATAACATATAATATTTCTATGATATTATAATACATTTTAAAGAAAATAACAATTAAGGTAATCATTTTTTTGTTGATAAATTACTTGTAAATTTATATACTGTATAAACATATAAATAACAAACCATTAATTTCAAACCAAATCACACATAATAATAATTTACTAATAATAATGATTTTAAATTAATTACAATATAATGATAATAAATTAGAGATATACAAAAAAATATATATAATGTGAAATTATAAATAAATAATTTAAGTTAATTTATAGCTCTTCTAATGACATAAGTATTTAAACGAAAGCATATCCTATAGTTAGAGCCGTCGGCCACACGACAACCCATTTTGACAACTTTCGGATGTTTCGGGTTAAGACAGTGTCGACACTTTGGACATTGAATACTATAAACATTGAAATCATTGTTTTTCATCCACTTTTGGGGCTCAATATAGACTCTGTTGACACCGTCATCATCTTCTTCGTCGATTTCGTTCATATCAAGCGGTGATCTCTTTATTATATTGATTTCATTGAACAATGATTGGCCACAATTGGCGCACTTATAGTGCGAGCCTTTGTCTAAGTGGTCAGTGTTGCGCTCAACCATTTCCAGCACTTGAAAGTATCTATCAAAGTTGAGTTCATCCTTATAAAGGATCCAATGTCTAGTCTTTAAATTATTGTTTAGTACCCATTGTCTCAACTTCTTGTTGTCGGCACGTATTGTATATCCAAGACTTTCAAACCACTTCAACTGATCCACAAATCCTTCGTTTGGTCCAACAATACGTTTTCTGCGGACCAATTGAAATGCTTCCTCGTAAGGCATGCGATATTTATACATGAGATACGCGGTGACCACTGTTGCCGATCGGGAGAAGCCGGCCTGACAGTGAACCAGTACACCGACCGCCGATTCTTGAGCATTGCGTATAAAATCAAAAGCCATAGAAAAGTGTGACAACAGATCTTCTTTGGTGTTGTCCTCAACTGATATTTGCAAATAAGTAGCCGACGGGTCCTGTTGTTCGGTCAACTTTGTGCCCAATACTGACAACACATATTTAATACCATTTGCGTGTAGTGTTTGACTACTAGTGGCCGCTTTGACGTCACCTAAATATAGGTGATCTTCGATACGGTCCATATGATTGTAGTCGAGATAAATAGCTTCAGACAGTTGTCTTCCAAATAACATTTCCATAGTTTTTGTGGTCTGAGTCAACAAAGTCGGATCAAATAACAAAGCAAAAAATATATACAATGTTTGCGATAAAATAATAATTTCAATTTCAATGTCAATTCAGAGAAAGAGAGATTACAACTCGTGATAAAGTTTTTTTTGTAGACTTTCATCACTACTTCAAATAGAGTATTACTGAGTATACAGTACTATACATCTCTTCTAATAATAAGACATAACGTTTCTTCATATTATAGTGCGCTTGCGTTTTCATCTCCAGTGATGAAGGCCTAGGAGTTGCCCATGAAAAGTGATCAGTGATGTGTGTGTGTGTGTGTGTGCACTGGGATGTTGATGTATAGACCCATATTCACGTAGACACTAACATTTTCCATTGACAAACAATATTAAAAATATTAAAGAGTTACTGTATATACTATATAATATTTAGTATGAATAGGCAAAATGTCATTTGAATAGTTGATAACTTTCCAAATATTTTTGGGCTTAATTTAGTAGTATTTGTATACCTAATATCAAATGTTTGTATGCAATCACATACCAAACACATGTTTAATGATTATCATTTCAATGACAAGTTTATTATCAGTTAAGTCTATTGTCTCCTCTCTCTCTCTCTCTCTCTCTCTCTCTCTCTCTCTCTCTCTCTCTCTCTCTCTCTCTCTCTCTCTCTCTCTCTTAGTTTTTTTAGATTTGACTATAAACCAGAGATTTTGAGTTTTTAAATCATTGATTTTTAGGTTAATTTTTATTTACTTATCTTATTTTCATTTCGAAATATATGGTACTCTATATTATATATACTGTGAGGTATATATTGAATACACATACAATGTATAGTTTTTATAATCATTAACATAAATGTTTATTATCAGAAACAAAAATATTATAAACATATCAAATGACCTAATTTTTAAAAAATTATTTTTAAAAATTATTTTAATCATAAAATATATACAAATATTTTAAACTATAATATATAAAAATAAACACAGAATTTTTGTTTTCTATTAAAATCTAATCATTGGAAATATTTTATAGATAAAACTTTATATAAGTTATATATATTAATATTTAAAGTTACAATATAGCATAACAACGGAAATTATTAAGTAATAATTGTTGAGAAAATTGTTGTTATACTGTATTTACATTAATGATTAATATTTTCCTTAATAAGAAAAAATTAAATAGTATTTCAAATATATTTTTATTGCATTTATTACTAGAAAATACTGAATATATATTATTATTAGTTATTATTAATAAGACTAATACAATCAGAATATATCTGTTTTTTAATGTAAATAAAACTCTATTAAAGTAAATATAAATTGAAAATATACTATCGTATGCTATATATAAAACTTTTATTCACCACTATTTGGTTTATAGCTATAGAAACTATAGCAGCTATTATTTATGATATTGTATTTTATCAAATCAGTATAAATATCAGATTAATATAATGTAAATGACATACAGTTTTAATACAGATATATGATATAAAAATAATTTTAGTATTTTTATATAAAAACAAATTTTCATTGATCTATCTGTGCTCTCATTACAGTTAACAGATATACACCGGCACTGTTACTATTTGGTGCATCAGTTTATATAATGTACAAATTAGGCGATTTTAAGCCAAAACTTAGAAGATTGTCGGAAAAAGTGTGGCAATTGTTGGGCTACGATGTAAACGACAAAATGGATAAACCGGTATTTTTTATTAATACCGTCGACACGAGTGGCTCCAGCGATGACCAGATGATCGAGTTTAATGAATCTAAACTAAGATCCAATGGTCGCATACTCGACATCAGTGATATACCAGATTTAGATCTCAATTTTAGTCCAACACATACACCAAAAAGTGCTTTTTGGTTACCATATGACTCGCATCTTAATAATAGTAATAATTATAATTACTTTTTTGGTTCCGACAAATGTGGACCCGAATTGCCATTGAAAGACAATACAAATTATATTAGGAAACATCGGGTGCCAAACGGAACAGTAGCTAAAATCGATGAGGTGTTGACACAGATAGACGATATCAAGAAGTCGATCGTCGAAATTGATTCAGAAATTCATGACTTTTCAGTGACAAAGTGTGTCAACTTTAATCCGGACTTCTTTACGCTAACCAATACTGATTTGACAGAAGAGATCGATGACAACAATAGTAATTCTTCTCTTTCTTCTGTTTGTCCATTGAATGACGACTATTGCGATCAATCAATAATGGGAACCAGTAGTAGAAGTAATATATCATTGTCTGCCAGTGACAGTCTATTGCCATCAACGCCTATCCAAGACTTAAGTCTCGAATGGGATGACACCGATAGTCTGTACTATAGCAGTGAAGAACTGGAAGTAGAAACAGCACTATCATTACCGGTCACCGATGCAGACAAACAGCGGTTTAAATCAATGCACGAATTGCTAGAAGAGGCCAAACAAATGGGACTATTAAACAATATATTGGACGCCATTACCTATAAAGTAGACGATAATAGGTTCGACATTCGGGATTCGGCCTATTTTGAGGAGTGACCCGATTGTTCTCAAATATATGTACTATTAATATACTGTATAAAAAAATGTTAAATGTATTTCAAAACTTGTAAACTGTTATACAATGTAAAGGTCTTAAAACATTTAGTTAATTTTGATAATAGAAATAATGATACTTAAAATACTAATTACAATCTGATATTTATATTACTATACTATTAATATAAAACACATTTAAAATTTATATTTTTGAAACATTTATAGATAATATTGTAATTACCGTACATTATATTTGTATGTAAATAAATTTATATACTATATATTTATTTAATAAAAGAAAAAATAATTTATGTATGAAATCGATTAATAATTTATTAATAAAAACCAATTTAAAAATACAAAATTATTTTTGAATACAATAAATTGGTACAGTATTTATATATATATACTGTATTAAATATATAGTTAAATAACAAAAAATATCATGGTAGATTCATTGTAGTGGAATAAACAGTTTATAATGTATTTTTGTTAAAATAACAGTTACCGTAAATGTAATTTTCTATAATATAGACTCAATATTGTCTAGATAAATTTAAAATTTACTCAGTTATTAATAATTATCATTAAACGTATCGTCAAACACTATACGATTATTTTACAATAAAAAATTAAATAAAAAACAATAAGTCAACGTTTATGATAAATTGATATTAATATTGCATTAATTGTGAATTAATTTTATCACATAATTCCAATTTGTATTACCGGTAATAATATTTGATAAAATAAAACAACAATTTTTGATTAACAAAATAATAATTTTTGGAATAATTACGGTAATAGAATTACCGGAAAAATTATTTAGTGATATGATTTGATTAATAATAGACACATAAAAATTATATCATTATAATAAACAAATAATGTTTTCATAAAAAACCATTTATAAATATATCACAATTACGGTAAAGAGATATCTAACTATTTTTTATCTAAACCAATAGCTTTCAATGCACTCTTAGAGGCAGCAATTTTGGCCAATTTAGAGTTCTTCCCGATTCCCGAATATTGATGGCCATTAGCAGACAACACAACACGTATTTTGCGGCCACTTATTTGCTCGCCATTACTAATAACAAAAAACATTATAATATATATAAACAACAATATTTTAATACAATTATTTAATTTTGGGTTATAATAATAATAATACCTGAACTCTGCATTTTCACACTTCTCTCTAAGCTCACGAACAGGCATTTTGGGAATATTCTCACTAAAATAGTCTGAATATAAATAATAATTATTAATAAATGCTTAATAAAATGCTTATACAGTATTAAATTAAAATAAATATTTATATAAAAAATACCTATTTCTGGTTTAAGTAGTTTATAAAACACTTTCCAAACCGCATCCAATGACAGTCCACTATCCAAATATATGGCACCGGCTATTGACTCAAATATATCTCCCAAAGCTTTAGGAATCTCGACTTCTTCCAAATCGGTCACCTCTTCATCACTCAAAGCTTGGAAACAATGATAAATAGCGTCTCGTTTGTTAATTTCAAACTTTTTGACAAATACATTGATAGCATGATAGAGATCCGGTGAAAATGCTTTAAGATATTTGTGAAAATTAAATTTCACGGCAATGTTGGCAAAAAATATATTGTTAACCAGTGCTGATCTCAGATCGGTTAGCTCTCCCGGACTAAACTTTTTATCGGCAATATTATAAATATGATAAGTTATTAGATAGTCTAATACGGAATCGCCTAAAAATTCAAGTCGTTGGTAGCAATCAGTAAACTGATTGCTAATGTTTGACGAATGTGTAAACGCTTGTATAATAAATGCCTTATTATTGAACGTATAATCAATGATTTTCTCGAAATTATTTAAATTACAATCAGTGTACTCATTCATTATGAATTTGTTTATAGCATATTCAGTGGCACTAGTATTCCAAATAGGATTCTTGGGCTCCGGTAGCCACTGGAACTGTTTCGAGTCATCCAATTTTCTAGTGTTTAAATAATCGATATCTTTTTTAGTGGATATTTTAAGACCCAACCATTCCATAAAAATTAGCGCACATTTAGTTCCGCCGACCAATAAGTGAGCGCCAATAAGTGCTTCCACAGAATCGGCAATACTTTTATCGTTAACCAATTGATATCTATAGCCATCATTGGTTTTTGTTAACAATTGCAAATCACACTCATCATCGATATGATAGGATGGTGGCAACCAATTAATTTTTGGGTACCATTTATGAGCCACTAATAAGTTTGCAATGCCTTTGCGATTACCCAAATAATATAGATTACAGTTACAGATCTGGATCTGTCTCAAGTAAGACAACCGTCCCTCGTCTAGTTCGGGACAGGCATAGTATAGAAAAGCAGTTGTGGCAAACTTGAGAAATGAGTCGCCCATTGTCTCCAAACGCTCCAAATTAAAAGCGTCGTTTGCGTTCAATAATGTCAGAGCTTTAAGCAAAACATCAGCTGAAGGACCAATGATGGGTTCACCCACTCGACAATCATATGAGCGTTCAATGTATGGCATAATATCACCGGTAAATATAAAAGGATATGTTTCACCATATTTAAGCTCACTATCCTTTAGTGATTCACTTTTTGCCGAAAGAATCTCTAATTCATATTTGTCTAAATCAAATCGTGGATTTGATATTCTGATGTTATTTAAAATATCAGTAAATTTTTTTATGACAGCTTCAGTAAAATCCAATAATCTATTAATGAAATTGTTGTTATTGTTGTTAACAACAGATAGATTTGTGACAATACTGTTTGATCCAAGTCTTGTGACAGTTGGTGTAACAGTGGAAATAGCGTAATTGGCTCGTCGTTTCTTCCTCTTTGGCATCACAAACGTCTGCATTTCATTCATGTCCATTGCGTAGTCAAATGGATGTCCTTCGCAATCGATCGTTAAGTCATCGATATGAAGACGTTTTATTCCAATGAGAGGAAATTCAATGATATCTGAAGACAAAGTTAATGATAACTCATTCTTTGATGAATTCAAGCAACCGATGTGTGGCTTTGTCTCTAAATGAATCTTTTGTCGCAATTCTTCGGTTAAAAATATGTGATTCAACCGATAAAGTACGGCCGGTAAACATAAAGCCTGTCGCCATAGAGAGCTTGGAAAGAGATGAATGTACAACAATTCCGGTACAAAATATTCTGGTATACGGTTTGGATCTGACTTTTCTAAAGTAAATGACTTGAGTTGTGATAACCTCTTAACCATTTTCCCCTCAAGTAATTGTTGACTTTTATTGTTTATTTTCAAATTATATTTTTTGAGATAGTAGTGTTCAAACGTTTTGTATTGTTCATCCTTTCCTTTCCACGGAGACATTGGTGTTAAATTGGTTACACTTAGAGAGTCATATAATGTCGGTCTTTCAGGTCGAGGATTGTCTGGTTGCCAATACCACGGATAGAACACACAATCTTTATATAATTGTGCGTCAAATTTAAAATTCAACCGTTCAGTAGTGGACAAAGTCTTTAGTTGAATTGGTTCACAATTATTGACTTTATCCATAAATTTCCAATCAATTTGCTTGTTTGTCATCAACGGAACGACCAGTAAGTTAAACTGAGATTCCTCAGTATTAAAAACTAACTGTCCATTTGGGTCAATACCGATGACTTCTTCAAATGTGAATAAATGAAATTTTCTAATCACCTCTAACTGGCTTTCATTAAACGATAGCTTAGTCAGTGGCATGAAGTCAACATTGACGGCAAAACTATTCTCCTTCTCTATTGTTTGGTACTCTCTGATGGGAGCAAACACTGAGAATGAGCATCGGTTGACAATTGGATGACCAGTTATAAGACCAAACTCTTTATATTGGCCACTAAAACAGCCAAATACAGGAAACTTCATAGAGATTCTGTGCAAATAATAATTTGAAGAAACTTGTGATGTGAACACTTGTGTCAATCGTTTTTCATAGATTTGATTTCGAGCTCGAGTACCAACTTTTGCTACATCACTGTCCTCTTTATCGATTACTCTTATATTGAGACCTAATTTATCGACATATTTGTCAATGAATTGTTCTCTACTGATTGGCAAAAATCTTTCATTTAGTTCACCCAATAGATGCAATTGTTTGCATACTTCAAAAGCGGCACTCTTTTTGGCACCTTTTTTCGATTTACACGACTGTCCATAAATTGTTTCTTTTAGCAGACTATTAACCGGCAATTTTAGAGAACATTTGAATGGCTTAACGATGCCTTCAATATTGAATATAGGCGTCAATTTGGTAAACGAATCACTCGGTAATAGAGCACAGTATCGGTATATCAAAGATATGGCTGTTCTCGATGTTACGCGAGCACCGGTTCTTTCATCGATGTACTGTTCATCATCATCTTCGTCCTCTTCATCATTAATTAGTGACACAATAGCGCCGTCAACTCTGGAAATATTGTTCAGATTTTCAATATGTTTTTCCATATCTGCGAAACCATTTAATTGGTTTATAAGTTTGCCTCTGTCTTCTTCAGATGTCATCATATAATAGCAGGCATTCTCAGCTCTTGCACGACCTTTGGACTGTAGATACTCTCTAAATGTATTTAAACGATCATATCTTATGACAACATTGCACTTTCGTATGTCAAGTCCTTCTTCGAGTACTGAAGTGGCGATAATCAGATTTAGTGACTCATTTCTGAAGCGATCGATTACATCTTGTTGTTGTTTATCGGTATAAGATGTGACCAACGATTCAAATCCAGGTCGGTTTGAGTGTCCGACTACCCAATCGACGTTCAGAAAACCAAACTCAGTTGGTTTTAGTTCTTTAATTTTATTGAGCCATTCAGCCAATACTTTGGCTACTGATCGCTGGGCGACAAATATAATACCGCACAGTTGACTCTTTTCATTACCTATGGGACGGTATGTTTCAAGAATTTCTAAAAGTCTGTACATTTTAGGTGATGCCGTGTCATACGCTGCCATCGGATATTGAATGGGATTCAGTTCATTGTTAAACTGACTCTTAATCAAACCTAAATATTGTATTACGTGATCAAATAGTGCCGAATGATTTGGATTTATTTGTTTGTAGAGTTCCCTGTATTGTGATAACTCGGATATATATTTATCGATGGCCAACACTGTACACCAAACACCCATCCATGTCATAGTAATAATGTACTCCTGTTTGGTTTCGGGATTTGTCACCACTTTGTTAACCGGATCGGCCAACATATTACGTACATTTGTCAAACATTTTTTAATTCTTGTGGCGTGAGTTATCATTGAATTTCCATCAGTTCTCTTTAATTTCTTCAAATTATCTATAAATAACTCCAAAGCTTGTACTACACTCCGCGCCGTTGGACTGGGAGAGGCCGGTGTGCTAATAAAAATCCAAACGCGTTCCTCTGGATTTGTACCACAATATTGGGCAACTTCTGATGTATTACATTCAGCACAATATGTCTCTTCCAGATCTTTGACGGCCGCATCAAACAGATCCAAACGCATCGAACTATTAATAAGACTGGCAGACAATCCAAGTACTCGCGGGCGGCGACCAACAGGACATTCGTTATACAATTTCATTATCTGTTTGTACGGATGGCCCGACTCTTTTTTGCCCTTTTTCTTGGCCGCCCAATGAACCTCATCCATAATCATGAGATTTATATTATTAAAAGTAATGAATTGATGGTTCAACATATTCAATAATATCTGTGCAGTCATAACAATAACGTCCTGATTCTTTAACTCAGTTGTCCATCGATGGGCATCATAGAAGTCGACACCCATATCGCCTGAGAATAATAATTATCATTACAATCACAATCTGTTTCTGACCTAACATTTACCGGTATATCCTTTGACGCGTACATCAAAATGTCGTTTAACTTCAGCCGCCTGTTGAGTGACCAAAGTTCGTGTCGGTACTATAAAAACGGTACGTTTAGCCTCTTGAGGGTATTGTCCGCGTAGGGCAGCGGCAAACTTTGGGTCGCGCATCAACAGTATTGCGATAAACGTCTTTCCCGTACCGGTTCCCAGACATGCTATAATATTACGGTCTTTGGCTGCCATATAAAGTTGTACCTATCAGACCAATGTTAGTATTAATATATTATAATATATAACAATAATAAATATAACATTATTAATATAACATTATTAATATTTAATACCTGATAGGGACGGGGTATGTACTCTACCGTCTCTTCATTACCATTGCTGGCCATTCTCTCTCTTCTCTCTCATAAATCAGTTTTAGACACTATAATAGAAATGTTTTATTCATTTTTTAAAAAATTGTTACTTTATTAAATTATTAAATTGTTAAACTTAAATATCAATAATGATAATGAAACTGAAATGAAAACTCAATCAAATAAAACTAATAATATATCATTTCATTTGATTAATAACTGTTTGTCTCAAATAACATCCCATTTATTGCTAACCAATCAGTCAATTATAATGTATATATATATTACATAATTATTACCAGTAGTTATATAAATCTCTTAAACAAATATGTTTGTTGCCTAACATGACTCATACTTATACAACAGTTTCAATGTACGGGTGCTCTCAAGGGAATGGTATGGTTAGGCCTATATATCATATACAACACCAACCAATACTCCTAACATTTGGCACATAAACTATTTCAATCAATAATTGCTAAATGACTGGTCAGTGACCAAACTACCGTAATCGGTAAATATGATAACTATACAAACTACTGATATCCCTGAGCCACCCGTGACTACAGGGGTTTTTAGACACAATCACATATAAATAAAATTGACAACTAATACAAACAATAATACAAACAATTTTAAAAAAAAAAATAATATGAAATTACTTACAAATTGTTAGTTTGTTTTTGTCATTTCAATTAATTAAACATTTGATGTCAAATAAATATTATATAAACAAATAAATCAATTAAATAAACAAAATATTAACTAATGATGTAATAAATTAATGTATTTTTAAAGTTATACTCTTTTTTTGAGATACTGTTTGTCATATCGTTTGATAAACGTTTGTATTAATCAAATATAAACAACAAATACTTTAATGTAATAATAAAACACTATTTGATTGCATTAGGCATTACATCATTGCATTAAATTTAATACAATATTGTTTAATACATTTAATATTAATAGTCAATGTGTTATTACATAAATTTCGACACTAAATATTGTGAAAACTTTTTTTTTTAAACAAAACTTGAATAAAGTATTATTATTATTAATACTTGAAATTAAACTTATATTGAAATGAAAATGCAATAAAACTATTGCAACCAATTTTGGTGATGATGTTTATGCCTATCAGGTTGTGATAATGAGAAATATATTTATTTCTGAAAATATTAGTATTAAAATTTAATAGATAAGCAAAAAAGTAAAAATAAACAGTATTTTAGTCTTATAGGTTTGATTGGGAAAAAATAACTTAAATTTTAAGTACTAAATAAACACAGTTTTTGTAAATAACTACAAGTTATCTATGATTTTGAACCGATCGGTAAAACAATATATAAGCATCTGATGAGACAGTGTTGAAGTCCATGGTTTGAATACTATGTACCACTTCGTCATCAAACAGATACCAGATGTGATTGTGCAGACAATAGCTGGTATAGTGACCTCTGGAACAAGTGGTCCCGTTATGACATATTATGGCAAACAGATAATAGTTGTGGCTTTTGATTACAAGTTGACTGTTAATTATAACGGCTTTTGATATTTTGTTTTGGCTTAAATGTATATTATAGACAGCCAGCAAAAAAGTGTTGTTTTTATGCAGTTATACATATATAAAATGTTAGTTTTATTACTTAATTATTATTTAATTACTGTTAGTTTGGGGTGAGTGTGAGGTTAGGAAGTGGTTGGGTGGGTGGGCATGGGTTTGGGGTAAATAATTTTCTACTGGCTGTCTATAATCTACATTTGTTACCAATCAAAAGGAACGGTTCGGACAAATATTATATCAATTTAATATACAGTTAATAAATTTATTACAAAAAAACAATTTATAACTACCGAGACTATAAACTTTATTATACCGGTATATAACAGTCAAATGATAAATAATTCATACAATTTATTTAATTCATATTTTTAAACACCAGATATATGGACACCATTAGCAACACTACGCCCAACACCACACCCCCGATAGACACTCCTTTAACAATACGCCGTGTATTTATCAATGTATGAAAAATGGCCGCAAACTCGTCATTCAATGTTCCCGACTGTTCGACCCATAGGACAGGTACCACATAATCTTTTCCTTTAGGTGTGGCTTTCAATTGACTGAAATAAAAGGTAATCTTTTTAAAAGGTTAACATTTATACTAAACTTACGGAATGGCATCCGAGTATCCGATCCGAACATTCATTTGCATTCTCTTAATTGCATTCAATGGTCCACCCGTTGTCTATTAATCATATAATACAATCACTTAGTGGACAAAAAAAAGAGAGTACACCTACGGGTTCAATGTCGATGAAAGTGCCGTAATTGTCGAAAGTGACGTCTTTCGGTGGCTGCAGTTTAATGTTGCGCTTTAACGACTCGTCACCGTTCAAGAAGTACGGCCACGAAAGCAGAAGTGGTCCGCCGGCTGTTTGACGCATACAATGAGACAATTCGAGAACACCTTCGATGTTACAATCGTTGACGTCTTTGCGCAAACAATAACACGAATTTTCCTTATGATATTTAGCGGCACCGAAAAAATTATTTGGTGCCACAAACCGTAAGGTCGGTATACCTTTAACTTCACTCTCCTTCTGAAAGATTACTGCTACCGATCGACAAACGCTTGGATCAAATGCGAACAGTTTGTCGTTTTCCGATACGTCCGGACCGAAAAAAGTACCATCTGTTCCGCGCAATTGCAAACACTCGCCGTTCGGGTCGTGGTATGGCCAGATCGGTGACTTCTTTTTGTCGCCGTTGCGCAACTCACGACTGTCTTCCCATTGATATATTTGTCCCAATTTGTCTGTCCGACCGACACCAGTATAAACAGTTAGCCGATCGATAAGGTAGTCGCGTCCCTATATTGTTATTTTTAAAAAATAATTTTCAAAATGTAAACCAATTGCAGCCAATACTTACTCCTGTTACCGAAAACTTTTTCATTTCAAATCCCAAGTCAGGCGGTATTAAAGGAGCCACAAGTTTGGCCAGTTTTAGGTCGACGCCATCAAGCAATAGATCACCGGCTTTTCGTGTAGTGAACAGTGACTTTTCGTTGTCGTCCAACTCGTCTTTAAATAAATCAAAAGCCATTGACGCGTCAGGCATTACCTGATTGAAGAGTACACTCTAAGTAAAGACAAAATAGATGAATATCTTATTAAATAGTTGTCGGTACTGACCATCATCGGTGCATTAATAAAGGTTAGATTTTCGTCAAATGTTCCGCTGGACAAATCGGGTTTGAATATATATTTGCGTCGTTCCCGATAAGACACAAGGGATTCATTGAGTGGTCCGGTAAAGAAGTTGATCTGTTCTTTGCTTCGCCATTCCTCGAAAACCCAGGGCCCGCGTTCCTCCAGTTCCACGTCTTCCAGATTAGTATACGTCTGAGGGTTTTTCAGTACAAACACATAGAACTTCATGAGCGCCGGTAGAGGCACTTCCTTCCAGTTTTTAAAGTTTTGGCTGGTGTTAACAATTAATGAACCCTAACCACTCACACATATACATACCGGGGTGTTAGTAAATAGCATCAATGTAATATTATTGTTTTGCTATACCTCTATAATTTTGTTTTTCAATATACGTGGAAACAGTCCTAATACAAGTGCACCGGACACGATCAGCACCAGTCCGACTACACCGAGTGCTCCGAAAGCTACGTATTTGTTTTGCATTATAACCACCTTATAGTCTACCGATGCCTCTAACGATCTGTTTGTTTGCTTAATCGACTAATTAATGAAACAGAAAGAGACAATTGTTTGTCTAATATAGGTATAAATTTTATATATAGACATTAAATAACAGAAAATTATTTTATTGATTATCGCTTTAAAAAACATGACATTAAACTTCAATTTATTGGCAATAATGTACTATAATGTTAACCTTCAAACTTCTTAATGATTATATATAAAAGTTGTGGAGAAATATAATTTTTTATTATCTTTTAGGTTACATATTATTTTGTTTATTTGAATATTGAAATTTTGAAATATAAATTTTACTCAAAATGCATATATTTTTTCTATAAAATTATTAGTTATTGACAAAACATTATCTATTACACTGTCCTATTAGACAGTAATACTATCTAAAATTTATAGTGAAATAAGTGTATCAAAAAGTAATAAAAATTATAATAATATGAATAACATATACATAGAATAAATTAAATATTATACATTCAAATAAACATTATTTAAAATATTAATGTTTTTAATCTCTTTTTTTTATTAAGGATAAAAATTATTTGAAAATTTCATATGAAAACTTTCGTATATTTTTTTATTAGTTAAACAGTAGAAGTAAAAATTATCAATAAATTTTATGTGTCTTAATTAACAAATTCAACTGTAATAACATAATGTTTAATATAATTTTATAAGTACMTTGTTTTCAACACTAAATACTTTAGTATAGTGTAATTATAATTTATTTTCATAATAATGATTAAATTGTGTGACAAAAGCCTAATTTGTATGTTTTTCAATAAGTCATTTGAAATTATAATTATCTTAACATTAATTTTTGTTTCTTAATAATACTAACTTTATATTAAATATATTTTTATATAAATAGCATTTGCAAATAAAAACGAAACATGTCTTAATATACTTTTGATATTAAATTAATACTAATTTTTAATTAATAAAAAATTTAAATAGACTCAAATATTAGATTACAATTAATTAATTAACACTATTTAGACTTATCATTAATTTATTATTTAAATATTCAGATAGAATTTTAAAAAATATTTCATATTTTTAAATAGATTTTACAATATATAATAATTAAATTTTATTACATAATAAATTTGAAAACATCATTATAAAAGTGTACTTTTAATATTATAAATTCTAATTAATAATAAATTTTAAAAACTTAGTGATAATAGTTGTAAACAAAATTTATTTAGTAATTAATAGTTTAGAATATTATTTTGATAAATATGATACAAAGTATTTAATTAAATTTAATATTCCAATCATATTATGAGAGATATAAATATAAAAGTACTATAAGTAAAAGTAATAACATAAAAGATAATAATTATAAATAATTATATAATTATAATAAATAAACAAAAACTGCAAAACTAATTATAAAACGTTATTTTGAGATAATTTTGGTTTTGAAAGTTTTACGGATAAACTTATGTATCCAAAGACAGCACAAGTGGTTATGAGTAGACATACGATGATCACCATTAAGATCAATATTACTGACATATCTTTGACAACTTCATGAAAAGCATTATCGATACTAATATTCATAAAAATAGATGATGTGGTCAATGATGATGATGTTGTTGTCTGAGTTGATGTTATTGTTGCTCTACTTTCGTAATCCAGTGATGTCTGTCTATCGGTATATATAGTATTGTTTTCGCTGGACATTATTGTCGTATCATTTATTGACTGTCCACCAGTTGATGAGTTTAATGGCAATAAAGTAATGTTTTCAGTTGATACTGTTGTTTGTGTGACATTAGTTGATAAATCACTTGTACTTGAACTGACAACAACTACTGATTCAGTGGTCATATTAGTTGTTGGTGTCGTTGGTTTTATGGTAGTAGTAGTAGAAGTACTTGTAATACCGTTTGAAGACTTATCACAATTAAAAAAATCCCAATACGTTTTGGACTAATTATCATTTTTTAACAATAATAAAAATCAATAATTTTCAATAGTCATATCATATCTAATAAAATACCTGATCCACTAAAACAGGACTCGTATCATAATATTTATAAACGTTATTCTTAAGAAAGAAAAAGATATCATTGGCTCTTCTTATACCTCCAGTACCACGAGTTGTCTTATAGATGCCAATGTTAGGATCAATAGTCGATCTAATCGTATAGTTAACCTTTATGTTGACAACGGGATACTCTATGATCTCTAAATCACTGAAAATAAGTGCTCCTTCGGGATATCCTCGAACCGATTTGGTCAGTACAGCGCCTTTTATTTTAGTGTTTTCAAAGTGCGGAAAAATAGTGTTGGTTTGATTGTTGGCATCAGAGCTGTCCGACTGACGCGACAGATACCACGGCAACATCCGATCGTTGAGCTCAGTGGCCACAAAAAAGTCTTCACTTTGTCTCTTGAATGTCGCAAATTGGGAATCAATGAACAAAAAGGTTATGTCTTTTGCGGTAAAATAGTAATTATCGTTAAGGCAATTGTTTGCATCACCACATTTAGTGTACGTCCAKATAACGAGTCCGGCTGATGGTATGAGTCCTGACTTTAAACCGCTAAACATTTCGTTCAACTTATGTTCGCTTCCGTATTGTTCCCATCGGTTATCTTTGGTGTTGAACTTCAGTATCCAAACACTGGACGGTTGCCGATAGGCATACACAGTGTTGTCGTCCGAATTAAAGACGGCGTCAATCAATTTGTTTCGATATTTTTTGTCGCAAAACAATTGACTATTTGCTGATGTGATGACAATTGACAATACAATCAACAAAAAACTGATTATCATATTGTCTTCGTTGAACTCTACTATAAATACATACAAAACATTGAAAATAAAATTTAAAATACTTGTTAACATTAAACTTAAATCACGCACTCTTTAAGTTTCTAACAGTGTGTTGTATAAGTGTTACTATACTTTAGTTAATCATAAATTAATAAAACAAATATTAATTTTAAAATTTATATTAATAGAAATATTTATAATGGCTTTTCACGTGCAGATATTAAATATACTTTTAATTAACAGTTAATTCAATAAACATTTAATTTATTCGCATTTCATCATAATCTCGACAAAAGTAATTGTTAGTTAACTAATAAACATACTGTACATGAATATCAATTTCCAATTATAATATTTATATTTATAGATAATATATTTATAGATAACATGATWATTGTCAAAAATGAATTAAATTTTTTAAAGTTAATTCGAGTCTAAAATTTTGTTTAATTTAATTAATTTTGTTATAATTGAAAGAAAAATCTGTCGGTTCTCAAAAACATTTATAAATAACTTAATTCTTTATAGAAAATACATTGATATAACTTTAATTTTAAATTAAAATAATTTATTAATTGTCTATTAAAACTAATAGTTAATTAAAGTGGGCAGAAATAAATTTTTATTAATTTTTTATACAGTAAACATTACATATTAATAGTTAATATTTAAAAATATTAGTTAAATTCTATTTTGGAATAATTATATGATATAATTATTATTTTAATGAGAATATAGTATTAAAATACATAATTTAAATGATTTGTTTTGTTTTGTTAAACTATTTTTAACGATCATTTAAAGTGAAGTATTAAAATAACATCAATTAATAAAAATATTTATCATAAATCACAAATAAAAAGTTAAAAAATAAGATATAAAACAGTGTTAGCAACGTTTATCATATTTAATACCTGTATAAAGATAACAATTTTATTTATATTTTTATAATTTAGAAAATGTTAATTTAATATATTAATTGAATACTTTCTAAATATAATATTTTTATGATTTTGTAAACAAAATATTATTGATTTTATTTCAAGTAATTGGTATACAATATTTTAATCGTATAAACAAACAATTTAAAAAATTAGAAATTATTATGATATAATAAGTTAATAGAAATGTTTATAAATGACACAATGAATTTTAGCAATAAATAATAGCACATAAATCTTAATTATTTAACAAACTTTATCAGCTTATAGATAAAATATGACTAAATACTGTTTTAGATTATTATGAAAAACAAATTAACATAAAAATAAATATATTAAATATTAAATGTCAACCAATTAAATGTTTTAAGTTAAATTATCATTGGGTTCGGCTAATGTTGGAAATGGCACTCTTAGGTGAGTGTTATTAATGATCACATTAAGCAAAGTTGTGTTTTTATTACTAACATTAGCCTTTATCTCATTGATTATCGGTGTTTGAGTTGTTAAATCAGATTCCACTTCGAGTTCGGGTTCTGGTTCGGGTTCGGCCGGTGTTGACCAACGGAGTCCATATTTAAAGAGTCCAGTATGTGTTGGTATTGCGTGTGATCGGGAACGGTATGACTGTCTGAAATTGGACTGTCCATTTCGGTTAGTTAAAATTTTCCATCTGAATAACATCATTCTATCAGCATTACCATCATCACCATTATCTATGATTACAATATTATTATAATATATATATATATATTAAAAATAATAATAATAAATTACAATTATAATTTGTTTTGAGGCAATTGATAAGTGAAAACCACAAAGTTAGCGATGATATAGTTAGCAGATATTTTGTAAACAACATTATTTTGATAATAATATTTTGCTAAAAATTATATTTTAGTAATTTTAAAAACTATAATTAAAATTTATTAAGATTATTAAAATTATTTTGGTTTAAAACTTTAGCTTAGCTCAACTAAAACTTATTAAAACAATTCACACGCAAACATTAACTTTTATATTCAAGTTTATATTATTTTGCACATATCTAATAACAATTTATTTTTAAAATAATTATTTTATCCTGTTTATTTAGTAATTCAATATTTAAGACCATTGAAAATTTTAGTACAAAAATAGATACAAACAATATTTAATAAGTATATAACTTATACTATCAAATACTATCTTAAAAAAACAATTAATTAAAAATATGAAAAATATAAATATTACATTACTAATTTATTGTTAAAAATATATTAGTAATTTGTTTATTTAGAGTATTTTTAACGATTATTTAAATTTTACATAAATATATAAATAAACTATTTTTAATTTTTCTAATGAATACACAAATTGTATAATAAATAAATAAGTTAACTTAATAAATTACTGATATATTATTTTTATAAGTTTAATGTTATTTTTAAATGTTATTTTTTTATGTAAAAATAACACATAAATTATACCTAACAACCTTTGTAAACAATTCGTAAAAATATTTAACATTATGTACAGTAAAATAACGCATTTCACAATAATATCAATAATATATATTGTAAATATACTATAATATATAAAATAAATATTCACAAAAAACAAAAACTTTCTAATATTGATAACAACTATTTAATTGAATAATGTATATATGTTTATCATAGTGTTAAATCTAAATATAAATAATGAAATAATTAAATGATTAATTCATTCATTCATACTCTAATCACATGTAAAATTTCTCACAGATTTGATATTACATGATGTTATTAAAAATGTTTAATTTTGTAAATTGATAGATAAGTATTATGTTTATACGTTACGGTAACATTAGTTTGCTAATTTTTATGTAACAAAATTTTTAAAAATATATAATGACTCATTGTTTTGATTATATAAATTCGCTATACTATAGTTTAATAATTACATTTGAAAATTATAATAAATTACAAATTTTATTTATTCATTAATTTAATTATTCTAAAATTATGATATGTACAATTTTTACATTTTTAAATGAGTTAAAATTTTTTTAAAAATATTACTTTTCACTTTACAAAATGATTATCTACAAAAATGAATTGAATTGTTACTAATAAAAAGTACAAAATAAATTAATTAGTTATAAAAAGTACTTATATTGTTAAATATAATGGATAAAAGTTAATTACTAAATAATATATAATTTACTTTTACACTATATCTACAATAACTTAATGATGATCATAAGTTTTGTAATTATATCAAAATTACTTATAACTTTTTTGCACACGTTTTGGAGCAAACAAAATATCACTTAATAATTAAAAAACACTTTTCTTTTGATGTTAATGTTAATATATATATATAAGAAATTAAATGATTCAGACATAATATACTGTATATTTAATTCAATGATAAACAGCTTACTTTTTATCTCTCTCTCTCTCTCTCTCTCTCTCTTTCCCTTAATCTATCTATTTGTCTATTTATCTACTCTTCCCTTAAACAAGTGGTTACTAAAAGCATTAAAATATATCCGACAAATATGGAGGACAACTGTATGATTGGCTTTAATTTAGTTGCCCTTTCCTTCTGTAATATTTCAAAGAATACGATGTAGAGTATGGTTCCCGAGGCGATGGCACTGAGAAATATAGTCACCGGATTAACTTCATTGTCTTCGGCGTTCATTGTATTTTCTGTAATAACCATTGTTATGATACCAATAGGAGACATAATGGAAAACAGTATCATATTGAAGAGGAACAGTAGAAAGTTAACACATTTTTCATACAGTTCAACACCGACTATAAGTGCCACCAAAAGCTTATGACTGCCAATGGCTATAAACATTGTCCAGATCTCTACTGTATTTGTCTTTACACCGATGGATATGCCATCAAACACCGAGTGTATAGAAAAGGCAAATATAATGACCAATGCATGCAATGCACGTACATATAGTGCATCTGTCTTAACCAAATCGTGCTCATGAGTGTCAATATCACATTTTGCTATATATTTATAAATAAATATTTATACAATCAAACTAATATATAATAATAGTTTTACAAAAAAAAGATTACATACCTTTATGGCATCGGATAGCTATTAGCACCGGCTCTTCATCTTTAGCCACAGGAGTTCCAGTACTGGTGTCTGACTCGACTGTACTGATTACAGATTTTTTGTCAAAATCATAGATTTCCTCTTTTAATTTATCACTCGAGTCGTGATTACCGAGCAATGAGTGCATTAAAACTTCGGCCAAATAAACTCCAAAAAAGCCAATACTAATGGCCAGTTCGAGGTACGGCAGTTTTAATGGTTCCAGTTTTTTCAATATACTGTTCCGATCGGTAAAAATTGAAGTATTTGTGGCTAAATATTTCTCGTAGTTTTCGCGAATCTCTGGCATCATATGGACAAACACCGTAAAGAATAGGACTCCGCCTCCAATTTGAGTCAATATTTGTATATAAAAATTGGACGATAAAACACTTGTCTTATTACGACTATCGTTGGTCGTTATTATCACTGTCTTCGACAATCTCCTTCGGGTCCACATTCGGATCAAATATATGGGAACTGTACCGACCAGTAGAGTCACCAAAAATAAGACTCCGGCGGCCAATAATCGGTCAGCAGTTATGTTCATTGTGTCTTATAGTGTAAAATACAGTAGAGTTGAGTGAAAATGTGATAAATATTTGATTTTACAAAATTATAAATAACTAAAATAATTAATCACTTATTTAAATAACAACTACGAAAGATAAAGTATGTACACTAATGTATAATATAATAACAATATATCAAAAAATGTTTATCAAATTTAATAACTAAGTATTAATAAAAACATTTTAGTTAATATGTGTTTAAATCTTTATTTTTCTTAAAACTTAAATTCCGAGGAATTTCTTGATTTAATTGCAATAAATTTAATGTTAACAACAAATAATTGTATTTATTAAGTATAGCTGGCTTTAGATAATTCAGTCCAACACCAGTTCAGTACATTATTATATTTTCAAAACTTTTTTTTAATAATTTCATAAAGTTATTTGATTGACATAACTATTAATTTTTTTCAATCTTTCATTGACAACATAAACATTTTAGTAGTGATTGATCAGAAAATAACCAAATGGTGTCTCTTTTTATATACAATGATGTATATAGTGATAGTAATATTGATAATGAAAAACCATGGACATGTTTTTGAGTACACAATTTTTTAATTTAAAAAAAATAGTATTAATATAACTAATTTCTCGTTAAAATTGTGAGATTAGATATATAAAAATTGTCATCAAAAATTGTAATAATTATTATAATTATAAATAAATAAAAACCAAATAAAAAATCATATGAAATTTCTCATTATCTATTGAATATTTTATGGATATTTTTTATGTAATATAAAACTCGTAAATGTCAATTGAGTGTCATCTGATTGTATCAGTTATTATATTAAAATCACAAACAAAAGTATGAAATACCTATTATTTAATTAATAGTATATCTCTATTGAGTCTTATAATAATATTATATATACTATTATATATTAACTTAATACTTAATTAATGTTAACTAATATTCTACTTATGGGGTAACATAACTAATAATCAATTTATTATAACACTGTCTGCTAATTAAATCAGTAATTGAGATAAATTATATAAATAACAAATCAATTGACGTGAAAACTTAAGTTGCTCATAAGTTTTAATAAAAAAAAATTTAAAAATTAACATTGTTTAGTTGATAAAATAAAATAATTGAGTTTAATCAGTACATCTATTACTATGTCAGTAGACAAATCAGTTACTTAATAATATAATCAATTAATAGTAGTAAAAACTAATAATTTAATTATACAAAAAATAAAATGTACTGTACTTTTTAACACTCTATGATTATCACTTAATCAACAATTTATAACAAATTTATACATTGCATTGTCAATTGTCACGCGTTTACCTATTATTATCAATAATAATAATAATAATAATCTTATTTTGATGACACTTAATCTCTTCAATTAGTTCAAGCAATTTGCTATAGTATTTACAGTAAATTTCATGTCAAACTGAAAGCAGATACTTAACTGTAATAAAATATCAATAAATTATATCATTTTAATACTGTTTAATTTAATCAGTATTACAATTTGTATTATTTTTAAGATCCTGTTTATTTAATTTTCAGTTACTTAATTAAAGGTAAGGTAACACAATTTTTATATAATTCTAATAAAATCTATTTTTATAATAGAAATATGATAACTCCATCAAATAAAGTAATAATTTTAAAATCATATGATTGCAATATACTGTATATTTTATATAAAAAAAAACTTTTGATTTAAGTCTAATGAACCTAAATTTTATTGAGACAAACTGTTAAGTCTTTAAACTTTTCATTTACCGGTAAAATCCCTCTCCAATGATAATAATTGTCAATAAGTTTATCAAATGATTGAACACACATTTTCAGTGACAATAAAATATATAAATAAGGAAATAATTAATAAAATTCATTAAATAAAAAATTATTTATTTCATAATAATACTAATTACGACATTTAACATAAACAATAACATATTAAATGAATTGGCATTAAATGAATTTTTMGAAATATAAACATTTACATCTAAAAAATCAAGTTTTACTTTAAAGTACTATTTATGTTATAGTAATTTATTTAAATTTTTTAAATTACCAATAAATTTCTAATTATTAATGTAATAATATAGATATAAAAGTAAAAAATCAAATGATATGAATTATTTTGTTTAATGACAAATTAAAAAATATCCCATTAAATTTTATATAGTAATTAAATAGATATTATGATAAAGTGATATTTTATAATAAGAAACAAAAATTAAAATTTAAATAAAATAGTTGTGTTATGAAATGTCAAGATTATGAATGTTATAATTAATAGCGTTTATTGTTTTTGAATCGGATCCTCTCCTGATAAAATTGTATAACAATTTGCGGGCATTTGTGGTTTGCAATACTAGCCGGCACTAAGTCGGCATCGATACCTCCCTGCCATTGAACCAGATACAGGAGCTCACCGTCTATATCAGTATGATATTAATTATAAATAAATGTCAAAAAATTAAGACTATCTGTTCTCAATGTCCATAACAACAATAACAACACAGATATTATAGTAATGGGAGATAAATAACTGAACTTAAAATGCTATAGTATTATAAATAGTATATTAAAGATAATATAATGCATAAAAATTTATTTAGTACCCGTAAATTATTTGATAACATGTTTATGAATAAAAAAATCAAGTGAAACAAATATATACCTTATATTATTCTAATTAATTAAATATACAGTCAGTATGTAGATTATCATACAAATTAGTACAGTATATACTGTATTATATACTCACAAAAATTTGTATTCCTAAATAAATGCCATATATATGAGATATCGGTTATATAATATTATTGTCAAACAAACAAAAATATAATATTAAATAAAGAAATAACTATAAACTTTGTTAATAATTGTTTCAATTCACACGATAACTATTTATTAGATTTAGACTAACACTGAGTCCTAACATTTGAACACTTGTTTAGTATAATTAATTGACTTTAATAACTAATATAGTAACTCATTTGTCTATTATCCTATCATAGGATTACTAGTGTATTGAAAGTATGCTAAACTGGTATACATCACAATGTTATGATCATCATTATGATCACATGTTAATAGTTTTGCAATTAATTAATAAAAAACAATAATATTTATGTGTGAAATGTCTTTAAGACATTGAAGTTACCAAATGTGGCAATTGATTGTAAATTGAGTGGTTGTAATAAAACCATATGTTTTATGTGTGGGACTGATTTATGTATGCCTACCCATTACCGCTAATAACTAACAGTAAAATACAGTTATACTAAATATAAAAATATCTACACACACACACACACACACAGATTTTGCAGAAAATTTTGTGTGTGTAAAAAATAGCTTAATTACAAACATATGTATTACTAATATATTAGTTATTATTTTTAAAAAATTAATAGTACCATACAATTATTGTCTACAGTACTACTGAAATTTAATAATAAATACTTTAAATAATAATTACCAGTAATCAATTGGACTAATTATTTTAGTTAAAAACTAAATGACAATATAATATCCAATGAAATGTTATGGTATATTAATTACTRGCAAACACTAGTATACTTAAATCTATACAAATAGTATTACTAATAATTTGATAGATAAAGTAAATAACATAAAAGATAAATAATATAAAATATATTTTGTTGTTATTATTGACATGTTTTGAGAACAGATCCTAAAAATCATTTGACCACTAATGGCCAAAACGGTAATATATATTATAAAAGTCATACTTAGTTCTGTAATGCCAATGATTTTCTCCGCCTCATAACCCCTGGAAAAGCCAATTGAGTCACGAGTGGTGCGCGACTCACGAGTCGAAGCCGATGCGGCCGTCGATGACTTCTTTGATGACGACTTTGATGTCGACGGCAACGTCTGTAATGACTTAACTGTGGCTTCGTATTCATCAATCAATTCCTGTGGAAAAAAACAATCAATAAAATTGTATACAAAATTAAAAAACAATATCAAAACAGTTTCCTCACCTGACAGTCCAGATTTAGAAGAGCTGTCCATTGGATCAAACAAAGTAACAAATTTATGTCAGATTTACAAGAAATTTCATAATCAAAATCAATTGATACATACGTTCCCACGTGTTGTCATTGTCATCATATCCCTGCCATTTAATCATRTATTCAACTTTGTTGTTTCGGCGTCTCTTATCCACCACTTTCTCGACCACATACTGTCCATCTCCGCCGTCATCGCCTCCGCTCTCGTCCTCATTCACCTCCTCTTCGCCAACAGATTCGCTATCGTCGGCTGTCTTCACCTTTTTCGGTGACTTCGTCCGACTCGATGATTGTCTCTTCTTGCTCTTAGCCATCAATGGTTATTATCAAATCAATTGATAAAAAATATTGTGGACCTAATAGTTTCGGGTCAGTCAGTGGTCACACAAAACGTGTATTTGTTTATTAATATTATTATCGGTAATGAAATCAATAATAAATTGTTTGACTTATTGTTTGCTATAATAAGTAAAACAACACTCAAAGGCTTATATTACCGGTCAAAACAAATGGGCGTAACTCTACCAATAAATGTATGTAAAGTTAACGCCTTTTTAGAAATTATAATATTATTTTCTATTCATATATTTTTTGTCTTGAATTTCGCGCAAAATTTGAATAATTATTATTTGATTGAGAGTTTCGGTAAAAGTAAAAGTCAATTATGACGAGTCAAATGACCATTAGTTTGGATTTACCGAAACCACTGAATCTGATTGACGACAAACTATTTCTCGGTAACATTCAATCGGCGACATCGTGTGATATACTGACCGAACATAAAATCAAACGCGTGTTGTCCGTCATTGAACTACCAATTGAAACAAAATATCCGTTTATTGAGTACTTTCATGTGATAGCAGAGGACGTCGAAGAACAGGATCTGTTGACACATTTTGAGGAGACCCGACAGGTGATAGCTGACGGACATCGCAAAGGTCACAACGTATTAGTCCATTGTATGGCCGGTATTTCTCGAAGCTCTACAGTGGTTACGGCATTCTTGATGAATAAGTACGGAAAGAGTTACTCCGACACCATTGATATGGTTCGCACCAAACGATCGCAGATATACCCAAACGAAGGCTTTCGGAAACAGTTGAAACTTTATGAAGAAATGCGGTTCACATTGAATGCCAATTACAAGAAGTTTAGACGATATCTGATGAGTCAATTGATGACTATTGAAAATATAGAAAAGTATATCAAACGCCGGGATTACGTGGAAAGTCTGGTAAAAGTACAGAGAGGCCAACAGTACGGATGCGCCAAATGTCAGTTCAAGTTATTCGATGAGATCAATGTCGTTGACAATGAAGTACCGAACAAGCAATTGGCGAAAAAATCATTCGCTGATACCAACCAATGGTGTGGCAATCTGTTTGTTGAGCCACAGAAATGGATGTTACCGTTGAAGAATGATAGAGTCAATTGTCCCAAATGTCGACAAACCATCGGCTCTTATAATAATAGTTTTGTCTCATATGACTGCAAATGTCTCAAACATAATGGTTTGTTTGGCATTCAAATCAAAGTTTCTAAAGACTTGTTTAAGTTAGTCGTTTGATTAATAAAATTCTAGTTTTAAGATTTATATCTATAAAAAAATATGAAATTAGTGAAAATTTTATTAATATTCAAATTTACTATTATTGATAGCATTAATAAAAAAATAATTTACACTGTTTTCAAATATTTATAGACTATGTATTTTAATAAAATTTGATAATCATTAAAAAACAATTTCAAACATTTCATTATGAGTTCAGTAATTTAGTAAATTTTAAAATGACATTAAAGTTACTAAACTGAAAATACTAGAAAAGTTATGTCATTAGCTTAAAGCAATTGGTCAGTAATATATATATATATATAAATTGTAACAATTATAGATTAAAATATTTAGTAATAAAAATATTAGTCAATGAATAATATAAAATATTGAACATAAAAAAAATTAAAATTTATAAAATATTAAATGATAAAAAAATGATTTGTTTGGTCAATAAATGTATGGACAGTAAGTTGTTATGGATTATTAAGAGCTAATCCATTTCGTCAGCTTTTCTTTCATTGATTTATCTTCTATTGCCTTCCATTTGATCCGAGATGTGATGATCCGACTCCAGTCGCTGTCCTTTTCGGGCATAAATGCAAACACTTGTGGCTCTAATCGACCCATAAGTAAATCGTTTTTTAACTGTTTGTTCTTATCATCAATAATATAGTCGACACACAGACAACATTGTTGTTGATATAAATTGCGGTCATTTTTTAATATTTTATAAATATTTGCTTCAATACTAAGTGCCAGTGCCTGTGTGTTTAGCGCACCTTTAGGTAAATCATCCGAGTTTAGTGCACATAATAATCGGTGTTTCTCTTGTTGTCTCATAGTGTACACGTTATTCATACGATGTCCGGCACTGTCTAATTTGCCAGATGGCCGACCGCTGCCAATCAAATCAAACTCACTTTCCTTTAATGTACGGCTTTCCAAACGTCTGGCCCGAACCACCCGAATCGGAACTGTTCTCTTTGGTGTGGTTGCCAATTGACTGCCCGGTGCCTGATATGTGTCCTCTACCACACCATTTACCGATTCATTATTGATTTCGATTAAACTCTTGTGACTTATCACTGATTTGTTAACACTTTTAGTTTTATTAAGTTTCCAGACTTTGTGTCGTTTGTTTTCTATCTCTTCCAGCATTTCTCGTTTCAATTTCTGGCTCCGGGATATATATCCATTTGAATTAAAGTTAAAGTCACAAACGGGTGATGACATTATTGTAGTCAAAATATGAGTTATTCAATTAAAACATAAATATAATTTGTAAAACAAAATTTAAACTAATTTAACATATAATAAAAACAATAAACTATATAAAACTATAATATTGGTAATAAGTCATTAAAAGAGTGAATCTAAAATTGAAATGAATATAAATGTAAATTTGTATTTTTATATATTTATTAAATGAAAAAAAATCTAATATTTAAATTATTTTAATTGAATTTATCATAGGGGAAAAAGTATCTATTGGCTATAAATTATAATTTTTTATGATCTAATCATAGACTAAAATATTTATCTATTGCTCACATATCAAATAAAATATACCTAATTGTTAATCAATGTGTTATATGTGAGAATATTTTTAGAAAAATTAATTTCTCTTTAAGTACTATAGTTTGAAATATTTTGTTGTTGTTTTAATGTACTTTTATAAAAAAAATATACAATGAGAAATCAAATGGTAAATAATACATACAATATCTTTAATGAATAATTTTTATTAATATGAGTAAATTCATACAAATTTAAAACTTATAATCAATTTTGAAAACATTTCCAGATTTATTTTTAAGTTTTAATGTATTGACAAATATATTATATTTACAGTTAAATTATATCAAGCAACTTTTGTGATAATCATGATTGAAATCAATGAATATAAATACAATTGTGATGATTATATACTATATAATATACAGTTTTACAATTTAACACAAWTTTCTTTGCTATTTTAGATATAAATATTAATAATACAGTAATAGACTTATACTGAGAGTTCATTTAATATTTAGTAATGTTTAAAAAAAAATTATATAAATTACAAATTTATTATAATTTCTTTAATTGCTTTTCAAAACCTATAGTATTGATTGCTATTTTTTTTGTTCATATCTTTTTGCGGCAAATATTAATTTAATTGAAGCCATCGGTGAGCTATAATTTGATGAATAGTAGGTCTGTATATAGGATTGATGACAACCATACATTGTATGAGCTGACAAAACTCATAGGTTGTTAGTCTGAGACGGCCCTCTTCAACCATATGGTTTACCACAGTTTGATCGGTAATACTGTTGATGATGTCTCTGATTTCGTTGTGCTTCCGGTTTCCACCCAACGATTCACAGACGGCGAGTCCCAAACACCAGATGTCAATGGGAAATGTCTGAATTGGTGTCTGCGATACAAGAGTTCGCGATTCCGGTGCCATATACCTGATTGTTCCGGTAAAACCAAACACCTGTTGTGCAATTCGGGACAAACCATAATCGCACAGTTTGTAAGTTCGCTCACCATTACTGTCAATATATAGAATATTCTCAATTTTAATATCCAAATGTGCGACACCTTTGCTGTGTAAATACCTGAGCCCTTGACACACTTGTTTGAACCATACCCTGGCATCAGTTTCGCTTAGTGTCCCCCCATTCATAAGTTGTTGTAGACTACCGGTGCATAATTCCATAAAATGCAAATGTCTGACAAATGGAAACTCTGTCCGCTTATCGATAATGTTAAACACTTCTTCCGATCGGACAATATTTGGATGAACTAAATGTTTGTGAATAGTGTACTCTCTGAGCATTTCATTGACCGCTTCATAAGGTGTCCGATTCCTGGCGTATCTCTGCAATGAAATTATTTTACAGGCGATCTCTTTATCTGTATAGTTGGACATTCCTTGTCTGTTTGACAAAAGTCTACTACATTTGACTTTCCATATACTGGCGAAACCACCGGAACCTATCATTTCAATAAAATTAATGCCATTCTCTTCAGCTATTCTCACCTCATCCACCARCAACGGTAGATCTTTAGGTATTAATACCTTATATTGGTCWCCAACATCCGACCATTGCTGCCATTTGTCCAATAAATCATTCAAATTTGGATATATTTCTGAAATTGGTGGTTCACTGCCAGATGCCTGTTCCCTACTTTGTGTTGATTGATCTGTAGTTGGAGTGGGTCCTGTTGACGATCGGGTAACATTGAAACGTCCAGTTGTTTGTGATGACTGATTTGACACTCGGGTCACATTAAATCTACCTGAGCCAGACATACCGTATGCTTGAAATATAGATAACAATATAAATTAAAAAATATTTTATCAATATTTCTAAAATAATAAAAAAATCAATTGTTGCTTAAAATACAATTAAAATTATATCTATTAATACAACAATAAAAACATAAGTTAACAAAATGTGTGAGTCATCAAACACGACACTATCATCTACCACACCACAGATTAGTGATATTGAAATATGTTTGGTGTGTTGTCGCCCACTGTCCGATCCGGCACTTACCTCAACGTGCAGACATCAGTTTTGTTTTGAATGTCTCAATGAGTGGTCGACTGAACACTATCAGTGCCCACTGTGTCGACGCATATATGGTTATATGATTTGCGAGAGTCACGATCCTAAACAAATTGAATACATACCGATTGGCTATTGTGGACCAATTATGGTGCCCAAAGAGGAACGTGATCTGCTGGAGGAAGCAGAGGATCGATATCAGGCTATAAGTCATACTTTGGCGCGACTCAAACACAGAAATCCAATCAACAAAAGTGAAGCCAAAAAGACTGTTAAGTCCATTGAAATGCTGGAAAAGTTGGAAATAGAAAGCAAAGCATTGCTTAAGAAACGCCAAAAACAAAAGGAAAGAGCTTTAAGAAGATCCAAACGTGAAGACAATAGGCGTATAATTAGTGATATCAATGAACAGACGACAACAACAGGTCACAGAAGAGGTCGGAGTCGGAGTCGAAATAGAGAGTGAAAATGATATATCGATATATGTGACACAAAAGTGTGACAAAACAATACAATAGGATTTATAGGAATTATATTGAAAATCAATTAAAGATAGTGTAATAATTTTATCGCATTACTATAGTTAGTAATTAATATAAATCGTAAATTTATTATATAGTATATGATCAGTATATTAATGGTAATATATGATAATCTCAACATATCATACAATTCAAATTACGATCTCATTGGATGTATGTGTTGTCTGACAAGTGTATGACTTTGTGATGGATCCACTAAATCGCGGTATTGAGAATAATTGTTCAAATCTTTGTCTGCCATTTCTGATCCATAGATGTCAATCATTGTCTGTGTCGGTCCTATCACTCTAAGATTATTTGACCACCACTGCATCAAACAATCATTAAGTTAGTCTAAATTTGACATTTCATTACATGACATAAATCAAATACTAGCTTTAAATTTAAATATGTTTTCCATATTTTGTGTCTCAAATTATTTCAAGTAATTAAATTATTTTTGTTTGTTTGTTAAAAGTTAGTAAATTAAATCTAAGGAATAGATTAGATTAAAATAAAGTCAAATATATTTACTTTTTGTATATCCATTATATGTCTACATTAGTATTGGGAATCACTTACTGTATGACACAGTCTTTATCCTGTTTTCCGGGACCCGAACCCTTACCGCCTGCTCTTCGGTTTCTTTGTTGTTCTAATACCTGTTGTCTCCACTCAATGTACTCTCTTTGTTCTCTATCTTCTTCAGTCTCTTCGAGATTATATTCTGGCATTTCTTGTTGCTGTTGATCACTAAACTGTCTACTTCTTGGTCTGAAACTTGATTCTTCTTCTTGTTGATCGGCGTACGGATCAAATTGTCTCTGATTTCTGATTTGCATTTCTTTTTGAAAACGTCGGTCCAATTCATTCAATTGTCTACTCATTGGTTCACTTTCATCATCAGATGTCTCACCAATTGTACCGATTGGTAAAAACTTAATATTTGGATCAGCTGACGGAAGACTTGATCTTTGTTTAGCCAATCGTCGTCTATAAGCTCTTCGGTCGACAATGCCTTGTGGTAATTGATCGTTGACCAAAAAGGCGCGTTGAAAGCGTTGTATTTTTTTGACCATTTCCTGATCTTCGACACTCTGTCCGTATTGAGTCCATGGAAATATCATACGATTACTGGCGGCCTTCTGATTGGTGTGCGATATATCGGCCATATTTCGGTAGCTTTTGTATGTTTCTAACTCTTCCTTTGGTAAAACACTCAAACGAGATGCAAATGCCTGTTCTCGAGGACTGTAATAATCAGTCGATTTGTTTTCTATTTGATCGATATTGAGATTATCGAGACTTGAAGATCGAAGTCGTTGGCTATTCCATGGCATACCGTAATCCAATCGACCGGTTGGCATGAGATTAGATTTTTTTCTTTTTCCCATACCTTTGATCCGACGATTCACTTCATTGACTGACGACAAATCTGACATACTTTGACTGCGCGTCATTCGTGGCCTAAAAGAGTCATTTTCAGAAAGTTTATCAAATGATAAATTTTGTTGATATCTACCATTAATTTTACTGAATCCCATTTTTGCTAACTCACTCTGTTTGCGATCTGTTTTACTCATTTGTGGTTTTATGATATTAATCGTACGTTTCCTAAATCTTTCGGCCAATATATCAGAAGCACATCTATTGGGCGCAACTTTAAACCTTTGGGAGTCGTTTTTGATATCATTTTCAATTAATTCAATATTTGGTTCACCTGTTATTGGGTTTTGATATCGCTGAACAATTTCTGGTAACTGATCACTGGGTCGCGTGAAACTCCATTTTCCGGGTTCTGGTGCACCACTACTACCACCACTACTTGATAATTGACTTCCAAATGCTTGTAGTGCTCGGGGTGGCAGTGAATCCAGTGGTATTGCTAATGGCAATTGACTACGAGTTGATTGTCTGTCTGTTGAAGTACTAAATTTAGTGGGACTTTGAGGTGGAGTATAATATGGAGGACTTTGCGGTGGCGTATGGTATGGAGGACTAGGAGATGGAGAACGGTTTGGAGAACTTGGAGGTGTTGTTCTGTTTCGAGAACTTGTAATTTCATTTCTTGGTATTTTTGATTGATTCTCATTTTTATTACCATTTGATGCCATATTTTTTGTTATTTTCTAATTTTAGATGTATTTCTTTCGGACAAATTATGATTGAAATGAGTTTTCAATTTTATTTTAGTTTTTAAAGAATTTTTAGTTTTAATCTAAAAATCTTATTTTAATATTTTTTATACAACAATATCAACAATTCAAATTAATTCAAATTTTCATTAAAATCACAAAAGAACAGACATTAAAATCAAGATTACAAAGACAACAGCATCTAATCCCAGAAATAGATGAGAAAAGGGAACAATCAGACCAAACAATGAATTACAGTTGTAAGACAAATACCAATACCAATGATACCGATATCAGTGATGAGACAATTTAGACAATACTTGTTATATGAATTATTTTATTCAGGCCTTGTATTCAATACCGGACTTTCGATACAATCTCAATATCAATGGCACTAAACCTCTTCATTTGGCGCTTAAAAACCTTTTTGATTCAATGGCCGCCAAATCGGATCAAACAAATTCTGGGATATATTAACAAATTACACGAATCAGTTCAAAGACAGACAAATAATGGCAAACAATTGACAGATAATAGATAGCGTCGGCCTAATAGAAAGTCTGGAACAGTTTGTGGACATAACCTATTTTGTTATAATGTTTTTCGGACAACTCAAGTCTATACCTGAAACCAATGATGACATTGACATTAATACATGTCTTAAAGAGTATACCGATGTCGAGGTACTCGACAATGACTCGATGCCCACTTGTGAGACGTGTCAGTCAAAGAGGAAGTCATTCAAGTCATTATCATTTTCCCGAATCCCTCCAATTCTTATCATTCAACTCAAGAAGTTTGTCAATGACGGCAACAAAATATCAAAAGCCGTTACAATTAACAGTCAACTTGTAATCAAAAGCCACAACTATTATTTGTTTGATGACGAAGTGGTACATTGTCTCATCAGATGCTTATATATTGTTTAACCGATTGAACCCGAGTGCCCTATTAATAGGTTTGATGGCTACTATTGTCTATGGTGTAGGAACTTCTAGTGATGTTTGCGATGAAACTATTGCGAGTATGGCTTTTGTGTCTATTCCTCGACATATCTATTGGATATTACAAACAATTAAAAATAATAGCAATACTTAATAAATATCAATGTTTTAAAAACTAAATAAATCAGTAAACTTAATAAACTATATTATGTACAGTAAAGTTAAATTATTAATGTTATTATTTTATAATTTATTATTATAATAGTTTTACTTAGATAATCAGAAATATATTTATTAATAAAATATTATTTATAATATTTAATAAATAAGCAAAAAAAAAAATAAAAAAAATAGTTTTAGTCTTATAGGTTTGATTGATAACAAATAAATTAAATTTTAAGTACTAAATAAACACAGTTTTTATTTTTTAAATAACTACAAGTTGACATTTATTAAGTATTGCTATTGTTTTTAATTGTTTGTAATATCCAATTGATATGTCGAGGAATGGACACAAAAGCCATACTCGCAATAGTTTCATCGCAAACATCACTAGAAGTTCCTACACCATAGACAATAGTAGCCATCAAACCTATTAATATGGCACGAGTTCGGGCACTATCTATATACTGGACCAAACCTGCACCCGAATCACCCTTAATTATATTTAGGTATAATTATTAATTTTAACAAATTTATTATTTGTAACATATAATAGTCACATAAATACTAACCGAACAAACCCGGGTATCGGGATTTGTATGACCTCCTGATGAACACATCATTTCTCTATCATAACAACCGATTTGTCGGGTCAATGCAATGTCTGCTTTTTGTAACCTATCTGACAGTTGATTGGTCGATACCAATCCCCAACCAAACACTGTTGCCGTATCGTAATGTCTGTTAAATGGTTTATCACCCGTAGGAAGACACACACCATTGATTAAGTAATGGCTGCTATAGATTGTAGTATTCATATCGCTATTCATTTTATACAATGCAATGTCGGCTTCTCGTGATTTACGCCAATCCATTGTAAAGTTTGGATGAATAAACATGTCTTTCTTATGGACCCAACCCATGACATCTCTGTTAGGACCGGCTCGCACTCGACTCCAACTATATTCAATAGTTTTGGTTTCATTGCTAATATTATGAACAATAAATTATTATTWATTTATTAAATCTATAATTAATATACAATTAAAAACTAGTGAACTTATAACTAACTCATAATTACAATGGGCTGAAGTAATTATCCAACGCTTATTGATCAATATACCGGTGCACTGGTAGTAATGTTGGCTAAAGAGATGGTATGTAGTGAGTACAACTGTCCATGGTGATTCAGCAAATTCAGCGTCCAATCCCTTATAAATTTTAGTATCAATATTTGGCCGACCATTCCATTGAAACGATCCGAAAATATCGTCAATTGTTATATTTGTATAAACTCTATGTTTAAAACATTTGATCGGATAACTTATCATAACATTTGTCGGCACATATCTGAGCCCACAGTTTCTATCGCCTACACCATTGTTTTGATCCCATTTAACAAATAGTGACAAAACAACTGATGGCAAAACAATTAGCATTAATAATATCATATTTGTTTTATATTTACAGTCCCATAAAATATACAAAAAATGTTTATCAGATTATTATAAACTTTATTCAACAGATTAAATAATATATGATTGTATTTTATATAAACTAATATAGGATTTCATATTTCATTGATTGTATTTTAAAAATCGTTTAATGGGTATTACAGTATGCTTTGTAGTTATAAGTTGTAACTTACAACACGTGAAACAATACATAATACAGTATTATAATTTATAATAATGTATTAAACTCAACAATATTATAAAATTATGTCATTTTTATTAGTTGTAAAACTAATTAGATAATAGCATCGACTGCTAGAGAAAAAACGTTTTTAAGCAGTCGAAAACAGTCGAGTTTTAAGATAGTCTATATCTTTATAATCATAAACTGATAAAATAAAAATGTATCGATTATTACATCAAAATACTGAATATTCTGAATAACTAATTATTTTTTTACAAATTTTATTTACAATAAAGCATTAATTATTTTATATAGAATTATGTAATAAAGTTTAATATAAAATTCTTCAATTAAAAATATTTGAGATTTTGTTAAATAAAATTTAAAATATTAAAACTATTTTATACTGTTGTACTATTTTAGTATATGTGTATTTTAAATATATATTATATATATACATTTGTAAATAATACTATAAATGTAAATAGAATATGCTGTAAGTATATAATTGCAACAATGTAATTTTTTAAATAATAATTTAATTTGATAAAATGTAATAAATAATGATATTAAATAAATTTTTATTTATGTTAACTAATGCTAAGATATGTAATTAATGAATAGAATTATATGAATTAATTAAAAAATTTTCAATAGTTTTTTCAATTAGTTAATTTAGTAGGAAATGTTACTTAAATAAATTGATGGGCATATTATTGTATAATAATTATTAATTAAATATTTAAAAAAAACTTTATGTTCAAAACAATTTATCAGAAAATATAACAAGTAATATACAGTAATCTATTAAACATTAAAAATATTACATTAATTTTTAAAAATAAAAACTACTATTTTTGTCGAAATTGTATTACACAGACAACTAAAACAACTGTTCTTTTCAGTCTTATATTTATATTTAGTTATTGATTGACATTAATGCCAGATCTTTGTCCTCTAATATGTCTGTCCATCAATTGCTGATGTGTTTGTTGGTGTTCCTGTTGTCCTCGTATTTGTTGCTCTGGTAGTTGCGGTTGTTGTTGGAGTTGAACACCAAATCGCTGTATTTGTTGACCCAAATGTTGTCTCATTTGTCGATATAGTCCCGAATCGGACAGTTTATAGCGACGCTCGACCTCAACACCGATAAACACACCGAACACGAGTGCGATCGTCGAGAACAGCATAATCTATGACTCAGTTTTTGTTTATAGAGAACAGGTATCTAAACAGTTATGCTTTTATTTTGATAAAGTTATTATAATAGCTTTGAGATTTAAAAAATAGATTATAACAATTTATAACAATTAGCAAAATAATGTTATATAAAAATACAATTTTAAATAACGTACACTTTATTTATTATTAAGTTAATTATACTTAAACTTTAAACGCGATTTAAACAATTGATTATTTATAAAAATTTTAATTCATTTAATTTCTAACTTTGTTAGCTCTGGAGAGACAAAAATGCTTGATTTCATGACAAAAGTTTTATAGATTATTAGTTTAATTTATTAAATAAACAAAATTATAGCTAAAATTTTTATTAATTTATTTGCATATAATTTATTAATAAGAGTTTGTTTTATAAATTATTATAGTTTAGATTATGTTAAATCCAATAAACGGGTATTTGTTTCGCTACTTTAGGTTTTATATTGTTGTCTTGTTATACACTTTTTTATATTATCTTTAGTTATAATTAGCCAAAATTGTAAACAAATGCTATCTATTGAATATTCAATATCTTATTATTTTATTTTTCTGTAAATTTTTATTAAATTAAGAAACGATTAAATAAAATATACTGAATTATATATTTTTAAAAAACAATTTATATCAATGCAATATTTTATTTTTTAATAAAWTTTTTTTTAATGAATATTTAATACAAAAACAACTCACTGTTTGTACGATACTTATCAATACTATGATAACAAACCATATATTTTACAAGACATTCTCAAATTATATTCAAATATCTATTTTATTAATCCAACAATTTTCAGTAACATTAAAAATTAAGTTTTTTAATAAAAAAATACATTGATTGAGTTTAACTAGAGTTGAATTAAAGTTTAAGATAAAAAATAGTTCATTTAGTAATTTTAATTAAAAGCGATTACACAGACAAAAAGTATATAATTATTATTTATATATTGAACTTTACATTCATTATAAAAAGTAATTAATTGAGTGATACATACTTATATAACTAAGGTATTAATTAGGGATCACTATGTAATGCAATTTAAATCATCATAAATGTCAAAATGTTAGTCAAAACTTAATTAAAAATAAACTAAATATATTATAATCAAAATTTTAATAATGTATACAATTTATAGATTTATTTATGGCTTAAATGTTATTATTTTGTGGTCATATATAGTCGTATGTCAACAACAAAACGATGACTCTTATGATATGGATTTGTTTGAAATAAAAACCAATTCATCGATGGGTTACAACAAATGGGTATATCCTAAGTCTCAATGTATGAAATAAATAAAATTATTTTTAAACTTTAATTACATTTATTTAACTTAAATTTCTACTGAATTTTATTTAATCTATTTTATATTTTATTATTATTAACCCAGTACCAATTGTTGTAAACACAAGTATGTATTTAGTTAATTTTGGATCAATTGATGAACCTAAAGCTGTAAGTATTAACAAAAAAAATAAAATAAAAGTAATAATAAATTAAATTTCATTTCATTTATAGGAGTATACCATTCAATTGATTTTACGATTTGAATGGTTAGATGARAGATTGAAATTACAAACAAACAAACTGTTAGTTTTAGAGGGCGGACAATACCACTTGAGCCGTATTTGGTCGCCGTCTATACATATGCCCAGTAATAAAGATCCCGATGTCCTGCAAGCAAATGATAGGAATCCAGTACTGACTCGCATATCATCTGATGGCAGGATATTGGTTAGCAAACGGTACTTATTTTTATAATAATAGTAAATTAATGTCATTAGCAAATTAATTTGGGATAAAATGTTTTTTTACACAATCAGTATTGTTTTGAATGGGTTGAGTGAAATGGATTTCACATTTTATCCATTGGATAAACAGTATTGTGATATTGCTATAGAGTCCAGTGAGTAGTATCCTTGTGCTTAAAAATATAGTACAGTATCTATAAAACTACTAAACTATTCATTAGATGAGTTGTCCGAYACATATCTGCGTTTTCAGTGGACAGATGACCACCCGTTTGATATGTCCAACGATTTCAATTGGAATGGCTTTGTCTTCGAGGGTTACAATTTAAAGCAAATTAAATCATCTTATAGCCAAACGGGAACATTTAGCAAATTGGTGGCCACTTTTATGCTACGGCGCGAGTTTGGCCAATTCATTCTCGATATATATGTACCATCTATTGTGTTTGTGGTCAGTTCGTGGACATCATTCTGGGTGGACRTATCGGCAGCACCAGCCCGGGCAACACTAGGACTAACACCTATGTTAACATTGGTTACGAGTGCCAAAACAGCGCGCGACAAACTGCCGAGTGTTTCCTATATACACGCATTAGATATATGGATCCTAATGTGCACCTGTATGTTGTGTCCGCTTTTACTTCTAAGCAAATAATAATTGACTTTACATTTAGTTTTTATATTTGCATCACTTGTGGAGTACGCGACGGTTAACTATATTTATCACAAAGACTTACGAAAGCCATTCAAAACACCAAAACCATCAAAACAATTGTCGCAAAAATCAGATACTCATAGAAATAACATACAAACCATAACAAAGGGACTGTTGTCTAGCAATTTAAGTGTCAATTCATTGAATAGTAGTTTTGAGTCAACTTGTCTTAGCAAAAATGAGTCGTCAAATAAGGTATTGTCTAAATAACTATTTTTTATTGTAATAATAATATTAGTTTATATTTCTATCGTACCATATATTGAAATAAAAGGCACAATCAAGTCCTATATCCCTGTTTGCCAATAATGAGTCTAAGATAATCAATGGCAGCGACGGTGGCATAGAATTAATTGTACCGAACATTAGGACTGATAATGAATCGGTATTTTTTCGAGAGGACTCACACCAGTCAATAGAAAATGTAAGTCCAGTGAAAACCTGTAAATCATCACAAGATATGGCCTATGATATCGATCGCATGTGTCGTTACATATTTCCCATTAGTTTTTTACTAATAATTATCATTTATTGGGTTACACTTATTCTGATGACATAAATAGTTAAATAAAATCTTTTAATTACTAAAAACGGAATAAACTGTATGCTATTTTGCAAAATTTATATTTAATTTATAATATTTTAGTATTCTATCATAATTAAATCTATTATTATTATTAAAGTTTTAAAATATTTATGCACTTTAATTGCACTTAAACATTTTCTTAGTAAACACTGCAATCATTAAAATATTAATTTTGTGATAAGTTATATTACAAATTATACGATATATGCTATATATATATATATATCCACTATATATTCTGTATTTTTTATCGAGAATTTTGCAATCATTACAAATTGATATAAATTTTACTATACAATTGAAATATTAAAAAAAATTATACAGTAATAGTTTTAGTGTGCAGTATACCTGTACAGTATATTAACATGATATAATATTTTATATAAGGTATGTGCATAGTTGACATTTTGAAATGTATTTTTATGATACTAAATATAAATTAAAATTATATAATCAAAGAAATCTACCGATAGTTAAATGTGCACTTTAAACAAAATTAAATATAAAATAATTATTTTACAATCGTTTATACGGATACTTATTTAAAAATATGTTACAGTATTGAAAATAACTAGCATACATACTAAATGTGAAAAATTGTATGATAATAAATAAATTGATGCCATATAATAAAACAAACAAACAGATAAAATTTTCACATAATTTATCACAAGAATATTTATTTATTTTTTAAAGTTTAGAAACTTTATTACATTTAATAAAATATCTTATTTATGAAAAAAATATTGAATATATAGTTTAAGTAAAATTGTATACATAATACAACAACAATAACAAACAAACATATATTACATATGTAATAGTTAATGGTTAGATAAGTGCTGGTAATTAATAAATTAAAATCCATTAGTATGGAGGTGTCCATCGTGTTGATCACACGGACAAAAAGCACAGAAATGTGCGGCCGACCACTCTTCGTGTGCGTCCCTAATATTTTTGATGAGCTCCCGATACTCGTCGTGAGCTATTTTGGTGAGCCTATCATAATAGGGTAGTTCCCGACGCAAACGGTTAAACCAGCCCCAGATGTTTGAGAAGGAACTCAGATCAAACTCGACAGCAATTTCCAGTAGTGTTACGTTTGCCAACAATGATATGTCAGCTATGGTTAGGGTATCGCCCGCCACATAGTCTTTGTTAATTAAAAATATCTCCAAAAATGTTAGTGAATCGGTTAACTCAAGAAATTTATCGCTCCGGGAGGCACTGTATTCGTTTGGTAACTAATCAATAAAGTCAAGCAGGTCATTTTAAAAAAAACTCAAGTAGTACTGTTATAAAAWATATATATATACTAACCGTGAATTCAAAGTGTGCTGATATAACTGCGTGGCTCAATGTTTTCAGGTCAAAGTTCAACAGTCTGTCCACAGTTGCTCGCATTTGTGGATCTTTTGGGTAGAGTGGAGAGTCAGGTGCATACTTATTGCACAGGTATTGCATAATTGCCCGGCTCTCCCATAATACAAATCCATTGTCATTTAGGGCCGGAACAGTATGGCATGGATTTATCTAATTTATATATATTTTAATAATATATTAAATAGTTTATATTATATTGAACGCTATTAATATTGTATGCAATATAATTATTTATAAAACATAATTTTAAAATTATTTCTAATTATTTGTATCAATGCATTAATTAAACTTAAATGTACCAATAATTACATAACATTATATTGATTTATAACTTATCATAAAATAGTGATCATAAAAAGTTTATTAACTCTAACTATACGACTCAATACAACTCATTAATGTAACTATTACTACAGGGTATTTAAATTGTTTTTAGTCGACTTATTATATTATTAAGTAATTGACAATACCTTAAGTATTATGATTAGTATTTACATTAAAAACAAAACAACTAAATTTTGGAAACTAATATAATTACGTAATTCTGTTACCATTTATTAAGTTATTTATACTGCCTTATACTGTATTAACTTTGTTTTATATAAAGTAAGGTATTATTAAGTATAATTTTGATGAATAAATCATATGATAGTTCATCATTCATTAAACATCTATCAATTTTAGTACAATACTGCACATAATGTAATATTTATCATATAATCATTCAATTGTTTTTTCTGTTCAATTGATATAAGTGATAACGTTTTATAAAAAATTATTTAGTGTTTTAAATGATTAACTGACATATAAAATAAATGTATCCAGGTAAATAATAATAGTCGATAACACAAAACTTTTTTAATGTCAATGAAGTTCAAAATAAATAATAAATAAATAATTATGAAAAAAATATTTAGCTATTAATCAATAATTTATAAAACTTACTTTTTTATACTCATCTGTTTGCGTGTCAATGTATGGTCTAATATATATCTCATTCAACGGTATATTGAGATGTGTGGCCAACATCTTGACAGCCCTACAATACGGACTGATTCTTGATGTATAAAAGTCAATCTTATGGGCACCGGTATGATGGCTATGAGCTATAGAAGCTACAGAAGCAGCAGCATTGCCAACATTAGTAAAATTGGCATCAATTTCATACAAATATCCGTTTGTATTGGCCATCAAACTATTAGCACTACTGTTAGGAACATTATTTAAATAATTACCGTTCATTTTGCATGCATTAACTCATAAACTGAATTAAAAACTACTATTTGATAATAAATATTTGCTTAATATCAATATTTTGGATGAAAACAACTTTATTGAATATCATTTATAAAAAAATTATAAAAAATTACTTTATCCGTGTGCAGTATATTATATGTATAAGCAAATATAAATTAATAATAAAATGATATTTATATTAAACTATGAACCTAAATAATAGAAAAATAATTTTTATATATACATGTATACATGTATATATTTATACCATGGTGATTATCGTGTTATATTAAATTATCAACTATCAACATTAGATATGACAAAAAATAATTAACATTGGTAAAATAAAGTTGATGATATTTTTAAAAAAAGTATACACAGTATATTATACAGAATAGTATATTTACTAAAATAAAGTGCAATAAATTATTTGTATAGATTGTATTTTATTTATTCAATTAATTTGTATTAATCACTAATAAAATAATGAATTCAATGTTATATTGATAATTTGAGTAATTCAATGTTTTATATATTAATAATTTCAGTGATAATGACAGAAAGTTAATTCAATAACACTTAAATAATCATATAGTTTAACACAATAACATTATACTGTATACTGTATAGTAATTGCCTTGTATTTCTAAATAAATATTTATTATTTAGTGTATAACATTAATTGATTCAAAACTTATTTGAATTTATGACTAACTGTGCTTATGTTTGTTGACCAACCCAGGGGTGATTGAATACCTGATCGATGTCCGGTCGTTGTTGTGGATCTACTCTAGTCATCCATAAAATCAATTGACTTACCTGTTGACTGATACTCCAAACTTGGTTAACATTGTCGTGTGTTTGTCCCTCATTGTCTCGAATAGCTTTAACCAATTGACGAGCTTTGGCCCTACCGGACAATGTTTCTGTCAATACCAAACCTAAAGTAAAGATATCGATTGGTTTAGATAAAGACATTTTTTTAGTCAACCCAATTACCTCTGGAGCCGCATACAGACGTGTGCCGACAGTACCAAACACTTGACCAACGGTTTGTGGATCATATTTCTTGGAAACACCAAAGTCACCCAATTTGAATGTCAGTTGAGGTGTTTGTCTATACATAACATTGTGAATCTTGAGATCCAAATGAACAATGTTTTTGTGGTGTAGATATTGCAAACCCGATGCATAGTCTTGAAAGGCATTTCGGGCCTCATTTTCGTTGAGCTTTTTGTTGGGATGATCTCCAAGATATTTCTTGAGGTCGCCGTCGCACAGTTCCATCAGTTGTATGCACCGGCAAAATGGGAAACCAGTTGTAATATCGTGAACATAGAACAAGTGTTCACTTTTAACAATATTTGGATGTTTGAGAGACACATGTAGTTGTGCTTCGTGTAGAAGCGAATCAACCGCTGACCGGACATCACTTCCCGGTTCGTGAAATTTAATCAATGATAGTATTTTGCAGGCCATGTCCACCTCAACATAGTTACCCTGGTCATCTTTTATAAGCCTCTCGGCGGTAACCTTCCAGACCTTTGCGTAACCTCCGTGTCCGAGCAGTTCTTTGAAAGTGAAGCCGTGGCTCTCGATATAGACGAGCTCTTCAGTAGGCAGTGGGACATCTGTCGGTATAGGGTCCGCATACTGATCGCCCACTATTGACCAGTCAGTGTAATAATGGTGCCATTCGGCTGGTCCATGCAATGGTAAATCATTATATTGACCATAACATGCCCTTTCACCCCTAGTCGTAGTGGGAAAGTTATAGTCATCGATGGGATATTTAGGTCTCGGGTATAATCTTCTATTCGAATAACGAGTATCAATACCATAACGTCTATGTCTTGATCGCATATCACTCAATGGATCCCTAATACCACCTCTCGTATGTTTATAACTTTCCTTTCCAGCATCGGTGGCAAGTTTTTTTATATAATCTAAGTATTCACGAGTCGGTATAATTGGCGGAGGAGTAATGGGTCGAGAAGGTGTCTTTATAGRCGTTGGTGTAGGTATTGGTGGCCGTGGATCAGGTCTATTCATTTGCTCCGAGAAAGCATTAGATCGTCGCCTGAATTCATTGTCCCAAACATTGTAGAGATCATTAATGAATGCATTAGATCGGGGCCTATAGTCTGTCGGCGGTTCAACCACTTCCTCAGTAATAGCATCTGTTCTCGTTGTGTTATAAACTGATGAAGTGCTAGCATCGGGATCACCACTGAAAGCGCTGGAACGTGATCTGTAAGCCATTATCTCTGACTAAAACCGCTGTTTTAATGATAGTATTGTTATTTTGATAATTTTTTARTTAAATAAATTATAAATAAAAATCAATTGTTTCATTGTAAATATTAAGTCTAATTAAAGTTTTCCAATATTTCAAACGTTTTCAGATAAATTTATAAATAATTAATAAAATTATCAAAAAGTTAATATTAATAAATGCTTAGTACTGTACAATATTAAAATTGCCGATAATTTAAACTATAGTATATTATAGTAATTTATATTTCTAAAAGTTAGTAATTTTTTCTATAATTTAATAATTCATTGAATGACCACTGAATCTCTTAAACTGTCCTCAAAATTGTTGTATAACCCAGTAATTGTTGATAACTTGATCGATGTCCGGTCGTTTCTTTGGATCAGTTCTAAGCATAGATTTGATCAAATCGTACGGTCCTTTAGAGATACCCCAAACTCGTCTGATGTCTTCGGCAGTCTTTCTTTTGATATCTTTGACTAATCGTTCAAAATTTGCCGAACCGGCCAGTGTTTCAACAAATACTAGACCTAAAGTATAAATATCAATAGGTTTAGCTTTGGACCAACCGGATGGCTTACGAAGTACCTCTGGAGCCGCATAGATAAGAGTGCCAATCGGTCCAAACACTTGACCTTCTATTCCCTGATCGAACCTTCGGGACAATCCAAAGTCTGACAATTTGAAAGTCAGATTAATTGACCGTTTAATGTACATAATGTTGTGTACCTTTAGATCCAAATGGCAAATGTTGTTTTGGTGTAAGTATTGTAATCCTGAAGCATAGTCCCTCAATACCCAACGGCCCTCTTTTTCGTCCAACTTTCGGTTTGGGTTTCTTTCCAAATACTGTTCGAGATCGCCGTCGCACAGTTCCATCAGTTGTATGCACCGGCAAAACGGAAAACCAGTAGTGATGTCGTGAATATAAAACAGCTGTTCAGTGGTAACAATATTGCGGTGTTTCAGAGTTGAATGGAGTTGTGCCTCTCCGAGTAATAGATCGACCACTTGTTTGACACTCGCTTGAGGATAAAAATGAGTAAATTTAGCCAATGAAAGTATCTTACAGGCCAGATCCACTTCCTTATAGTTTCCCTGATCATCTTTAACTAGTCGTTCGGCAGTAATTTTCCAAACTTTACCGAAACCACCCGACCCGAGCTCTTCTTTGAATGTGAAGCCGTGACTCTCGATATAGGATAGCTCTTCAACAGGTAGCGGGACATTAGCCGGTATTGCTTTCGTGTATTGTTCGCCCACTAGTGACCAGTCAGCGTAATAATGATGCCATTCGGCCGGTCCATGAATCGGTTGGTTATTAAATGTTCCAAAACCAAAATTTGTAGGATCGGTCTCCTTTTCTCTTGGGTATAGCTTATCGCTCATCCATCGAGGATTAAAGCCATAATTTCGGTGTCTTGACCTCATATCACTCAATGGATCTCTAATACCACCTTTAGTGTGCTGATAATAATCGCGTTGCTGACGACGCTGGCGAGTTAGCTCCAAGTATTCACGAGTAGGTATAATTGGTGGTGGAGTGATTGGGTGTGGAGGCATAGGAATGGGAGGTAAGGGTTCTGGTGCTTTATGTCTTATCAAATTTGGAGGCCAGCCATAGAATCCATGCGCCCGTCCTCTGAATTCATCAGCATTTGCATTGAATGGATCATTAATAAAACCATAGGCTCGTTGTCTACCAGTATATCCGGTCGGTTCTGTCGACTCTTCAGTGATAGCATCTGTTCGTGGATTGTAATGACCTGATGACGGATTAGACATAATTTTACAGATAGTAGTTGTTTTAAATTAGTTTGTGTTTTAGTTTTAAAAATTTGTTAGACTTTAAATTTGTTGTTTAAGTCGACAACAATTAATTATTTAATAATTGTTTAAAAACTAACAATTAAATTGATTTTAAAAATTCAAAAAACTAATCCATCAGTTGTGAAGTTCAACAAGTCTTTTGTCTAAAAAAATCTGAGACCAACAACAAGACACCACAGATATGACTAATAAGAGTTCATCAGATGAAGACCTTATTGACAGCAAAGTCACCAATGATATGAACAAAGACAGAGCCAAGAGAATCGTTGGTCTCACCAATGATCCAAAGAGTTGTCCCATTTGTCTCACACAAGTATTTAACCGTTCATTGGCCGACACTTGTTTGCATGAGTTCTGCTACGAATGTCTTCATGAGTGGTCTGCTGACCACAATCGGTGTCCAGTGTGTCGGCAGAGCTATCGAAATATTATTCACAACGTCGTGTCAGCCAATAAATATGATAGCGAACCGGTTCCCAAAACTGTCGACGAAGTAGAGGACGAAATTGCGGAAATTAGACAAATCTATCATTGGGTGAGATCTGTCAGATATCATAGTATCCAACAACGAGTCAGAGCTATCAATGACTTAAATACCATCAACAATGAGATCAATGATATGGCAGACAGTGAGCGACAAACAAATCAAAGATTCAACAAATTGAGAGCAGAGTCTACACTCTTATTACAGACGATTGAAGAACTGGATAGAGATTCCATTTGTTTCATTGAGATATTGCTTACCAATGATCTACAAGAAGACCAATTACTTCAATGGCTAAATGGAAGAGAAAATAACTTACCTTTCAATGACGAGTTTGAAGAAATTGTAGACTACAATGAATCAGATGAATCTGTAAACAATGATTTACATGAAGAAGATAATGACGACATCGAAGGTTTAAGACAAGGATTAAGACAAATGCTCGACACACTCACTGCAGAACTTGATTTCGTTCGGCGAAAAAATCGTTTATATCGTCGGATCAACTATTCTTACAATCAGAGTGTCCAACAACGAGACAGAGCTATCAACGAATTGAATGCAACAAAAAACGAAATCAATTGTATGACCGACAGAAAGACACATCAATCAAATGATAGACTCAACAAATTGAGAGAACTGTCCACAGACTTACATAAGACTATCGATGAACTCAATAGAGATCTTAATTCTTTCTCTAAGATAGACTATACCATTCATACACAAAATGATCAGTTATTGGCTCAATGGCTTAATAGCCGAGAAAGAGATATACCAATCAATATCGACTCTATAGATATTCAATACTTGTTGATACAAACCATTGGATCACATGAGTCAACGCCGTCATCGCTAGAGACAGTAGAAAGTGATTCACGTGAAGATGACAACGATTGTGTCAATGAATCGGGTGGTGAATGTGAAGACCACGGATGCCATGAATCCAATAGAAAAAGACGACAAACAAATGACTCCGGCGATGAAGAGGACAACTCTTTTATCGGTCAATCGGAAAGCAAAAGAGTTCGAAGAATATGATATATGATTGAAGTGATCATTGAAAGAAGGCATACATTGTTTTAAATTTAAAAATAAAACTGAAATTAGTTTTCAACAAATAAAACAAATTATATTACAATTATTGTATAAAAAAATATTCAGTATTTAAAATATATATATCAAAGATTAACAAAAAAAACAAAACAAAATTTATTCCTAAATATACAGTAATAATTTTGAAGTACATATTGATTTTTTATAACATATATTTTAAGGTGCACTATAATGTACACTGATAATGGTTTTTTCTATTTAGTTAATATTTAAATATTTTTAAAAAATAATTATTGATAAATCTCAGTTTAAAATGACATTTGTTAAAATATATTGTATTTTTATTAGTAATTTAAAATCATTACTTAAAACGTGAGTTTGTATAAACAAAATCAATTATATATAAAAAATTACTATATATTATAAAATAATAAACTTTATCACAATTTGCTGAATAATGATTGACATTATTTTATTTCATTATCCCTAATATGTATCAAATTATAGAAATTCAGTGAAATGACAGTCAGAAAAAATTATTATATTTGAATCATAGATTTTTGTAAACAAACAAAAAAGTTTATTTATTTATTTATTTTTTGTTACTAAAAGTTTGCAATTTTAATGATAAAGCGATAAATAATGAAGAAAAAGGTCATAATTTTAACGCCGTCTAAGACAATGAAAGACCGGTTCAAACAAATGATTGATTCAACAAGTATTGCAAACATTTTATTTTCATTTATACATTTATTTCAAAATATTGTTCAAAAGTACTGTACTATACGGTATAGTAAAATAAAATAAAATACAGTAGCAATTGTCAATCAAATTATAAGTTGAATTTTTTTTTAATATAAAAAGTTGAATTCATAACAAATCTTAATTATAAGTATTTGATTTAACAGATTATTTTGTCAAAGTATATGTTATTGTGAACCAAATATTAGGATATATTAAATATGAAACACTTTAGTAAACATATTTTTCCGCTAAAACTTTTATTTAAATTTTCATTTTTTTATACATTTCTGTTAACTAATATAATAATAATTTTATTTCTATTCTGTATACAAGTAAAGGCTTTCAAACAGCAACGACTTCCCGCATGGAAACCACAGTTGACGAGTGTATTACCGATATTCCTAGTGCTGGGACTGGTATTTATAGTGACTGGTATGGGTCTACTGTATTTTTCCACACGTGTCCAACAGTTTGACTTGGACTATACTAACTGTTGGCCGCTGTACGGTCTCAGATCGTGCGCCCAGACTTTGATAGACAATCCCGAAGCTGAGGGATGCAAATGTTGGTATAAATTTGAATTACATGACGACTTTCTGGCGCCGGTATATATTTACTACGGACTCAGCAATTATTTCCAAAATCATCGTATGTATGAAGACTCGCGCGACGACAACCAATTGGCCGGTGATTTGCAAGCATCCACCGATTGCGGACCCTTTCAGTATCGAGAAGTATGGGGCCGCCAGATGCCGATAGTTCCGTGCGGTATAATCGGTAACAGTTTGTTCAATGACTCGTTTCGTATTTGGCGTCACGATTTGATCACCAATTTGGCCGAAGAAGTGCCACTACTATTTACAGGCATTAGTTGGCCATCAGATTACTACAAACTCAGTAATCCTAGCGGTGTGTAAATTATAAACTGTTTTATAAATGAAAACTATTTAAAGATTTAAATTATATAAGTATAGGATTACCACTGGATGTAGCGTATGCTAACTTCACAAATCCGCCCAATTGGCGACACCGACACATATGGCAGTTGGATCCGACCAATCCATTGAATAATGGCTTTAACAACGAAGCACTGATAGTTTGGTACAGGACGTCGGCGTTTCCCGATTTCTGGAAATTCTATGCCCGTATTAACCATATGATTGGCAATTTGTACGAACGGTCGCTACCGAATGGTCACTATTTTCTTGAAATAGACTACAGTATGTGTTTTGTTATAAAAATTAATTATATATTTTTAAAGAAATGGTGTCATCTTTTGTTTTGATTGTCTAAAGACTATCCGGTGACGGCATTTGATGGCACCAAAAGTCTAATCTTAAGTAACACGACGTGGATGGGCGGACGCAATCCCTTTCTAGGTATTGCATACATTATATTTGGTGTCCTATTATTAATACTGACGGCTGTGTTATTAATTCTTCACAAACGATACGGAATGAGGTAATAATTATCATCCGATTGTCAAATAATAACTTAATTTATTTAATAAATTTAATTTGTTTTTAAATAAATTTTTAGCAAATTAGAGAAAATAGCGATAACAGAGACGACGCCTTATTTTAGTGATAACCAGTTTAAAAATAATTGTAGTTTAAATAAAATAAATATAAGATTAGCAAATAAAAATTCAATCAATAGATCATTTAAATTTTACCATTAGTTTACTTTTTTTACTATTGATTAATTAAAGAATTTGTTGGATTTTAGCATTTTAGCAATTTTTATGTATATAAACTTATGGATATTTAAACTTTATACTAAATTAAAGTTTAAAATCAAGAGTTTAAAAAATAATTAGTATTTTAAGTTATAATTGAAGAAATAATTGCCAAATAAAATAATTAGTAAAATTTTTAATAATAAGTACATTAAATACTATATTAAATATACAGTAATTGTCTCGTAAGTCGACAACAATTAATTATTTAATTGTTAAGAAACTAACAATTAAATTGATTTTAAAAATTCAAAAAACTAATCCATCAGTTGTGAAGTTCAACAAGTCTTTTGTCTAAAAAAATCTGAGACCAACAACAAGACACCACAGATATGACTAATAAGAGTTCATCAGATGAAGACCTTATTGACAGCAAAGACACCAATGATATGAGCAAAGACAGAGCCAAGAGAATCGTTGGTCTCACCAATGATCCAAAGAGTTGTCCCATTTGTCTCACACAAGTATCTAACCGCTCATTGGCCGACACTTGTTTGCATGAGTTCTGCTACGAATGTCTTCATGAGTGGTCTACTGACCACAATCGGTGTCCAGTGTGTCGGCAGAACTATCGAAATATTATTCACAACGTCGTGTCCGCCGATAAATATGACAGCGAACCGGTCCCCGAAACTGTCGACGAAGTGGAGAATGAAACCATTGCAGCACTTCTAAGACAAATGCTTTTGTTTCTTCGCGTGATTTCTGCCCGCAATCATAGTATCCAACAACGAGACAGAGCTATCAATGACTTAAATACCATCAACAATGAGATCAATGATATGGCAGACAGTAAGCGACAAACAACTCAAAGATTCAACAAATTGAGAGCAGAGTCTATAGCATTAGAAACAACTATTGAAGAACTGGATCGAGATATCACTGCTCTGAACGAAATACTCAATACAGATAATCCAGAAGAAGACCAATTCTTGGCTGTACTCAATGGCAGAGAAGAAGACATACAAGGAATCGTCCAATTGGTTGATGTCGTCATACCTATGAATGCTGACGACGGAGACGTTGAAAACATTTCGGTGGACAACAATCAATCACTTGAGTCTGTGAACAGTAATTTACATGAAGAAGACTATGATTCTGGCAATGAATCAGATGATGAACGTGAAGACAATGGATGCCATGAATCCAATAGAAAAAGACGACAAACAGATGATTCCGACGATGAAGACAACGACAACTCTTTTGGCGGACAATCAGATATCAAAAGAATCCGAAAAGAATAATATATTAATATATTATTGAAGTAATCAATTGAAAGAAGACATACAGTGTTTGATATTTAAAAAGAGTATTAAAATTAGTTTTTAACAAATAAAACAAATTATATGATAATAATTGTATATTACTGTCATATTTTAAAAATCCATTTATTTTGATATAAAATATGGGCTAAAGTTCGTTATATGTAACCCATTTGTTGTTGAAATTTCACGCGCGTTGTTATAACCATTAAGTTTATGACAAATGTTATCAATTACTTTAGGTTAGGTTAGGTTGGGGTGGGTGTAGAGGGTTAGGAAGTGGCGTATGTGGAGGGAAGGAACGGGAGGTGAGGGCTGGTATGTAAAACTTGTTAAATTATCATTTTAATAGCGTTTAAAACTTGAACAACAAATGGGTTACATATACCGATTCTGTTCCAAAATATGATATTATTGATAGTGAAGTAAAAAAAATTAACTTTTGATTATTTGATGATAATATTTACATAACTGATTAAATTATACAGTAGTTTATTATACCATTGTTGGTGCCAATCAATCAATCAATCAATCAATCATTTAACTGATACTTGTATATCATATTAATATAATACATGTATAATAAATTTACTTTTGAACCAAATAACTGTTCAAATGTAATATAATTCTACATTTCTAATGTTATTCTGTATTACTGTGTATATGTGATATGTTTGTATGATTTAACTTATATTATATAACACACTGTAGACTATTGTATAATATTGTATAAACACTTTTGGATTTGTATGTAAAAAGTTTGGGACACTTTCTCATGAATTCCTCATCACTACTACTGTACCGGACTTAGACTAAGCTAAGACCGGATCTCATTTCGCGCCAAAAATAAATTTTATTTAATAAAACACTACAAAAATTTTCATATTAAAAATATTAGTTTGTAGTACACTGTATTATATTTCAGTGTTATACACACTGTAGTACTGCAATGCAATGCCATGTCTACACATATATTATTATATAATATAAATTATATGTTTATAAGATATTATAACCAGTTTTTAAAAAATTATATTACTACCAATATTACTACAATGTACTAATTGTATGCATACCTATATAATGTACTGTATTGTACATAAAGCTACAGTATTACAGGGGGTCATACTTTACACTTACACTTAAAGTACTTATTTATTAACTACTGTTCATACTGTATGTACTGTACTATTGTATACACTGTTTGTATACAGTAAATACATTTTTATATCACTGTATGCTTATGTATTAAATATTGACCGCCAAAACAAATGTATTAATATTTACATTAATACAGTAGTCATATAAATAATAGCAGATAATCGATAGCAGAGTCCATTGAAATAGACTGTAATAAACATTAAATGTAACACCAATTCATAAATATATTTATTTGTCTAACACTTTGTCATCAAAACAGTCATAAATTTAAGTGTTTTGCCAAATAATGCAAATGTTTTAAGTGTTTTATTATTATTATTCAAATTAAATCACATGAATCTCATCATCAAAATATCTCATTAAATATTCAAATCTCATAAATTAATTCATAATTTATTATTGTTTATAAATATCAATGTTTTTGTTTGTTTGTTATACATCTGTATTATTAATATGTTTATAAAATTAATACTATAGTACAGTACAGTACAGTACAGTATACGGTACTATATATATATGATAAGTAATGCTTTTAAAGAATGAATTTATTTTAATATAAAGAATAGAAAATACTAATAACAACCAAAATGGACATCAATAATGTCAATAAATATAGTGATTATAAATTTATAACATTATACCGTAAAACTCTAAATAAAAAACTATACTATTAGTACATATATATATATCAATATTCAATATATATTAATATTTAAATAATCAGTGTTCCCATACAAATGTATTTTAAATAAGTACCGTTTTCCCATAAAATATTTTTTAAAATTAGTACCGTCTTCCCATAAAAATAGTTTTTTTCAAAAATAAGTACCGTCTTCCCAGCAAATAGTTTTTTATATAAGTACCGTCTTCCCATAAAATATTTTTTAAAATTAGTACCGTCTTCCCAGCAAATAGTTTTTTATATAAGTACCGTCTTCCCATAAAATATTTTTTAAAATTAGTACCGTCTTCCCATAAAAATAGTTTTTTTCAAAAATAAGTACCGTCTTCCCAGCAAATAGTTTTTTATATAAGTACCGTCTTCCCATAAAATATTTTTTAAAATTAGTACCGTCTTCCCAGCAAATAGTTTTTTATATAAGTACCGTCTTCCCATAAAATATTTTTTAAAATTAGTACCGTCTTCCCATAAAAATAGTTTTTTTTTCAAAAATAAGTACCGTTTCCCAGCAAATAGTTTTTTATATAAGTACCGTGTTACATTATTAATTATATTATACCTTGTACCTAAAATTATCTTAATTATAATATGAGAATAAAAAAAATATATGGGAACACGGTAATAAAAAACAATATTTCTATGGGAACATGGTATTTCGATATAAAAGTCGGTATTAGTATTGGTAAGTCGGTATTATTTTTGGTAAGTCGGTATTATTTTTGGTAAGTCGGTATTATTTTTGGTAAGTCGGTATTATTTTTGGTTAGGCGGTATTATTTTTGGTAAGTCGGTATTATTTTTGGTTAGGCGGTATTATTTTTGGTAAGTCGGTATTATTTTTGGTAAGTCGGTATTATTTTTGGTAAGTCGGTATTATTATATTGTAAAGTGTTATTGATATATAAATGGTCATTAATGTAATGTATTAAGGTATTTAACAATTTGAAAATAATTTATTATTTTTTGTCATAATTTATGGCTAATAACTTGTCATTCAATCGTTTTGTTATCCATTCCTTAATTAAATTTTAGTAATCAAATGACTAAATAATTAAAAAGTAAATCAAAACCATAATAATAGTCATTGTTTTTTCAATTAATCTATTTATTGATATATACTATATATTAAAAAAATTAAAAATTAATTAATTATTTGTTAATTTAATTGTAATTATTTTTTAAAATTACTATTGTTTACGTTCTTAATATTGTTAACCAGAGGTAGTCTTAATTGTGACACAATTGTGTTATTGTGATAATAATTGGCATTAAATTGATGATTACATTTGAGAGACCATATAAATAGCTCTCTAATGACATATTAATCACAAAAATTGATTATCAAATTAACAAATAATTAATTGTTTTATAAATCCATTCCTTATTAACATAATTCCTTAAAAGCATTGACTTTCATATATATAATTAAATATTAATAACAATATTATAATATAAACACTAGTTTTAAGTTATATGTAATTTTTTAAAACTTTTGTGTAAATAGATATTAATTATTTTATTTTATGCTTTTAAACGATAGTTATTTACTGATAGTATCAAAGAAGATATCAATTGACTTATAAAACACATCATTAATTTTTTTAGTGTTTCAATTAATAATAAATTGATAATAAGTTATATCTGATATCATATATCATATCTATGTGTCTTACAGTGTCTTAAAAAAGTTGTAGTTTTAAACACCGATTGATTTGAAAAGTTTTGAATGTGAAGCCAACTATCGATTTCTAAACAGAAAATGCTAGCTCTGGTCATACTATAAGTTTCGATGGCATCGACATCATCGGCGGTCAACAACAACAATGTCACCGATTGTGGTAATAAATGGACGAATGCAGAGGATTCGCTTTTGTTGAAAAGAGTACAAAAATATGGATCAAATAACTGGCTTAAAGTGTCCAATAAACTCATGAGTGGAAAGACTGGAAGTCAATGTCAACAGCGATGGTTAGACATTAAGAACCGTAAAAACAATACTCAGGTCTGTTATCAGTAATTATCAAATTATCTTAATTGTGATCTTATATTATAATTACTATATTATTAAATGTTTTAATAGTTTGTTAACAAAGACGCGAATATATCGCACAACAAATCTAAGAAGAATAAGAAGGAAAAGAAATCAAAGAAAAGAAAGTCAAAAGATAGGGATAGAAAGGACTCAGAAGATGGTAAACGAATCTGCAATGAGTGGGAAAATCACACCACAAAGTTGGTGAAGACAAAGACATCGAAAAGAGCAAAGATTGGCAAACATCGGGTCACACGTCTGGACAGCGATGATAGTAATGTCATACTGTCGATGGAAATAACCAATACTAGTGATACTAACTCTGCAAATCATTTGACTGAAAACAACTTTAATGATATTACAACCAAAACAACGGCCACTACTAGAAAGTTGCCGAAAGTCAGCAAACATTCAAAACGGGTATTGTTTTACAGTTTTTTTTTAACAAATTTCATTCAAACGTCAATTATTGTGTGCCTGTATTGCATGAGGTTTAAATATTTCAGTACTTTTTATATCTATTCATTTCATATGTTATTCAAATGCATACTTATTGTATGAAAATAGTACAACATTTGTCTGATTGTTTATTTTCAAATATTAAAATACATGATATCATGCATTAGTTGTTTAGTGTTTTATATCAAATATTTTTTAAAAAATAAATATCAATTGATTTCACTCATAGAAACAAAAATTGAAAGTAAAAAACTTAATAAGTTTTATCATAAGTTTTGATTTAAAATAAAATCACAATTAATTTGATGACATTTTAAAATCAATTACTGAAAAAAACATTAATTTTGTCACAAATTTGACGTAAAAGTAATGTATTTACGGTTTTATATAATTTTTTATAACTTATCACTAATTGATTCATCTGTCTTGTGATTACTTTAGACCCAAACCATATCTAATCGTAAATTATTAATCAATTTGGACGACAATACTTGTGACGAATGGTCGACAAGCAATGAGGACGACAACGATAGCCAAATACTGACGAACAGTGCTACCGAATGCGATGACCAATATCTTAGTTGTGCCGATACGGAGATCGATGACCAGTTTGTTGGTGATGACGACAACCACAAAGATAATGATTGTGGCGATAAATTAACGGATGATATTGTTGGAGACAATAGTGAAGAAGTTTACAGCGAACTCATGGACAATGACATCGCCACTGTTGTCGATCATTCTGTCAAAAATGAAGATAAACCAGTGGTGGATAAACAGATGACTGATAATAATAGTAATCACCTCTTGTGTATGAAGACCGACAACAAACTGTTTGATTTTGAGCCTAAGTTTATGACCAAACACGATGTGGCCACCGATTCGCGATTTCGTGTCCGTGCATTTGGCTATACATCGATTGATAAGAAAACAGGATTACGTAAAGAGGACACCGATTCACTTGAACTAAACAAAAAACCTGTCGATGAAGTGATTGAACACATAATAGTCATGTGTTATCACTGCGAAAAACGGTTTAACACAAGAAGTGAATTTTTGTTTCATTATAAGAGTCGACACGAAAACACTAAATTGCCGAATGTTTGTCTCAAATACAAGACTTTAGAGGCCATACCAACTGTCAATCCTAGTCCTAATGATCAGATAACAACTGACACAAATATTGTAGTCAATACAGAGTATGTATTAATTTTACTTTACCGGTAATAACTAAAATTATAATTACTGTATAATTGTTTGAATTTGAAGGTCGCAAATTAGATCCATGAGCTCAAAATCTGTAGTTAAAACCGAACGAAATTATGCAAAGAAAAGTATTACTGTTCCCCAGAGACTTAAATCCACGCCCACTAATTGCCAGTCATCATCATCAACATCGGTGCAAAATACTAGTGGGTTAAATAAGTTTCAAATGTGTGCCCAATGTACCATTTGTTCATTTATGCCACTTGATCTGCAACCATTACAAGCAATTAAAGATCATCTAATCAATGAGCATAGTATTGTTGATTACCAGAAGCACATTAAATGGAGACCAATGAAGATAAAACGAAAATCTGGTACTTGTGCTAAGCCATAGATTATCTCATAAAACTTAATCTCAATTGTTTTTATACATTTTTTGTACAGTATTTTTTGACTATTATAGTATAATTTACGATATATTATAACTTACCGGTAACTTGAAATTGTTTTTGTATTTCTGATATTTTGTTCATTTTTTTCGTACTTATCGATAATTATTTTCAATTATTTTATTTTATTTGATACAAGTTATTTGTTTACAATTTTGCTAATTAGAAGTATTTTTTAAATGTAAATTTAAAAGATGAAAAAATATAATGTTTCAAGGTGTAGTCAATTTGCTTTATTCTAAACTAATTTTGCTAAATAAATTTAATTTAGTGAATATTTTTTATTTCAAAAAATTGAATATTATTTAGTTTTCTGTTTGTTGTTGTTTGACTTAATTATCATAATATTATTTTCATTAAATATTTTCATAAAATTGCAAATTCTGGTGATTAATACTATTAAAGTAATTTTTTAATCGTTTATTGACATTTTACATACTCATTATTATATACTAAATTGATTTTTGATATATTTGTATAAATATTGTTTAATAAAACATATACTCTATAAATCTGCAAACACAAGCAAATTGTTTTATAGTAAAATTATATTAAAGTCATATAAATAATTATGATGATTAACCTTATTTTATAATGACATTACGGTAATTATTTTTATTATAATTTAAGATTTTATAATAGTAATGTTATACATTTAAAATATTCTATAATATAATATAACATAATCAATAAAATGTAAATAAAATAAATTTTGAATTGATTACTAAATACTGTATATTATAATAATTATTATTTTATATATTTACAATAGCTGTAAATGTTATCATGTTAGTAATAATAATTGCAATATGGATCATAACCGTAACCATAATTGCCATACCCATATCCATTCATATAAGGGCTATACTGTCCATAGCCATAACCCTGTCCTCCATATCCATAGCTTCCATATCCACCCCATAAGCGCCGACTGAGTGGACCACCAGTTCTCAAGTTAAGCGATCTCTTATCTCTAAGTGAATCTCTTTGATCATTGGTTATGACTGGAAGTGTTAGATACTGAGCAATGGGCACCACTCTCTCCATATCCACTATAGATGTCTTAAATGATGGATTCAGAAGTGCACTCAACTGACCTATATTTCCGATGGTTTTCGCAGTTGTTGTGGTGACCCCAGTAGTCGACAAATCAAGTGTTTTTGAAAATCCTTTTTCTATTTATTATATTAATATAAATAATTACATAAAATTTCAATTATAAGTTTAGATTATACTAACTAATTAATAACATTAATATTGTAAACAAAGTAAGTTTAATGAAAAACATTGTTTTTTCACTTAGAATTAAAGATAATTTCTTTTATAAGTACTTAAAAAACAATTTAGATATTTATTTTAGACGCTAATAATGTTTTGATTAATAATTTATTAGTACTTTATTATATTGTGTATAAAATTTATTTATTTTCACAAAAATAAACATTTAGTCTAGAATGTTATATTTGACAAAAATTGAAATTTGTTTTAACAAAAAAGTTATATTTATATATGACTTATAAATGATGGTCTAAAAGTTTTGTTTATATTATTTTGCATTTTACGGAATAATTTCAAAGTTGTATGTTTTGAGACAAGAATTTTTACATTATTTTAATACACAAAACAAAAACAAATACCAATATTTTATTGAAAAATTGCAATTGTAATACAAAATTATTTCATACAATATAATATTGTACAACAAAAAGGTTTTGTCATTATATTGGACATGGATTGACATAAATTTGTCGATAAAATTATCCTTGACATTAATATTGCATCTTTTATCTATATATAAAAAACATAGTAACTTATAAAACATTAGATAAAATTTTATTTAAACTAATGTTTTCACTTTATTACTCAATTTATTTTGTACACAAAACTACTTAATTTTAATTTTATTTAAATTACATTCAATATATTTAATTATACAGTTTATAAATTTCAAATATACAATATTCATAAATGGCTGAAACAAAAATATTTTCATTATCTGTAGTAATACTCCACTTCCTCGACAATATAGTCGGGCGAACCATAAATTGGTGACATTGGATAATAAACAGGTGGACTAAATAGCGGTCCAAATAAAAAACGTTTGTTTCTGTTTGATAAGGATTTCAATTGATCAGTAAATTGTATCGATTGCTTATCTTTGCCAATAATGTTAGTTTGTTTCAAATTATCCATATTATTGGCACTGATATCCCTGTCATTTTGATCATACTTTATAATTAAACATTGACAATTATCTATAAAATAAATTAATAATGTATTCAAAAACTTAAATAAATAGCTTTAAAAAAAATAAATTTTGCTAAATATTAATGTTAATTTAGATATTTATACAAACATAAAGTAACAATAAGTTGTATTAATAGTAATAAACTCCACAATGATTTAGACATCATGTTATTATTAGATGGTTAATAATCTGGATATTTTTAAATAATAAATAATATTATTAATTTTATTTATAAAGTTATAAAGTTATCTCCTTTTATACCTTGAATTTGTAACATAATATAATTCTTATACATTATTTGTCACATTTTATTTTGAATTTATTATTATTTTACAAACACTTGTTTTTAATTTGAAAAAAATAAATCCAATTTATAATAACTGTTTGTGTCATATTATTAATTGATAAATAATTTAATATTGAAATACACTGATACATACTTTATTCATTAAATAAATTACAATAAAACAATAGACAGTAAAAAGTTATACTTTAAAAAATACTTTTTTATTTATTTTTAAATGCAATTATTATAATATTTTAACTATCATAACATGTAAAATGTTAATTATTTAATACGATAAAAATATAATAAAACAATTGATAATTTTGAATATCATTTTTACTAACAATGATTTAACTATCAATAGCATGGATCATAACTATAATCAACATAAGCGACATCATATCCATAGTCACATCCCTGTCCACCAAATGTTCTCTTTTGTGGAACTATCTCTTCCTTAGTATTCGAAMCGTTAACTAAATCTTTAGGTTTAATGTTATCAACTCTTTTAAGACTTAAATTTTTCCGCATTAACTCTTGAAGTTTCTTAAGGCCAGCTATTCTGCTGTTAGTATTAGCATTTAAAGTAAATCGGTGGCCATTGAATGCAGGATTTTCGGCAGTGATTGCGGATTTGGACACTTCGGGAACAGTTGTTTCATCTTTAACTTCTAATGCCGAAACTTTTTATTGTTTTTATTTAGATAACAGATATAAAATTTTTAAATTTATTTTTATTAAAAATGTAAGTTTTATGAATTATAATAAACAAAATAAGTAGAAAATTATAATTTTTCTATCAATACTAACCGGTAAACAATAATAATGCCAATGTTATAGCCAATAATGACATAATGCAGATATTGTTGGTTGATTAAAATATAGCACAAAAAATATTTCAATTAGCCGATAAATTTTTAAACATAAAACAATAAAATTTTGATTACCTTTTATACTTTAAAATTATGTAATAAATATTGACAGATATTGGAAAAATATTTTGATTGTCTATCAAATCAATTTATCTTGTTAAAATTAAAATCTGTTTGATAACTATAGTGACTAAAATATTAAATTATTTTATTTATTTACACATTAACAATTGACAATTAATATATTGGTAACTTATAAGTTATAATTATAAGATAAAGTTTTTAAAAAAAATGTTCGTATAAGACATTCAGATTTTAAAATTTAAATAATATACTATAAAATATATTAATATTAAAAATAAATTTATTTAAAAAATATATCAAGTTTTATTAGTTTTCAATTAGGCTATTGTTTTTAAGTTTAAGTTTTTCATTAATTAAATGCTTTAAAATATTATAATTAATGAAATCAATGTACTATTGTATGTATTATAGTATATAATGTAATTTTTCTATAAAATCTGTTAACAAATCAATCTTATGACGTTTTTCATAATGAAACTTATTTTATTGATAATAATAATTATAGTATATTATACAATATATCTATTTAATTATAATGTAAATTTATAATACTTAAACCAAACAAAGTATAAATTTTTGTAAAATATTAACTATTAAATTATAAATAATTTTACAAACACTTTAGTAATTATTTTCATTGATAAATGTCTTGCAAAAAAAGATTTTAATATTTATTAAATAGTACTAAATTTAAATTATCATAATTTATAACATTCAAAYGGTATACATTGTAATATGCAGTACAATAAATTATAATTTATAAGTATAAATATTTTATAATAAACTTATATTTRTAAATAAAATACGATGCTTTAACATAATTTTAGTTATAACATTTTTAATTRWAGTTTCTTGGATATTCTATATAATAAAATACTTATATATATATATATATATATATATGATTTATATCTAATTAATAAATATCCAAAATATTTTATATTACTAAAATTATCAATATAAAAAATTAAATATACCTGTACAGTACATTAATGTACAGTATTTAGTAACATATTTATATCAAATCTATTAACAAAGCACATTAAAAAAATACAATTATTATATTATTACAATATAATAATATAAAATATGTTTACATAATATAATATATTATACATGTACTGTATATTATTATTAATAAAAAGAATTATATATTAATTATAATGTTGTATTTAAAACAGTATTATATTTCATTAAAGAATATTAATACAGTAGTATATATAGTATATATTTATTTGTATAATAATTTAAAATGAAATATCTACTTTGGTATTGTATGGTAAATTATAAAAACAAAAACATATTTATTTATCCATATATAGTAATAATTATTTATAGCTTATGTAAAATATTGTTATTGCTTTGGCAATGAAATTAAATGCTTTTTAAAAAATGTTTTATCAATTTTTTAGAAATTTGTTGCGTGTTTTCATTCATTTTATTGTTTATTAATAATTTATTGTAATATYCATTTGACTATAAAACACAATATTATGTTTAAAAAATGGGTCAATAAAGTTATTATTATTAAAATAGATAAAATTGCATTAATATTCATAAAAATTCTTTATTATTAAACTATAACAAAATATTAATAAAAATAATATACCTGTACTTATATTTTAAAATGTTACTTATATTTAACTTAAAAGTATTATAATCAATGTAATTTRATTTCATTAAYTAYAAATTAATCATTTAAATATTTGAATTTCAAAATTAATGAATAGATACTTATTTTTGTTGTTGAAAACATCATCAAAACAGTATAATCATAATTATTTTCAAATTAATTTGTCTATTCAATGATAATTTGTCATTTGAGAAATTTTTTTAGTCAATTGCATGCAATGAACAATCAATACAATTGTACTGAAATGTAATTTAAGTTTTAAAAGTTAAACAATGATTCATCCATTAATTAAAAATGGATAAATGAGTTTCAGTAAAAAAATTAATTAATTAAAATAAGTTACTTTAAACATAATTAATAAAATAATCAATTTATAAAATTAAATCATCCAACAAAATATATCTCAACTAATTTATTTATTTATAATTTTTATTTATTTATTTAATTATGAAGTGATATATATTTATTATTATATTATTAGCATTTTAATTAAATAGACTGTGTTATTGGTAAGTGTTATTTAGTTTATATATTAATTTTATTGATTACAGTAATGTATATAACATAACATTTAAATTTTAATCAATATATTGTAAATTGTACATGGTCATATATGATCAAAACAAATCTAACTAATTTTAAACTCTAATACATTTAATGTTTATTTATTGTATTACAGGTATAAGTTTAGTGTAGAATAAGTTAGTGTTACAGTAATAATGTATTAGTATTGCTAACTCTATGTGCAATAAATATCAATATAAGCTTAATATGCATTATATGCTGCAATAGTACAACATATGTGAAAGTAAACAATATTCACACATAAACAGAGATAGACATCAAAATAATGTGAAAATGTGTTCATAAGTTTTGACAGTTTTATTCAGTGTATTAGAAATTTACTATTAGTTTAGTTGAATTATATAATCAAAACATTAAATACTATTATATGATTATAAATGTAAAACAAGTCAACACTAATACAATACTAACATATCATATACTAAATACTATTCTATTATTATTTTTATTATTATTATGTTCTGTAATATTACAGTAATAACAATAACTGAATCAATTGTTCCATTGATTGTTAATACATGTAATTGTTTGGCATTCGATTATAAATTGTGATACAATTATCGAATGTCTAAATGTTGTTATTGTTGTGTCATTGGATGACTACTACTATGTGTTTATTGATTGACTATTCGATCTCTAATTAGTTATTCGATTGATTCGATAGAATGATTGATTGACTGTCTGTTGAAATCWGTGAACCGTTAATATAGTATTGTATTCATTGACTGTTAAAATCAAATCAATTTAATTACAATTTGCAAAACATCTATGATTTGTGTCACCAATTGATAGATTGTTGACCACTAACTGTAACACCGATTACTGACATCACATCTGATCTATTCTTACGACTCATAAACAACAACAACAACGAAGAAGAAGAAGTAGTAGACTATCATTAAGTCTCACATTAAATGTAAGTTACGAACTGATAGATGAAACTATAAGACCTGTTAATTTGATCCAACATTAAGACAGCCGATTAGTGGTCACCGGTAGTAGTGATCGGGCATCGGCTGCAACTACAAGAAGAGGAATGTCTGCACTGTTGTGGAAACAGTTTGTTATATTGATATGGAAGTCGTGTATCATTCGCCGTCGGCATTGGTTGTCAGCTATATTTGAGTTGTTGACACCCATAGCCCTGTCTCTGGCCATCGCATATCTGTACTATAAGGGACAGACATTAGCACAAGAGAATTCAAAACCCATTGCAAATGATAAGACAACGTTGAAGCCGACCGAACAGGATGTGGAAGCGAGTCATTCAGCTGAGAATCGATGGGTTGATCCAACATATTATGATAAGCCAACCATTAAGGAAAAGTTTGATTCGTATACGGCATACCTTAAAATCTTTTATTGTCCGGACAATGATGTGGCCAAAGCACTTACCGGTCAATTGAGTGCATTTGGATTGAAAGTCAAAGGTTTTGAAAGCGAAACGGAACTGAAAAACAAATTGGAAGCAATGCTCACGGATGACAAAGAAAAGGATGGTTTCCGATGGAATTTTGGACTCATCTTAGACACCGACGGTATAAGCAAAGGTCGTCTCAATTATACGATCCGACAGTTCGGCAGAATGGCTGAAGATGTGCATCGATTGTTTCCCGAAAAGTACAAACCGGGTCCGATTGAGATGAAAGAGATTCAAATTTACACATATTTTGGTGAATTACAGATATTAGTCAATCAGGCATTTGTTAACCTAAAGCTTAACAACACTAGTAATGGCACAGCGGATAACACGACCTCAATATTGAATATCAAAGAAGTCGAAACATATTTATATCCATATCCTAAGTACAAGAAAATCTCGACCAACGAAGATATTAAATTTTCGATGCAAGAAGTGGTTGCCGGCATCATTGTCATCGGCTATGTTGTGTTATGTCCATTGATTGTTAAACGTATTACCGATGAGAAGGCTGCCAAAGCCAAAGAGATGCTTCGTATGATTGGAATGTCTGATTGGGTCTTCTGGAGCTCACATTTTGTCTCATTCTTTATCGTAATGGTGTTTCACTGCATCGTATTTGTGCTGATTTATTGTATCGGTTTCGGTGGATATCCCATCATTGAATATAGCAATTCATTACTTTTTTTCTTATACTTATCATTTATAGTATACAAACTATACTGTTTTGTATGACTATCACAACAGTATTCAATCAGCCAGTGATTGCTGTGATTGTGACAGTCATTCTATGGATGCTTACATATGCCGTACCACTTGGTATTTGGAATCCACAGTTTCACCGAAACATGAATATAATTGGCACGAATAAGGCTCGACTGTTTACATCGATATTGCCTAATATGGGACTGGCCTGGTGTATGGCTGTGGTCGGTCAGTACGAAGTTATGGGTACCGGTGCCAAAATGTCGTCTATATATCACGGGACTGCACTCTATGGTTGGCTAACATTGGGACTGATTATGCTTGTAATGGTTGCCTCGTGTTTCCTATATATCCTATTAATCTGGTATATAGACAGTGTGTGGCCATTTCAGTTTGGAGTACCGAAACCGGTATATTTTCCATTTCTTCCATCTTATTGGTGTCCGGGTCGGTACAAACGTAATGATAACAATAATAAAGACAGCAAATCTGATTTAGTGATCGATACGAGAAATTTTGAGAGAGAACCCGACACAAAGGTTACCATTGCTATCAAGAATTTATGCAAAGTTTTTAGCAGTTTTGGTGGAGTCGGTCGAAAAGTGGCCGTCGATGACGTCACTCTTAATATCTACGATAAACAGATAACTGCTCTGTTGGGACACAACGGTGCCGGCAAGTCTACCACAATGAATATGATTACCGGCATATTTCCGCCTACAAGTGGATCAGTTAGTGTTAGTGGCTATGATGTTGTCTCAGAGACTTCGAATGCCAGACGTAGTATTGGTTTGTGTCCACAGGTTTGTTATATTATTAAATGATTAAAATATTTATTTTTATGATTTTTAAAATTATATATTGAATTTTTATTAGGAAAATATTATTTTTAGTGAGTTGACTGTATACCAACATCTCAAACTATATGCTATACTCAAGGGTTTCTCATGGAGTGCAGTGAACGCCGAAGTTAAACATACATTAGAAATGTTGAAATTAATGGATAAAATGCATATAATGGCCGAAAATTTGTCCGGCGGTATGAAACGTAAGTTAATGCTCGGTATTGCTGTTATTGGTGGCACACAAACACTAATTCTTGATGAGCCCACCTCTGGTATGGATCCCGAAGCCAGACGAGTCATTTGGGATCTGTTACAGCAATTGAGAAAAGACCGAACAATTTTATTGACCACACATTACATGGAAGAAGCGGATGTAAGTTACACCTGTTTTTAATGAAATCATTTGAACCAACTTTTATTGTATTTATTAATAACAGGTTTTGGGTGATAGGATTGCCATTGTGTGTGAAGGACGGATCAAATGTTGCGGTTCGCCAATGTTTCTTAAGAAACGATTCGGTGCTGGATATCATTTGCGAGTTTGCAAAAGCAACGGCTTTAATGAATCCCAAACCACACAATTAATTCAAAAATATATGCCTAACTGTGAAATTCATAGCGACATTCAGTCAGAAATTGTCTACTCATTAGAGTCCAACAATGAAAGGTCTAAACAATCTAAACAACAAGTGTTTCCGCAATTGTTTAATGATATCGAGCAAAACAAGGAACGACTGGCTATTRCTTCTTTCGGACTGACAATCACCACAATGGAGGACGTGTTTATTCGAGTCGGTAACGAGTTTGACGATAATATCGACAGTACTATCAAAAATGGACACAAAGAGAGCGACAAATTATTGGCTAAGAGAGAAAAAAATGAACACTTGACTGGTTTTCAACTATTTTCAAGTAGTTTTGTTGGTCTTCTAGTCAAACGATTTCATTACGCCAGAAGATATCTTCCGATGATATTCTTTCAACTGGTATTGCCGGCCATACTATTTATGATAGCACTCGGTATCGATTACGCCATTAGAAACTCAATTAAAGCCGAATCCAAGAATTTAGAGCTCAAAATTAACGATATGTACGGATCAACTAAAGGTTTCTATAAAAATCAAGATAATGTTGACAAACATTTTGGTGAAATCTATCGAAACAATGCCCATAAGTACGATGTGGACATAGATGAGCTACAAAAAGAAGACATAAATATGTGGGCTTTAGACCATTCCTCAGACTTAGAAGAATATACTCACCGCTATCTAACTGGTCTGAGTATTTCCAAAGACAAAGCCAACATATGGTACAACAAAGAAGCCACTCATTCGCTTCCATTGGCAATCAATCTGTACTACGAAGCGCTAATCAAGTATTTGTTTCCCGACAAAAGTGACAGTATGTCCATCAGTTTGCATAACTATCCGGTTGTGGGAAATGAGGCCACTTTTAATTTAATGAGTTTCATATTTGGTTGGGTTGTTACCGCACTGTTACTAACACCCATAACCGTACCATTTTTGGCGGCATCGTACGTACTGTTCCCGATCAATGAACGTATATCCAAAGCAAAATTATTACAATTGATGACCGGTCTGTCACCACTGCTATACTGGTTCTCCAATTTTATCTTTGATCTGCTAATGCATACGGCGGTCGTCATTATTATCTACTTTGTGTTCGGAATGTTTGATTTTAACTTAATATTCTTCGGTCAATCTTCGACAGCCATCGGTCTGTTTCTGATGCTATTCTTGTTTGGTGTGGCATCCATACCATTAGCCTACTGTTTCTCACTAATAATGAGCAAAGCATCGACTGGTTTTGCCATTTTGGTCATACTTTATCTGATATTCGGAATAATCTCAACTTTAATCCTCAGTGTTATTGATTTTCTAATGCATTTAATGAATTTGGATATTATGTCCGACTTCTGGTTTAACTTTATATTGTTTTTCTTGCGATTAGTTCCAGTATTTTCCATGAGTTTCGGCATACAGAAGCTCTATAGAGTCGGATCATTGTTTATTGTATGTCAAGATTTAGAGAAAGTTTCTAAAATGAATTTATCGTCAATCTGTATGGTTATGACTAATACAACTCTTTTGAAAGGCTGTTGTCCTAACTTATGTCAAGCAACCAATGAGTGCTATTATAACAACAATCCCCTATCGTTTACTAATCAGGGAGTCGGACATGAGTTTGTTTTTCTGATAGCCACCGGTATCCTCTTTATGGCTTTACTTTTCATATTTGAAGGTATTATTCAATTTTTTTAATTATATATTTTGTATTCAAATTTTTTGTTTTATTTTTTAGCTGATTTTATACGAAAATTATTATACATGTTGTTTGATCGATTGCAATCATTTCGTTCATCTGGCAATGGGACTGTAGTTTCGGCAAATGGCCGCCAATCGGCTAATGAAGATTCGGATGTTGTGGCCGAGAAGTATCGTATTGAGGGACTCAATGATCAACGAAAGTTATCCACTGAAGCCTTGGCGGTCATGAATTTAAGCAAATCGTTTGGTTCGTTTCGAGCGGTCAATGGATTAACCTTTGGTGTACATAAAGAAGAGTGTTTCGGGTTATTGGGAGTCAATGGCGCCGGAAAAACGACAACATTCTCGATGCTTACGGGAGATTTGATGGTCACCACTGGCAATGCCTTTCTTGACAATCTGTCACTCAGAAACAATATCAAGAGTTTTCAACAAAACATTGGTTACTGCCCTCAGTTTGACGCACTGCTCGATAAACTGACCGGTTGTGAAATGTTGTATCTATTTGCTCGACTTCGAGGAGTTCCTCAAAACGCCATCCAAACCGAAGTGGAGAATCTAATAAAAATGGTTGATCTCCAAAATCACGCTAAACGTCGTACTGAAACATATAGCGGCGGCAATCGCCGTAAGCTATCCCTGGCGATTGCCATTGTCGGCAATCCTCCCGTCATATTTCTTGATGAACCAACAGCTGGTGTGGATCCAACCGCTCGACGCAAGATCTGGTCAACACTGGTCTACATTCAAGAGAAGTTTCAGTCAGCAATAGTATTGACCTCACATTCCATGGAGGAATGCGAGGCATTGTGTGCTCGAATAGCAATTATGGTTAACGGACAGTTCAAATGTTTGGGTCCCGTTCAACATTTACGCAAAAAGTTTGGACAAGGATTTACCATTATTATCAAATTGATCCGTGAACTCAATGATAATCCTAAATATGTAGCCAGTGTTCAACAACACATCAAAAATGCCTTTCCTTCAGCCGTCCTAAAGGATAGTCATCAATGTCTTTTGCATTATCATATTCCCGACACATCCGTCCAATGGTCGCATCTCTTCTCAGTCATGGAAGAGACCAAACAAAATCTCAAACTTGAAGACTATCTCGTGTCTGACACGACATTAGAGCAAATATTTTTGGCATTCGCTAAAACACAACAACAACAACAACAAACCTAAACAACACTTTCTCACTAAATATTTATTTTTATATTATCTGTAATATAATATGTAAAACATATTTATTTATTTTTTAATTAATGTTATTTTGTTATATAAATTATTAAGTTATTTAATGTGATAAATATATAATTTTTAAATGAAATGCTTTAATTTAAATAATAGTCATTTAATATATTTTATATGCAATGATTTAAATATATACTGAATGAATTATACAGTATATTGCGTTTTTAAATTATAATATTTTTTAAAAAGTATATAAAAAAGGATATTTTTGTAATCTTATCTCAATCAAAATAAAATAAAAACTGCAAACATAAATAGATATATTTAAAATTATTAATACAGTACAACAATGGTTTAATTTATTATAATGATAATATATTTATAATAATAATGAAAATTAATCCTAAACTTATCACCAGTGCTTGTCGTACGACTCGTAAATACTTTTATTTATGTATTTATTTATACATTAATACAATATAAATATTAAAAGTTAAAACGTATTTAGAAATCAATTAAAATTGAAACTAATTTATCAAATTCATGAAAGTTTATTATAAGTATTATTAAATTATCTAAAGAACTGTAATTTTTATATAAAATATATATTTCATCAAAATTGTTATTTTTTATTGAATTTTTCACAAAGTATACTATATTTTAAATTTTCAAAGCTTTCTATAATTTATAATAATATAATAATAATTTATACTGTATTAATATTATGTAATATTATATATGAGATGATTTAATATTTTAAACATATCTACTCACAAATTGATACAATTATTGTCAAACGATTATTTAATTACTCAATAATTTAATATCAAATATCATTTATATAAATCATTGAACACATGATTTTCATTTGGTCTGATTGATGAACAAAAATGATTAAATGCACAAAATATTATACATTTTTATTTTTGCTAATTAGACAAATAATAATAATAATAATAAGTATTAAGTATTTTTTATTTAATAATTATTTAATAAAATATTTTATAACATTTATAACAAAAATAGCTGTATAATTATTTTTTTATTTTCCCTATAATTCAACATTAAATTAAAGTATAATAAGGATAAAATCTTTAAAATGTATATTTAATATATTATAAATTAATAAATACAGTAATAATTACTATAATGTTAGGATATACCACTATAGTACAGACAAAAGACAGGTATTTTTTATAATTTAAATCTATAAACCCTTGACTTTGACAAATAAATTAGACATTTATTGAGAAAAAACTGTATTTCAGACAAATATTATTATTTGGAGACAAAATTATATCAAATTTTAACTATAAAGAAGTAATATAAAAATTGTTAAATTTTTTTTTAATCATTAATTATAATTTATTATAATAAATAATATTTTATTATATTATTATTTTTTTAATAGTTTCAATGTTTAAAACTTATATCAATAGTAAATAATTAGAAAAAAACCTTCAAAATCACTTTTTAATATTAATTATCAATGGATCCCTTTCCCTAATGGCTTAACATTTATTACAAAATAATTAATTTAGTATTTTCATGAAAAATATATTAAAGCTAATTGTAAATAAAAACTTCCATATATCCAATAATATTTATTAATACAAACAATTATACGGTTAAAATGGTAATATCAATAGTTTATTATACAAAATATTAACATTGGTTTACTAATAATACAGTATATTTAATCTTTTTTTCGCGATAATTATGCTAACATTAATAACAATAAATAGTAAATTACAACAAAAATATAAGTTTTTCAGTCATTTCCTATATAATAAACGCTATTATGAATGAAATTCAATGAAAATTACATTTAATTATTTACTCAAAAATTACTGTACGTTTAAAAATAAAAATACTATAAATTGTGAAAATAGCATTTCCTAATTAGTGTCATAATAATTTCCTATTGTTATTTTTTCACTATTACTATCATATAAACTTTTATATACTGTATTTATAACTATATTTTTTACTTTCATATAATAATATTGGCTTATTATTAACTATTGTAGACAAATGACAATAAGTTTATACTATTTCTTGAAATAACTATTTTGTTTTAATTTATTAAATGACAATGAAATTCATGGTTTTGTGAATTTTTAAGTAAATTCTATTCAATTTTCAGAAAATAGTTTTTAAAAAGTGAATTAATTTCTAATAAAGTATTTTATAGGATTTATGACAATGTAAAGTCCAATGTATGTTATTTTGTCTTAACTTTAATAATAATAATAATTATTATTACTATTATTAATACGACAGAAAGTTTACAAACATTTAAGACTTTGTTATTATTATAGACTCTGAACTGATTTGTGTATTATTATTAATGGCGTGAGAAGAGGGACAGTCTATCGGTTTAGGGAGTGATAAGCGATAGAGACATTCAAATCCAGTATATATTGGTTTTTAATTTTTTTGATTAAATGTTTTAAAGTCAAAATTATAAATTTATTAAAGTATATTATAGACAGAATAACCTAAAATACATGAGCGATACACTACCTATACTCTCTAAACTTAAATATAAAAAACATTATTCACATAAATGAGAGCACAGCTCACAATCAGCACATACAGCAGCTATGAGTATGAGCACTGCTATTACATCATAGAGATAAACATAAATCATCAGAGAGTAAGAGGGATGGGATGTTATCGGTATGGACAGGCAGGCAGGCATACCATACATGGTTAGGGAATTAGCAGTAAGGAAATAGGTATAATAATCATCTGATATTATCATCGGTTATTAAATATATATATAACTTACGGGTCTACAATCTGAGCAATCGATATATATATATATATATATATATGTATATTATTATATTTGAAAATAGCTATTAATTTACAATAAGCTGATCGGAAATGTATGGCAATATCATTCAGTGCAGGCGTGTCACAGACCTGTGATCTCGTGGTTGGTGTGCCCTAACATCACACCATCCGTTGCTAAACAAATCATTTGTTTGTTTGATTATAATTGTTGCTTACAAACTGGCGCATACATACATTATATACTGTACATACATACAGTATATCATAGAAATGACTAACATAATTGACATACCAGTGCACCGGTTTATATGAAAAAAAATACCAATTTTATTATACATAGTTTCTACAGTTTCTAAGTGAGTGAGTGAATGCTATTAAGAGATAAGATAACAGAGTTGTCAACGCAGGGACTGACACAACCAACTGATTTCAACTCTCCAGTGAATTATCCATTTAATGAAATCAATTCAATGTCTTAACTATTATATTGTACTGTACTTTCAATATAAAAACATATATACTGTATATAAAAAAAAGTGAAACAAAGTTGTGGTTGAGAGGACCGGACTATAAATTAAATGACTGAGACATTTGTTGAGAACAGTTAGCTTAATGTGTTTCAACTGTTAACAACAATTTCTTTAATAAATTATATTTTTGTTTTTGTTGTTAAGTTTACTTCTGTTTAATAATTAGTTGTGATTTCAATGTGCTTTTTATTCAATATTAATAATTATTGAATTTTATAACATTAAAGTGATTTTATTTTTAAAAATAGTTTTATATAATCATAACTACCGGTCCTTTTTATTTATAACATCACATCATATTAAAAGAAAACATGTTTCTCAAGATAGTCTCCTCAAACAACTTGTCTGAGTTGTCCGAGTCATCTACCGGTGCCGAACGAGTGACAGCACACGGAGGTATGATTGGACTGTTTGGCCGATTTGTGGAAGCGGTGGACGAAATGAATAAAATAGTTTTGATTCCGTCCCGACTCCAGGACATCGAGTGTACGACCAATGAGAACGTTCCCCATATTATGGATACGTATGACATTCATGAGGTCTACAAACTATTGAACGCTTTTCGCAACCAAATAGTCCACAGCAGTCAAGAGCAACAACAACAACACCCGTCCAATGGCCACAACACGCCCAACGGCATGAGTACACCAAAAATGGCCAAACAATTGTCGCTCAATATTAATAAAACACGAGATATACTAAAAGAGTTGGACAATGGCTACCACTCGGACATCAGTCCGACGACAACAACAGCGGCTAAACGAAAAATCTCGCAAATATCACACTTTTCGGTAAACTCTTTGCCGTCCGATGATGAGTCCACGTCGACACCCGAATTGGTAACCGATATGTCCGATATGGCCGTAACTTTCTATCATCATCTCAATGGTTTAAATCAAGTGATGGATAAACTTATTGATACCCCAAAATTTATTGCCAACAAATATGAACAAAATCTTTAATAACTAATTTATTTAAATATTGTTAAATAACTTTAAATAATATTTGTTGTAAATTTCTTTTTAATTATTATAAATAAATAATTTTTGTAATAAATGTTTATAAAATATTTTATTAACAATTTGTTTGGAAATATTTATCTTATTTCTGAAGAAAATTAGTTGTTAATGAAATCAATGCATATTATCATTTCAAAAATTATATAATATTAGATATTAACAAATTAGTTATTGATTAATTCAACGTCATAACATAAAATGACAAATAATTTCAAAGTAATAAATCAATTATTATGATATAGTTTATTATTAAATATAATATTAATAATTAATATTTTAGTGCAATTAAAATCAAATAAATTATTGCTATTTTGACAATTTTGTATAGTAACAACATATCTACAAGTAATGTCAATCAAACATTTAAGTTAATATAATTTATATAATATAATTTTTTAATATTAATTTTTTTAAAAATACAAGTCTAATAAACTCGAAATATTTAGATGATTAAACATAAGCTTGATTATTATAATTATTTTATTACAGATATAAGCAAAAATATTAATTTTAATTTTGCTAAAATTTAAATTAAGATTTAAAATTTTTGCAAAACTATAATTAATATTTTTGGTTAAATCTGTAATAAAATAATTTGACTATTTATTAGATGAATATAAGTTTAATTTCATGAAGTCTTCCAAATTTCATAAGCAATTAAATGAATTTTTTTTAATTTATCTATTAATAATAATTAATAAATAAATAATTAAAATTTTATTTGCAAACAAAATGCTATTTAGTTATTACTAGGCTATCCAAATGAAGTTATTTAACTATTTTTACATATATCGGAGAATGAGCTCATATTAAATATATAAGTATATCATATAAAAATAAGTATTTATACAAAAGCTTATATTACCCATAAATAACTTTTTAAGTCGTTATTAACTGATAAAAGTGATAAAATTAAAAAAAAAATTTTATATAATTAGTAGACATTATGTAAAAAATAAGAGAAATAAATCATAGTCTAGAGAAAGTGACTAAAATAATATTTAACGTTATATGATATGTCATTAAACAATTAATTTATTGTTATCATTGCTTTCATATTTTTCACGTAGTTTTTTCATATTATAAATAATTTTAACTTAAGCCAAATAACATTTTGATAAATTTAAATTTAAAAAATACAATTTGATAAAATATTAGATTGAAAAATTAAAGTATGTATTGTATTAAATAAAAAAATGGTTAAAAAATTTAAATACTAGAAATTGCTTGAAAATAAATAACTTTTAAATAACTATTTGCCATTTTTTGTAACTTTTATAGTGATTTAAAGGTAGTTTTTAGCACCTTTAAATGGACAGACTAGTTATTACGATACATACCATAGAATTGGCCTTCAATAATGACCTTTAATAATAATTTATTATTCAATTTAAAAATAATATTTACAATAATCATATGTACTTTAATAATAATAATAGATTTGATAATTATATATTATTTTAAGACATTGTAAAATTATAATTAATAATTAATAATTTAATTTTTTAATTAAAGTGTAATTTATGCTTAATTAACAACTTACCAGTCATTTACGTAATGGACATCATTTTTTAGGAAATATGAAATAGATATTTATATAATATTATTATATATTTATTATAATTACTATAAATTTGTTGTTTTTAATAACTCTATAATTAAGAATTAATTGTTTTATAAATTAATAGCTTTATTTTTTCTCTCTTAATCAATCAAACTCAATCACTCAATCACTCACTCACTCATCCACACACACACACACACACACACACACACACACACACACACACACACACACACACACACACACACACACACACACACACACACACACACACACACACACACACACACACACACACACACACACACACACACACACACACACACACACACACACACACACACACATGTATGTCTGAGTGAGTGTGTGAGTGTGTGAGTGTGTGAGTGTGTGAGTGTGTGAGTGTGTGAGTGTGTGAGTGTGTGAATGTGTGAGTGTGTGTGTGTGTGTGTGAGTGTGTGATAAGTAAGTTTGATGGGTGAAAGATAATTTGTAGATATGCTGTTTCTATACAAAATTGTCAAAATAACAATTTATTTATTTGATTTTAATTGCACTAAAATATTATTTATTAATATTATATTTAATAATAATTAAATCATAATAATTGATTTATTACTTTGAAATTATTTGTCATTATGTTTTGACTTTGAATTAATCAATTAACAATTAATTTGTTAATATTATATAATTTTTGAAATGATAATATATTATTAATGTGCATTGATTTCATTAACAACAATTTTTCTTCAAAAATATAATAAATATTTCCAAACAAATGGCTAATAAGATATCTTATAAACATTTATTACAAAAATTATTTATTTATAATAATTAAAAAGAAATTTACAACAAATATTATTTAAAGTTATTTAACAATATTTAAATAAATTAGTTATTAAAGATTTTGTTCATATTTGTTGGCAATAAATTTTGGGGTATCAATAAGTTTTCCCATCACTTGATTTAAACCATTGAGATGATAGTAGAAAGTTACGGCCATATCGGACATATCGGTTACCAATTCGGGTGTCGACGTGGACTCATCATCGGACGGCAAAGAGTTTACCGAAAAGTGTGATATTTGCGAGATTTTTCGTTTAGCCGCTGACGTTGTTGTTGTCGGACTGATGTCCGAGTAGTAGCCATTGTCCAACTCTTTTAGTATATCTCGTGTTTTATTAAGATTGAGTGACAAATGTTTGGCCATTTTTGGTGTACTGATGCCGTTAGGCGTGTTGTGGCCATTGGACGGGTGTTGTTGTTGTTGCTCTTGACTGCTGTGGACTATTTGGTTGCGAAAAGCGTTCAATAGTTTGTAGACCTCATGAATGTCATACGTATCCATAATATGGGGAACGTTCTCATTGGTCGTACACTCGATGTCCTGGAGTCGGGACGGAATCAAAACTATTTTATTCATTTCGTCCACCGCTTCCACAAATCGGCCAAACAGTCCAATCATACCTCCGTGTGCTGTCACTCGTTCGGCACCGGTAGATGACTCGGACAACTCAGACAAATTGTTTGAGGAGATTATCTTGAGAAACATATTTTCTTTTAATATGATTTGATGTTATAAATAAAAAGGACCGGTAGTTATGATTATATAAAACTATTTTTAAAAATAAAATCACTTTAATGTTATAAAATTCAATAATTATTAATATTGAATAAAAAGCACATTGAAATCACAACTAATTATTAAACAGAAGTAAATTTAGTTTTAGGAAATATATCATAATTTAAAAAATGATATATTAATGAAATTGTTGAAACATATTATGCTAACTGTTCTCAACAAATATCTCAGTCATTTAATATATAGTCAGGTACTCTAATCACAACTTTGTTTCACTTTTTTTATATACAGTATATATGTTTTTATATTGAGAGTACAGTACAATATAATAGTTAAGACATTGAATTGATGCACTTTTGAGGCTTTTTATTACCGGTTTTGGGGCAGTCCTACTTAATTTGTTTTATAATGTAAGTGTTTTATTGTCTTATTTGTATTGACGTAATAAATAATATTATTATTAAAAGCATTGTCTAATTTGTATTGACGTAATTCAACGAAAAAAATAAATATAAAGATAATTAACTTAAAAATCTATTCTTAGATTATTATCTCGATTAGTAAATAATATATAATCTTCTAAAATAATATATAAGTGAGAAACTATCTATTTAAGATAAATATTTTTATATCTTATAAATTAAATAAAGTGTCAATTTAAGTTATCGATTTGTTTAAAAATATAATGCTTGTAAATAAATTATATAAAACTATATTTAAAATGATATATATGTCTAAAATTTTATCTTGAACAATTTGTTTTGGTACAAAAAAAACATTGGTAGGTAAAGATTCATTAACACTTATATCGTATAATATATTTTAAAAAATAATCTTAAGGTTTTTAGTGTCAAAATGATAAATTTAATAAAAATTTGAACCATAATTACTTATAAATTAAATGTAATACATTCAACAATTCTATGTCGTTGAATAAAAAAAATTAAATATTTAAAAATAATTAATATTTAATTAATTTATTTAAACAAAAAAAATAGTTTTAAGGAAATCAAGTTAATTATATAAATTATTAAGTAATATATGTAAGTATAGATATAATTTTAAAATATAATTTAAATATAATTTTTGCCTAAATCTTATAGTAAAAGTCAATTATATCATTGGGCTTTTTGTCATTTGATAGCATCATAGAAGTTATTTAGACATTGATAATGATATTTTGATATATTAATTGTTTTATGCCATTTATGTAAACTTATAATAACATAAAATTATATAGAAAAAATTATATGTCATAAACATATCATTGTAAAATTTATATTGAAATTATAAAAATTTAAAATCACATGATTTTCTATATACWGTATTGTATATACACTATTATGTAATAGTGTTTTCCTAATATATTAATGACAAAATATGAAAATTACCTTGTTAACATATTATGAAAATTCTTTATAATAAAAACAAAACAAAATTTAATAAACTTATATTAATATTAAATATTAAATATATCAAACAACACAATATAATTTAGTTGATATGTTTTATAAGTTCATTAGACTTTTAGTTTAACTTTATAATAATAAAAACTTTTATTTTTAATTCATCATAAAAATATATATTTATACATAAATTAATGATTACTACCACTATTTACCACAACACATATTAATTAAAATTATATTAAAATTAAATTAAATTTTTTTTATCTATTTTTTAATAATCGAGAAGGACTTCAACTTTTTTTAAGTACATTTTATTAAATATATATATACTGTATGTTTAAAGTTTGCAATATATTTAAATATTGTTTACCATTTCTTTTAAAATATACAGTAATCAATAAATTATTATTATTTTTATCATAATAACTAAGCGCTAAAAGAAAGTCATTGAAAGCTAGAATTAAAAATAAATTATTAAAAATGTGCTAAAAATTCTCTGAATATGATTACAATCTCATTCATAAACTTTTAAAATTATTTATTATTATTATTACTATACTTATTATAAATAATAACAATATTATTAATTTTGGTTTCATTTTATATACTTTTAATTTGGCAAGAATATAACAATATTTAGTAACATTTTATTTTATTTTTAATAAAATGTTTGCAATATTATTATGAGATTTATTTTTATATGTAATTTTGTATATTTAAAAATAATAACAATATTTTCCTAAAACCCACTTTTAGCTATTATTTACTTTAATTTGCAAATATTAATGAAATATTAAATAATAAATAATAATATTTATTTACTATAATATTAATATTATATATAAATATTGTTAAACACACGAACATAAATATTGTACTGCAAATACACACATACATACAGTACATACAGTATCAATATATACATAATTCATAAATACAATCAAATAATAATGGTTTATAAAAATAATAAATTATTAATATTATGCTAAATTTAATTTGAAAATATTAAATTAATTACAATAATGATACTATTATTTTATAAATCAAATGCGGATTAAAGTATTGTAAATGAATTTTATATAAACAAATAATCACATAAAATAATAATCAATTGATTAATAAATTTGTATAACATTTTATTTTTTAGATAGAAAATAATACAATTACTGTAATTTTTTAGACAATAAATAATAAAATTAAAAATTAATTATAGTTTTGAAGACAACCTATACTTTGGTTTTACTTATAATTATTTATTATTGCTTTAAGAAGTTATTGACTAAAAACCTTTGGGTTTCCCTACAAAATAACGCTAATAAATAAATGATAATAAATAAATAAAAAATACTTGACTAATACTTGAGATAATATAATATAAGCCAATTTCAAGCATATGTTTGTAAAACTAGAGGTAAAACAATTTTTTTTATTGAAGTCTCTCCTCTCGTATCGACATTGAGAGTCAATATATAGCGAGTGAAACGTAACACAAATTTATTAATAAATTGAATGACAATTGAGAGCTCATTTCACAAAATTAAATTAAATTAATTTTTAAATATTATTTTATGATTCAATAATATTAGTAATAATAATAATAATAATAATAATATATTTTATTTTATCAGTATATGTTAGTTTCAATGTAATCAAACAATTTTCAATATTTGTATACATTTTTCACGAGTTTTCCTTTGACCTTAAGATATCATATTTAAAAGTGAAAGTAATCTCATAATTAAGTTTTACTCATTCTTCTCACTCACTCACTCTCACTCWCTCTCTCTCTCTCTCTCTCTCTCTCTCTCTCTTTCTTTCTTTCTTTCTTTCTCTCTGTTATTAATTTTTAAAAAATATTAGGTCAATGTTATACTCATGATTTAATGTAAATAATGTATGTTATTTTGTGTGATCCACATAATACCTATGTATATAGATATATATAATATACAGTACTCATAACAATATAATTTACTTTTTTACTCCTTTTTATTTTGTTTAATAAATTTCAGGCTTTTTTGTGTTGAAAATATCAAGATAGCAATAATATTTTGTTTTGTATAATAAATGCATAATACTTTCAATGAATTAATTTTAGTTATATGAATGATAATATTAAATGATATATAAAGTTTTAAAAAAATTATTTATCATGATTTATATCACTCTACTATAAATTACTTTTTAAAACATGGGTTTTACTTTTAATAAAATTACAATATTTTTCTTTTATTATTTAATAAATCTTTAAATATTTAATATAAAAATTATTTTTATATGTGTATCTCTTTAAAATATTTTGTTATTGTATGTCRTAATGTAAATTATAATTATATTAAAAATATGCAAATTACTTAAATATTATTAAGAAAATACTGTTTAACAATATTGTTGTGAAAATATTTATTTTTGCACATTAATTGATTTATTATAATTAATAATTAGTATATGACTTAAAGCCAAAAATAGTTTTAAAAATAATTGTTTACTAGCTTTTATTATCATAAGTTTGTTATTATTTTTTTAAATAAAATATTCCATTAGCTTTAATACTAAATTGAATAATTATTAAATAATACAATAAATTTAATATTATCATGAATTGACAATTAATATGATCAAAACAAATTTTATAATTATTACAATATATAATATTATAAAAACTACTTAAATCAATAGATAATATATAGTATTCATGAATTTCTTTTTTGTAATATATTAGAAACATTGTTTTAAATTACTATATTTATTTGAAAATAATTATATATTCTAAATATGATCAAATACAGATACATTTTAAATTATCAATTATGTTTTTATTATACAGAAAAATAGCTATCATATAAAAAATAAATTGCATTTAATAGCTTTTTAATATTAGGGAAATTTTTATTTTGATAAAAACAATATTAACAATCTTTTGTTAAACTTTTGTTTTTAAAATATTTACACAAAACAATATTCATTAATATTATTTGATTTTATTCTAAATAAATATTGTATTTTAAAGAAACATTACAAATCAATTTGTAATTAATATGTTGCTATTTATTCTAAAAAATCCAATATTGATATTGTAAACTAAAAAACAATTAAAATTGCATTAAATTAAAATTTTTTTATTTTTTCTATTAAATTAAATTTAAATTTTAATATATTAACTGTAATTTTAAAAAATATCAAAGAGTTGTAATATAGCAGCAAAAGTATATATATAATCAAATTTAATCAGGCAATTAACATGTGAAAATATCCATGGTCAAAATACAGTATAAATTATGCATAACTATTAAATATTTTAGTATAAATTTTTTTTAAAGATTCCTATACTACCCATTAGCAAATTTTGTGTGATATTAAAAATTATTTTTATTAATTTAAGCTAATGTTCAATACTTATACATTTAGACAATATATTCTGTATAATATAGACAATTAATAAAAAATTTAATTTTCTAAATGTGTAATAGAGAGAAAATATAAATAATTAACAATACTATAAAAAAAACTTTACGTCAATTGTAATAATTATTATACACAAAAAACATTCATTACATATACTGTAAAATATATTTAAACTTTTAATATACAGTATAATATTGTATTTATAATTTATAATACAGCATTTATATAATAAATATAATGTAAACATTATATAAAAAATCAGTTGAGAATGTTAGAAAGCATTTCCATACGAACTCCTTATCCAAATTAAATATTAAATTATAATTAATTTTATAAATTGCGATATCAAATGACTCACATCACAAAATGAACTCAACTTTAGTCATGTGGGGTATCAAAATTTTAAAACAAGATCATTTTACACTAAATTAATTAAGTATTTTTATTTCAAATAAATCAGTCCAAAGGGTTAATAACTAATAAAATATTCCCAATAATATATATAATAATTAAATATACTAAACATTTATAATTATAAATACTTTAATATTTTTATATATAAAATCAATTCAATATATTAAGGAAAGTTAATAATTTTTATGTTGTTGATAAAAATTAGGACATTATAATTATTGTTCAATAATAAAAAAAATAATGATAACAACGATGATAATCATCCAGTTTAAATAATTATTTTAAATCTTATTGAAATATATGAAAATAATAATTATTATTTTCAACAAACAATTAAATTAAATTGAGGTCAGCAATAAAACTTGTTGATAAAAATTAGGACATTATAATTATAGTTGACATTCAAATTATTGTTCAACAATAAAAAATAATGATAACAACGATGATAATCATTCAGTTTTATTAATTATTTTAAATCTTTTAAATTTTAAATGATTATTTTATTTTGAGATTAGCAATAAAACTCATAATTACTGTACAATATTTAACTACATTTATATATAGTATATCCATATATTTATATATTGTTTTAATTATGAATATATGTTTTGTAAAATTACATATAATTTATTTGTTTAATTTTATTCAAAAAAAAAAAATTATATTAAACTTAAAACTGCTATCATGTGTGCTATCAATAAACAAAACAATTTATTTCATATAAAATTTTCTAAATATTATAATTAAATTTTAAAAATAATATATAAATTATTTTTAAAAATTATTTCTTTTATTTTAAATTTATCAAACTATAATTATTCAACAAATAAATATATGAATGGGAATATTTCATAATATACGGTATATATAAATTTATATACTGTATAGACCATAGTATTAAAACTTTTAATTAAAAAAATGTTGAAGATTTAATATACAGTAAATTATAGCCTAAATATTTGAGATATAATCTAAAGTATTTTTTTGTAAAAATTTGTATTTTATAAAATAAAATGAGGTATAAAACCAGGATGCGTAAGGGGGGGGTAGTGGGTAAGACCATCTAACCCCCACTTAGATCGAGATTTTTAGGTTTTACCTCCCTCGCCTAAAGCCATAAATAATTTTGTTAAATTAATGTTAAATTAAATATTAAACAAAAATATAAATACTAATTGAGTTTTAATATAAATAAATAGCTTATCTTACAAAATAACTATAAAAAACTTGTTAAATATTAAAAAAAAATAATGAAATACATCACTATAACATTTTTTAAAGTAAATATATAAAAAAACACTAAAAATTAATTATTTTTATATTTAAACTTATAAAATAAAAATTTATTTATTTATTTACGATACATATGCTTTAAAAATAATAAAAAAAAGATATTAAAATAAATATTACATATCTAGAGTTCTGGCATATCAACATAATAAAATGTGTTAGGGTCAAATATAAAATAGTAAATAAAGATATATATACTCAAATTAATTATTTAGAATTAATTAGGAATTATTTTCGACAATATTATTAGTTATTTTACTATTTAATTTTTCAAAACCTAATAATAAATACAGTACAATATCATTAATTTTAACATAACATTGTAAATAATTAATTGAAAAGTAAAGACAAGTAATTATAGTAATTGCTTTTATCTTATATATAAATATAATTTATGTTAACTTCATTTTTTTAATATTGTAGAAATAATATTATTAGTTTGAGAATATATTTTATGAGTCTTGAGAAATTAAGTTGGGAATAGTTTCATTTTTAGAAATTTATGGAGAATTGCATTTATAGGGTATTTATTGGGAATTTATTTGGAATTTATTTGGAATTTATTTGGAATTTATTTGGAATTTATTTGGAATTTATTTGGAATTTATTTGGAATTTATTTGGAATTTATAGGGAATTTATAGGAAATTTATAGGGAATTTATAGGAAATTTATAGGAAATTTACAGGGAATTTACTCAAATTTGGCAAAAATTGTCGTTTAAAAATTGTTCACCCCACTCTATACCCCAAGCTTTTTTAAGATATTTGTCATTTTACCCCTCTATACCCCCTGAAATCGAAAACTTATCACAACCCTGTATAAAACGGTTTAGTTTATATAAAATATATTGCGAACACTATTTAAGTTTAGAATTTCGTCATCATTTTATTTTTATAAAAGTGAAATTAGGATAAAATTTATACAAAAAACACGATTTTTTGTTAGTATATATAAATATTTTATAGACTTTCCTCTTAAATTGACTTAAATTTTTACATTACATAACTATTTTTTTAAATAAAGTAAAAAATAAATATAATTATATAATTTTTTTTAACTATTTTACTATTTTTAAAATATTTTTTAGAAATAATAACTTACTTTGCAATAATATAGTTAGCGTTTTGTTGTTGACATCACAATTAATATTTTACACAAATGAAAAAATAATTTTTTTATTACAAATTATTAGAAAAATACAATAAAGTAACTGTACGTTCATCTAAAACAATCAAAATAAAATTAAAACTATTGTTGAATGTCACAATTGTCGTACATAAAAATATCAGAAATAAAAATTAATCAATATAAAATACATTTACATAGTTTAAAAAAAATACAATAACAAACTTGTTATTAATAGAAGATTACACAAAATAATTGAATAGTTTTTACGATATAAAGTAATATATTTTTTACAATAATATCGGACTAAATAACTTACAAAAGTGTTTGGAAAGAATTGGAGTGAGAAATAGCAAATGAGTGGCAAAACTAATGATTTTATTATTATTATTGAATTTTAATTATTTGAGGGAACGTTATGTCGAAATTTTGACACAATATTTGTTTTATACATCCAGTTCTTACTCACTCTCATTCTCTCTCTTTCTCTATAATACACACTCCCTGTGCCTCTCATTTGTTGTCAGTACTATCGATCTCTTGTTGATATCGTTTAGTTATATAGTCAGCAACTTTGCTGAACTGTTGAAGAATGCCATACAAGGACTGCAAGTGTTGCATAAATACTGACATCAATTGGTTGGCCCTGTCCTCAAATGTGACCGGATCTCCATCTAATGAAAGTGCCGATAGACTCGACAAACTGCTTAATGATTGAAATGCATCGTCCGATTGCTGCCGATCCCAACGATTATTATTATTATTATTAGGAGTACTACTACTACTACTACTACTATAATTTCCATTAGAATTATTATGATTATTGTTATGATTATTATTATTAGTAGTAAAACTGTAATTATTATTATTACTATTTATCATAAATTGATGATCATCTGTACTATTAGTGGAACCGTTAAACAGATCGTCTTTGATATTATTTAGTAAAACATAATATTGAAAAAGATCTGTTTTGGACGCAATGTCGATGTCCAACGATTCAGTGACAGTCGTCGCCTCTGTTTCTGTCAACTCTATGTCCTTTAACTTTGACGGCAACAGTACGGCATCATTCATGCCTTTAACTGCATCGGCAAAGTTGGTCATCACTCGGTTAGTATAAATGATGGCGTCCTTATACGATGACCGACATCGGGACCGATGCTCGCCTATGGCATAGATGTCCTCCACTTTGAGATGATTGCCACTCGTATTGGACATTGTTTGATGTTTCAGTTATATATGCTTTTATAAATCGTTATATTTAAAAAAAATAAATGCTTTGTCCGCACAATTCAAATGGCAATTATATGAACCAAATAGTTAATAAATACTGCTATTAAACATGAATAATAAAATTAAATATATATAGGTATTAAACAAATTTATTAAATTAAATTTTTCAGTAATATATACTCACATTTGTTAAATTATTGAAAATGAAATTTAAGTGTTTGTTTCAATTGATACCGCAATTATACTATGAAATTCATTAACAAATATATACAGTTAATAAAATGATTTACGGATAAAATACAAATTAATTTTTTAAAGACATGCAACTGTTTAGATCAAATGATGGTGACGTGAATATCAATGGTTATTACACATCTATTTTTAACTAATAAATAGTGGTTTTTATATATAAATTATATAAATTTATCTACGTTTATATATCGCACATTCAAAAAAATGTTCAATTTTTCCTCTTATTTAGTCAACACATTGATTGTATAAAACCATAAATTTAAAAAAAATATTCATAATATTAAACATATGTATTATGAGAAAAACTAATAAAACTGACAAAAAAATTTATTTCTTTGTTATTTTTATATTTAAAACACTGTTAGATAATGATTTGCTATTTACTAAAATTATACTTTGAATGCAAAAAATTATGTGTTTAGTTATTGAATAACAAAAATGATAATTATATATATATATAGTGTATATGATATAATTTACATCACACAGTCATTGGAGACTCTCTTTTATATTGACTTAGTATTGACTGGCATTTCAATTGCTATTAGATAAAGTCCGGTCCTCTCAACCACAACTTTTTTTCACTTTTTTATATACAGTATAAATGTTTTAATATTGAGAGTACAGTACAATATAATAGTTAAGACATTGAATTGATGTCATTAAATGGCTAATTCACTGTTGAGGCTTTTATTACCGGTTTTGGGCCAGTCCTACTTAATTTGTTTTATAATGTAAGTGATCAATGATTAACGGTATAATCAGATATTTCAAATGGGGATTCACTAAATGAAATATTGATGGTTATACTTGAAGTTATTATAAACAATAATAATACCCATAGATAATGTATAATATTCTTATTAAATGCATTGACATATTTGTATTGACGTAATTCAACGCAAATATAATTATAAAGATTATTAACTTAAAAATCTATTTTTAGATTATTATATTGATAAATATAAATAATAAAATAATATATAATTTTCTGTAACAAAATATAAGTGAGATACTATCTAGTCTATTTATGATATATATATTTTTATATCTTATAAATTATAAAAAGTGCCAATTTAAGTTATCGATTTATTTAAAAATGTGATGCTTGTAAGTAAATTATATAAAACTATATTTAAAATTGTATATTTGTCTAAAATTTTATCTTGAGCAATTTGTTTTGGCACAAAAAAACATTGGTAGGTAAAGATTCATTAACACTTATATCGTATAATATATTAAAATAATAATCTTAAGGTTTTTATTGTCAAAATGATAAATTTAATAAAAATTTGAACCATAATTACTTATAAATTAAATGTAATACATTCAACAATTCTATGTCGTTGAATAAAAAATTTAAATATTAAAAATAATTGATATTTATTTAATTTATTTAAACAAAAAAATAGTTAAATAAGGAAATCAAGTAAATTATATAAATTATTAAGTAATATATGTAAGTATAGATATAAATTTAAAATATAATTTAAATAAAATTTTTGCCTAAATCTTATAGTTAAAGTCAATTATATCATTGGGCTTTTTGTCATTTGATAGCATCATAGAAGTTATTTAGACATTGATAATGATATTTTGATAAATTAATTGTTTTATGTCATTTATGTAAACTTATAATAACATAAAATTATATAGAAAAAATTATATGTCATAAACATATCATTGTAAAATTTATATTGAAATTATAAAAATTTAAAATCATATGATTTTCTATATACAGTATTGTATATACACTATTATGTAATAGTGTTTTTCTAATATATTAATGACAAAATATGAAAATTACCTTGTTAACATATTATGAAAATTCTTTATAATAAAAAACAAAACAAAATTTAATAAACTTATATTAATATTAAATATATCAAACAATACAATAATAAATTATTAATATTTACAATATATAATTTAGTTGATATGTTTTATAAGTTCATTAGCTTGTAGTTTAACTTTATAATAATAAAAACTTTTATTTTTAATTCATCATAAAAATATATATTTATACATAAATTAATGATTACTACCACTATTTACCACCACACTTATTAATTAAAATTAAATTAAAATATTTTACTTTTATTTATTAAAACCACAATTAGATTAATATTTAATAATGTTTAAACTATTATATATTTCAAAACTAAATAAATGTGAAGTAATGTATTATTATTTTTAGATATATCAACGAATAATTTTTTTAAACAAAAATAAGATATAAGTACTGAAAAGTTTAAAAATTATTTTATTAATAATAGAGAAGGACTTCAACTTTTTTTAAGTACATTTTATTAAATATATATATACTGTATGTTTAAAGTTTACAATACATTTAAATATTGCTTACCATTTCTTTTAAAATATACAGTAATCAATAAATTATTATTATTATTATAAGCATAATAACTGAATGCTAAAAGAAAGTCATTGAAAGCTAAAATTAAAAATAAATTATTAAAAATGTGCTAAAAATTCTCTGAATATGATTACAATCTCATTCATAAACTTTTTATTATCATTACTATACTTATTATAAATACAATTTTAAAAACAATATTATTATTTATTTTGGTTTCATTTTATATATTTTTAATTTGGCAAGAATTTTAACAATATTTAGTAACATTTTATTTATTTTTTGTATATATTATTATGAGATTTGTTTTTGTATGTAATTTTGTATATTTAAAAATAATAACAATATTTTCCTAAAACCCACTTTTACTTATTATTTACTTTAATGAAATATTAAATAATAAAAATAATATTTATTTACTTTAATATTATATACAAATATTATTAAATACATGACCACAAACACACACACACACAGAGAGAGAGAGAGAGAGAGTGAGAGAGAGAGAGAGAGTGAGAGAGAGAGAGAGAGTGATGCACAGTGTGCATTGCACACATACAGTACATACACACACATTAAAACACAGACATACATACATACATACATACATACATACATACATACATACATACATACATACATACATACATACATACATACATACATACATACATACATACATACATACATACATACATACATACATACATACATACATACATACATACAAACATATAAATAAATTCATAAAAACATTCAAATAATAATAAATTGTTAGTATTATGCTAACTTTAATTTGAAAATATTGAATTAATTACAATAATGATATTATTATATAATAAATAAAATGCTGATTAAAGTATTGTAAACGGATTTTATATAAATTTTTATCACATAAAATAATAATCAATAAATGTATATAACATTTTATTTTAATTTTAGATAGAAAATAATTAATACAATTACTGTAATTTTTTAGACAATAAATAATAAAATTAAAAATTAATTATAGTTTTGAAGACAACCTATACTTTGGTTTTACTTATAATTATTTATTATTGCTTTAAGAAGTTATTGACTAAAAACCTTTGGGTTTCCCTACAAAATAACGCTAATAAATAAATAAATAAATGATAATAAATAAATATAAAATACTTGACTAATACTTGAGATAATATAATATAAGCCAATTTCAAGCTTATGTTTGTAAAACTAGAGGTAAAACAATTTTTTTATTGAAGTCTCTCCTCTCGTATCGACATTGAGAGTCAATATATAGCGAGTGAAACGTAACACAAATTTATTAATAAATTGAATGACAATTGAGAGCTCATTTCACAAAATTAAATTAAATTAATTTTTAAATATTATTTTATGATTCAATAATATTAGTAATAATAATAATAATAATAATAATATATTTTATTTTATCAGTATATGTTAGTTTCAATGTAATCAAACAATTTTCAATATTTGTATACATTTTTCACGAGTTTTCCTTTGACCTTAAGATATCATATTTAAAAGTGAAAGTAATCTCATAATTAAGTTTTACTCATTCTTCTCACTCWCTCTCTCTCTCTCTCTCTCTCTCTCTCTCTCTCTCTCACATCACTCTCACTCTCTCTCTCTCTCTCTCTCTCTCTCTCTCTCATACTCATCTCGCTCACTCTCTCTCTCTCTCTCTCTCTCTCTYTCTTTCTTTCTTTCTTTCTTTCTTTCTTAATTAAAAAATAGGTCAATGTTATACTCATGTTTTAATGTAAATAATTTATGTTATTTTGTGTGATCCACATAATACCTATCCATATTATATATATAATGTAACTATATAAATATATAATATACAGTACTCACAACAATATAATTTTATTATTTTTACTCCTTTTTATTTTGTTTAATAATTTTCAGGCAATTTTTTCAGTTGAAAATATTAAGATAGCAATAATATTTTGTTTTGTATAATAAACGCATAATATATTTATTGTGCAATTTATTTATAAAATATGTTTTCAATATTCTTTCAATGAATTAATTTTAGTTATATAAATGATAATATTAAATGATATATAAAGTCATCAGAATTTATTTATGATTTATATAACTCTATTATAAATTACTTTTTAAAAATGGGGTTTACTTTTAATAAAATTATAATATTTTTCTTTTATTATTCAATAAATCTTTAAAATATTTAATATATAAATATATACAAAAATTAATTTTATATGTTTATTATTTTATGTCATAATAAAATTTATGCAAATTATTTAAATATTATTAAGAAAATGCTGTTTAACAATATTGTTGTGAAAATATTTATTTTTGCACATTAATTGATTTATTATAATTAATAATTAGTATATATCTGACTTAAAGCCAAAAATAGTTTTAAAAATAATTGTTTACTAGCTTTTATTATCATAAGTTTGTTATTATTTTTTTAAATAAAATATTCCATTAGCTTTAATACTAAATTGAATAATTATTAAATAATACAAAAAATTTAATATTATCATGAATTGGCAATTAATATGATCAAAACAAATTTTATAATTATTACAATATATAATATTATAAAAACTACTTAAATCAATAGTTAATATATAGTATTCATGAATTTCTTTTTTGTAATATATTAGAAACATTGTTTTAAATTACTATATTTATTTGAAAATAATTATATATTCTAAATATGATCAAAATATTAATTACATTTTAAATTATCAATTATGTTTTTATTATACTATAAATAGCTATAAAATATAAATTGCATGATTTAATAGTTTTTTTTAATATCAGGGAAATTTTTTATTTTGATAAAAACAATATTTAACAATATTTTGTTAAACATTTGTTTTTAAAATATTTGAACAAAATAAAACTTCATTAATATTATTTGATTTTATTCTAAGTAAATATTGTATTTTAAAGAAACATTACAAATCAATTTGTAATTAATATGTTACTATTTATTCTAAAAAATCCAATATTGATATTGTAAACTAAAAAACAATTAAAATTGCATTAAATTAAAATTTTTATTTTTTCTATATTAACTGTATTTTAAAAAAATATCAAAGAGTTGTAATATAGCAACAAAAGTATATATATAATCAAATTTAATCAGGCAATTAACATGTGAAAATATCCATGGTCAAAATACATTATAAATTATGCATAACTATAAAATATTTTAGTATAAATTATTTTTTTAAAGATTCCTATATTACCCATTGGCAAATTTTGTGTGATATTAAAAATTATTTTTATTAATTTAAGCTAATGTTTAATGCTTATACGTTTAGACAATATATTCTGTATAATATAGTCTATTATAGTCTATTATAGACAATTATTAAATTTTTAAAAAACGTCAAATAGAGAGTATAAATAATTAACAATACTATAAAAAAACTTTACGTCAATTGAAATAATTATTATACTTAAAAAAACATTCATTACATAAGCTATATAATATATTTAAACTTTATTATTTTTTTATTTATAATATTGTATTTGTAAATTATAATACAGCATTTATATAAAAAATATCATGTAAAACATTATTTAAAAATATGGTTTAAATTGTATTATTATAATTATATATTAAAATAATCTACATAAACATTTATTGCTTTTAATAATGTAATAGAGATAATTTATTTATTATAATAATTAATTTGTTTTTATAATTACAATTAAATTTAATACAAATATTTTGCAGACATTTTTTCTTAGTAAAAATACTTTAGTTATAATTAATTAATTATATTTTAACATTTTAAAAAGTAGCAAAATAGACACAATTATTATATAATACTTAAGTTTATAACTCATATTATTATAAAACATATAATCATAAAATAAAAATAAAATTTAAATAATAGTACTTATAATAATAATAATAATAAACAAATAATCTAAGAATTTCAAGTTTAATCAAATTTCACTTATATATGACATATAATTATTATGAAATATTTGTATAACACCGGAAAATCCGATTTTTTCATATTAACCCATAATTATAGTCTCAGTTTTGTCTAGTATTTTGGTCATAATGTTTATAGTTTTAATATTCATGGCTAAATTTACGCACATTTAAATTTTAAAACTTTTAAATAATTATCGTAAACAACAATTTTATGACGCTTTATTACAAATATCAATTTTATAAATTTTATAAAAATCTGTTAAGTAATTTTTAATTATTTAGTTTTATTGATTTGAATGATTGAAATAAATAATTATTAATACAATTTTTAAAACAAGATCACTTTACACTAAATTAATAAATATTTTTATTTTCAAATAAATCAGTCCAAAGGGTTAATAACTAATAAAATATTACCAATAGTTTATATAATAATTAAATATACTAAACATTTATAATTATAAATACTTTAATATTTATATATAAAATCAATTGAGTATATTAAGGAAAGTTAATAATTTTTATGTTGTTGATAAAAATTAGGACATTATAATTATAGTTGACATTCAAATTATTGTTCAACAATAAAAAATAATGATAACAACGATGATAATCATTCAGTTTTATTAATTATTTTAAATCTTTTAAATTTTAAATGATTATTTTATTTTGAGATTAGCAATAAAACTCATAATTACTGTACAATATTTAACTACATTTATATATAGTATATCCATATATTTATATATTTAATATTATATGTAAATTTATATATTGTTTTAAATTAAAACTTTTAATTTTATTCAAAAAATTTATATTAAACACAAAACTGCCATCATGTGTGCTATCAATAAACTAAACAATCTTATTTCATATAAAATTTTCAAAATATTATCTAAATTATTTTATTTTAAATTTATCAAACTATAATTATTCAACAAATAAATATATGAATGGGAATATTTCATAATATACGGTATATATAAATTTATATACTGTATAGACCATAGTATTAAAACTTTTAATTAAAATATGTTGAAGATTTAATATATAGTAAATTATAGTCTAAATATTTCATATATAATCTAAAGTATTTTTTTTACAAAATAAAATGAGGTCTAAAACGGTTTAGTTTATATACAATAACTGCGAGCAATATTTAAAAATTTCGTCATCATTTTATTATATATATATTTTTATAAAAGTGAAATTAGGATAAATTTTATACAAAAAAACACGATTTTTCGTTAGTATTTATAATATTTTATAGACTTTCCTCTTAAATTTACTCTCTCTCTCTCTCTCTCTCTCTCTCTCTCTCTCTCTCTCTTTTCTTTCTTTCTTTCTTTCTCTCATAAGCTGTCTTTGTTTGTTTACTTTTTACTTATTTAATATTTACATTAATATAGTAACTAAATTTTTACATTACATAACTATTTTTATAAATATACGTATATAATTTTAAACTATTTTACTATTTTTTAAATTATTATTTTTTTATAATAACTTACTTGAAATAATATAGTTCCAGTTTTTTGTTGACATCCAAATTAATATTTTACACAAATGAAAAAATAAGTTTTTTTAATTACAAATTATAAGAAAAATATATATTACAGATTAACTGTATGTTCATCTAAAACAAGAAAAATAAAATTAAAACTATTGTTGAATGTCACAATTGTCGTGCATAAAAATATCAGAAATAGAAATTAATCAATATAAAATACATTTACATAGTTTTAAAAAAATACAATAAAAAAACTATAAAAAACTGATGGGAGTGAGAAATAGCAAATGAGTGGCAAAACTAATGATATTATTATTATTTTTTAATTTTAATTATTTGAGGGAACGTTATGTCGAAATTTTGACACAATATTTGTTTTATACATCCAGTTCTTACTCACTCTCATTCTCTCTCTCTTCTCTATAATACACACTCCCTGTGCCTCTCATTTGTTGTCAGTACTATCGATCTCTTGTTGATATCGTTTAGTTATATAGTCAGCAACTTTGCTGAACTGTTGAAGAATGCCATACAAGGACTGCAAGTGTTGCATAAATACTGACATCAATTGGTTGGCCCTGTCCTCAAATGTGACCGGATCTCCATCTAATGAAAGTGCCGATAGACTCGACAAACTGCTTAATGATTGAAATGCATCGTCCGATTGCTGCCGATCCCAACGATTATTATTATTATTATTATTAGGAGTACTACTACTACTATTATAATTGCCATTAGAATTATTATGATTATTAGTATTATTATTATTACTATTTATCATAAATTGATGATCATCTGTACTATTGGTGGAACCGCTAAACAGATCGTCTTTGACATTGTTTAGTAAAACATAATATTGAAAAAGATCTGTTTTGGACGCAATGTCGATGTCCAGCGATTCAGTGACAGTCGCCGCCTCTGTTTCTGTCAACTCTATGTCCTTTAACTTTGACGGCAACAGTACGGCATCATTCATGGCTTTAACTGCATCGGCAAAGTTGGTCATCACTCGGTTAGTGTAAATGTTGGTTTCTTTACACGACGACCGACGTCGAGACCGATGCTCGCCTATGGCATAGATGTCCTCCACTTTGAGATGATTGCCACTCGTATTGGACATTGTTTGATGTTTCAGTTATATATGCTTTTATAAATCGTTATATATTTTTTAGAAAATAAATTACTTATATATATATAAATGCTTTGTCCGCACAATTCAAATGGTAATTACATTAACCATATAAATAATAAACACGGCTATTAAACATGAATAATAAAATTAAATATATATATAGGTATTAAACAAATTTATTAAATTAATTTTTCAGTAATATATACTCACATTTGTTAAATTATTGAAAATGAAATTTAAGTGTTCGTTTCAATTGATACCGCAATTATACTATGAAATTCATTAACAAATATATACAGTTAATAAAATGATTTACGGATAAAATACAAATTAAAATTAAATTTTTTAATGACATACAACTGTTTAGATCAAATGATGGTGACGTGAATATCAATGGTTATTACACATCTATTTTTAACTAATAAATAGTGGTTTTTATATATAAATTTATCTACGTTTATATATCGCACATTAAAAAAAATATCAATTTTTCCTCTTATTTAGTCAACACATTGATTGTATAAAACCATAAATTTTTAAAAAATATTCATAATATTAAACATATGTATTATGAGAAAAACTAATAAAACTGACAAAAATTTATTTCTTTGTTGTTATTTCTATATTGAAACACTGTTAGATAATGATTTGCTATTTACTAAAATTATACTTTGAATGCAAAAAATATGTGTTTAGTTATTGAACAACAAAAATGATAATTATATATATATTTAGTGTATATGTATATAATTTACATCACACAGTCATTGGAGACTCTCTTTCATATACAATATTGACTTACAAGTTAGTATTGACTGGCATTTCACTTGCTATTAGATATTCCTATGTATTACAGAATATTGTTAATAATGTAAGTTAACATTAAATTTAGAAATATATATTAAAAATAAATATTCTGTCAAACAGGTTAAAAATATATATCATTATTTATGTTATACATTATTTAATGGATTTATTGAACTTAATACCTGTTAATACTTATATATATAATTTACTCAATAAATATTTAATTGATAGTATTGAACTCTATCTTATTTTGACAATTTATTTGTGAATAATTTATTATTTGCATACAATTATCATATAATCCTTATATAATTTAATTAAATATCAAAACAAAATTTGGATAATTTTTCTAATAAATTATTAATATTATCACAATAACAAATGTATGTGAAAATGTATTTCTATTAAATTGATATTTAAAAAAACAGGTTCAAAGTCAAGGAAAACCACTTTTACTTTAAATTAGATGTTAATTATGTTTTGTATTTTTCCTAAAATTTCTTAAATATTATTATTATTATTCCACTAAATCTTGATTTTGTTTCTTTTCATTCACATTTTAAAACTTATTTTTTAAAATATCATATAAGTATAAATCATATTCTTATAAGTTATAGTGTACTACAGTATATAAATGGTGTTATTTGATAAAAATGTTAATAAATTTTACTATTATAAACGTAGTAAATATAAAATTTGAAATATGAATTATTTTATACTAATAATATAATTTTATATTAAAATTACATTTTATAAATAAATATATGATTTTTTGATTTTATAAATATAATTATATACTGTATTATTAAACAAAATCATTTAATTTTTTACTATTTTTATTTTTTATAATTTAAATTATTTGAAATGTTATTTTCAGACACTTTATGTTGCTATAATTTTTTAACAATACAAATATAACAATATAAATGTTGATAAATTATAAAAAATAATAATAAATAAATAATTTTTTATAAAAATACAGTATAATATTTTTCTTATACAGTATATTTGTTATTTAATTATCTATAATTTATGATTTAGTTATTATTTTTTATGTTTGTATTGTATAAAACATAAGAAATAAAATATGGATCATAATTTTATTAGTAATTACTGTAAATATCTAAATTATCATAAATGATAAAAAAAATTATATAAAATTATATTAAAGCGTTATCAAAATACACTACTTAATCAAATCAATTCAATAAATTATTGTATATAATAGTTAATCAAAAATTATGAAATTATAATTACCGTTAAAATTAATAATAAATTCATAAAAATTAATAAAATTTGATAATTACATATTCAAACAATATCAATATATAATATGATTTTGTTTATCTGTCATAAAATTATTTAAATTAATAATAAAGTTATAATAAAAACCAGTTAAGAATGCTAGAAAGCATTTTCAGAAAAAAAAATTAAATAGCATTGAAAACCATTAGTTTGTATAATTATAGCGGCTATATAATAACATATAAAAGTTTAAAAACTGGTCAAATATACATAAATTAAATATTGTTATGTATGGTAAAAATGATACAATATGACAAATTAAACTCAACTATAATCATGTGGGGATCAAATGAGTTAGTATGATAAAATATAATCAACTATAGTCATGCAGGGTATAAAATGACTCAGTATAACAAAATAAACTCAACTATAAGCATGTGGGGATCAAATGATTCAGTATAACAAAATAAACAACTATAATTATACTTTTGCCGCCATTTTTTAAAAATAATAATTTTGATCTATATCTTATTTTTTTGATTGATTGATTTGATTTGATTGATTTTTTCTTACTATTTATTTATTGATGCTCTATAACTCTAAATTCTAAACATTAAAATATACCTAAATTTTTTATACCTTTGCCGCCATTTTTGAAAAAATAAAAAAATTCTTCTGATATATTATATCATATTTTTGATGCTTTTTACAATTCTAAACGTTGAAAATTTTACCAAATTTTTTTACTTTGGCCGCCATTTTCTTTATGTTCCCGAAGAGATATCAAAATTTTAATGCATATTTTTATGCTTGTTTTTGATGCTTTATTCAAATCTATACTTAAATAAATTTTTCTTAAAATTTTTTTATCTTTGGCCGCCATTTTCTATATGTTCCCGAAGAGATAGACCATTTTTGATGCAACTTTTCAATACATTATTAGTAGTCCTCTAACCGAATCTGAAGTCAGAATTTCAAAATTCGAAAAATGAAATGCTACAGACAGACAGACTCAAAAAGCCATTATAGATTTCAGTAAACAAAACTTTTCAAGTTTTTTTGATTATATATTTTATTAGTTTATTAGATGAAAGCTTAGTCAGATTTTATCCTAATGTAAATACAGTATTAGTACAGTTAAAGTGCAAATTAAACAGTTATGTAATTTACTGTAGAGGTAATGGCTTTTTACGTTATTATTAATTGAGTATAAATATATCTAAACATTATTAACTAATTTTGTTTAACAAATATGTAAAATGCAATCTCACTATAAATAGTGTTAACATTTTCTTCAATAAACTAACGATTGCTTTGCACTAAATGAGTGCACTTTTAAATACATGCGTCGGAACACTATATGAAAACTATATAAACTAACTTTATTTTAGCTCAAAATCAAATTGTTTTTGAAAAGATTTAGAAAATAATTATTTCTATCATTATATTTAAGATTTATTTATAAGTTTATTTACTATATCAACAAAAATGCCAATTGATTTATATTTAATGAATCTGAGTCCTCCGTGTCGAGCGGTTCTCATGGGTATCAAACATCTTAAACTTGATGTCAATGTTAAGACAGTTAATCTCATGGCTGGCGAACATCTGAAGCCAGAGTTTTTGAAGCTAAACCCGGCGCATACCGTTCCCACACTTGTCGACAATGGCTTCTCATTGTGGGAAAGTCGGGCTATTTTACAATACTTGTTCTCGAAGTACGCGCACAACAGTCCTCTATATCCTACTGACCTCCAGAAGCGGGCAACGATTGATAAACTACTTAATTTTGATCTATCGCTAAATAGTTCAATATTTGGTGCAGTGGTTAGTAGTTTACATTTATTTAAATTTAGAAAAAAAATAATTTACAATTTGGACTAATATTCTAATAAATGTTTCATTTTTTTTATTTAAATACAAAGACTGGAAAAATATTTCGAGGAATAGAACCAACAGAACAGTCGATTACGACATTCAAGAATAATCTGAAACTATTGGAGACACTGATTGGTGACAATAAGTATGTGACGGGTAATGAGCTGACCATTGCTGACCTGTCTGTGTTGGCAACGCTTTCGTCACTTTTGGTAAACGATTTCAAAGATTTAGATGAAGTGCCAAAAGTTAAGGCATATAATGAACGACTGCAACGGGAACTTCCCTATTATGCCGAAGTGCATACCGGTGTCGCTGAGACACTCAAACAGTTTATTGCTTCCAAAAAGTAAATTTTCAGACAAACCTCTAATAAAGATATTCAAAACTAAAATTTTGATAAATTAATATTTTTATATTACAAAAAAATTATTTTGTATCAAAAATTAAATTTAAATAAAATTATTATTAGTTATAATAAATTTGTAATCTCATCTCTATATTAAATAATTAAATGAATATACATTATTTGTTTTTATGAAATATTTCCAAGGACATTTTTATACATGGTATTGACAAAAATTGTAATCATTTTTTATTAATAAAAATTACAAATAAGTATACTGTATATAGAAATTAAAAATTAGTAAAACAAATATAAATTATTTGATAATATCTACATAACTGCTACCTGTGCTCTCAATCATTATGGCCATAGAACTATATATGATGCCAATGAGTCCACCATCCCGTGCGGTGCATATGTTATTGAAACACCTGAACATTGCGTTTAAAATTAAAAATATTGATTTAAGAAATGGTCAACAATTTGATGCTGACTATGCAAAGGTATGTCCTCTAAAATGGTTGCTCTCAAACATTAATTATAGTTATAGATATGTTAGTTAATTAATAAATTATATACTTATAAAAACATTAATAAATTAGATAAATCCTGTGAAAAAAGTGCCCGCAATTGTCGACAACGGCTTCAATGTATGGGAAAGTCGGGCAATAATGCAATATCTATGTAACAAATACGCGCCAAACAGTAGTCTCTATCCCATTGATATTCATAAGCGTGCAATTGTTGACCGACTACTATATTTTGATACATTTTATTATCAATCACTTAGAGAAGCACTGGTATTATACAATTTAATAAATTATACTGTATTTTGCATCAATTACTATAATTATATTATCATTATACTGTATATAATTTTATAAATATAATTGTTTACAGATATTAAAAGTGGTGCGAAATGTTGATCCGACACCCTTTCAATTGACAAACTATAAGAACACTATTAAACAAATGGATCAATTAATTGGTGACAATAAATATCTGGCCGGCAATGAGCTCACCATAGCTGACATCTCGGCTTTGGCTACGAGTACTGTATTTTGTATCAATGATTTTGAGGATCTCAACGATAATGTGTCACATCTGAAGTCGTGGTACAACAGATTGTCTCATGAGTTGCCATACTTTGCTGAAGTAAACGAACCCGGAATTGCTTTATTTAAGAAATTTAATACCTCAGATGAATCATTTTATATTCATAATAAAAAATAGAAATTATAATTATTATTATAACTTTTATTATGTTAAACTAATTAATTATTTTGTTAAATTTAAATTTTAATATAAAATAAAAATTAATAAATTCTAATATAGAATTTTTATAAACATAGAAAATAAAATTTTATAAGATAAACATTTAAAAAAAATTTACATTGATGATTAATTTTAATTTAAAATATATTTAGTACAGTAAGTTTAGTTATGATTATTTAGTTATATTTATTTAAAATCATTTAACAATCCTATATGTATACTAAAAAATATATTTTGATAATCTATAAAATTAATATTTTAGTTTGCAATTATTTCCTATTTTAAATAATAAGATTAAGTTAAACTATGATTTCATTGATTATGTTGAACTAAATATTATAAAATATAAATTGTTTTATTGATTAACTGATCAATATCATATAAAAAACATTTTTTTTAAACAAATTAAATTATAGTTTAGCTTAAATTTGATTATGAAATTCATTTAAACTAATTTTAACATTTAATAAACATAAAAATACATATCAGTGGCAATTATTAATCAAAAATAATTGTCTTCAAGCAAAAAATCGGTGACGAATTTGGCAAACTGAGTGCTAAACTCTTGGTGTGTGATATGATCACCTGATTTGAATCGCTAGAGCCGGGAATAGGGATTTTTTTGGGTCAAAAATAGTGGATGTCCTGATGGTAATGGGTCCAAGTCTTGATGCAATTATTAAAAACATCACAATAGCTAATAAACAGATGTTATGCTAGTATTTGAATTGTCTTACAATACATAATATCCGGATATTGTTAACACATTATGGCAAATGTCGTACAAGTTATTGATATAATGATTGCATTGTTTATTCCAAAGGACTGGTAGCTCATTGTCATTGACTGATTCATATAAGGAATGTGTTTATGTTTTCCAAATGTCAATATCACGGGTACTGACATTCAGATAACAATTTTTTTAGACACCACATAACCATTACCGCCACAAATGACCAGTTTGTCAATACACGAGACATAATATAGTTTATGTCCATTAATTAGTGTTTGTCAAAAAAAAATAGAAATTTCTAAACTAATTGAAAAATTTCTAGAAAGTTTCTAAAAGAAATTTCTGTCTTTAGGATCCACATTTTAATTTAGTCAATAAACTAAACAACAAAAAAATACTAATTAATTTAATAAGATTTCAATTATAACATTTAGTAAAATTTTATATTTAGTTTAAAGAGTTGATAATCAATTGGCGCGCCGTTTCAAATAATTAGTTCAATAAAAATCACTGGCTTTTAGTGAATGGCTTAAAAATTTTTTGGGTTTACATAAACTATGCACATTGACCTTGAACATTTTGTTAGTTTTTTGATAATACAGTATATCCCAGTATAATTAATAATGGCTACTATACTGTAGTATACAGTGTATAGTATTTCAAACTTATTTTTAAGTACAAACTAAGTGCATGAATATCATTAAAAATTTTATCAAATATACAGTAATATAAACTACTACTACTAGACCCTAATATTACAAATAGTCGCCAATAATTATCAAACATTTGTTGTTTAATTAATTAAAGATTTCATTCACTGGCTGTAATTAACTGCAGTACTATTATATATAGACTTGTACTGTATATAAACTCATGTCAAACAATTGATAAATATTGTCATAAATTTTGATTAGTATTTTCATCAAAATTATTTTTAAATTTTATTTTTTTTGTGGAAATCATTTGTTAATTATATATTGAATTGTTAATTAAATAAAATGCCAATTGATTTGTATACAACACCTCTAAGCCCACCCGCGAGGGCCGTTCACATGACACTCAAGCGGCTTAATATCGACGCCAATATCATTGAAATAAATCTACAAAACGGCGATCATTTGAAACCCGAATTTCTTAAGGTATGAAACAATAAATTTGTTTAATTTGTTATATGATATGATATTATATAATAATTGAATGAATTGTTTGACCGATAGCTTAACCCTCAACATTGTGTACCATTCTTTGTCGACGACGGCTTTTCGTTGACTGAAAGTCGGGCAATAATGCAGTATTTAGTGTCCAAATATGCACCAAACAGTCCTCTCTATCCGACCGGTGATCTGAAAAAGAGAGCACATGTCGATCGGCTTCTCTATTACGATATGAGCGTTTGGTACGCCATTCGAGATAATATCGTAAGTTTCGCTGAAATATTAATCATATAAGAAATGATTTTCTAAACAGAATATTCTTATGTATTGAATGAACAGATGAACCCATTGTTTCGCGGAGAAGATCCGCACCCGAATGCTGTCAAGAATTATTACAATAACTTAAGTGTTTTGAATACATATATCGGTGATAACAAGTATGTGGCCGGAGATGAACTAACAATTGCTGATCTGTCGTTTTTGGCCTCATTGACAATGTTGTCGGTCAACGATTACAAAGACCTGGAAGACTATTCAAATGTTAAGCGATGGTTCAATCAATTGAAGAATGAGTTGCCATACTTTGATGAAATCAACGGCAAAGTACCTCAACTCATGAAAGAGTTGGCAAATAAACCCAAAAATTAATTTCTTTGAGATTGTTTGACATTATTTTATTCATTTTATTATTTATATGTAATCTTTATTAATATTATAATTAATAATAAATATTTTCATTAATATGTACTTTAATTGTTTCATTTTAAATATTTATAGTATTACTGTACTAATACTGTAGTCAGAAAAATACTTATAATTAATATTATATTATTATAATACTACTTACAAATTACATAATCCACTCAAACTCAAAAAATTATAATATCAATATTTAATAAGATTATTAAAAATTAATTAATTAATTAATTAGATTTTTGTGATATAATTTTTGTAATTTACATAATCAATTCTACATTTAAATGTACATAAATTTATTTTGCCAATTATTACTACCGGTAATGTTATATCTAAATTTATAACTTAATATAACTGCATAATCATAGTTTGATAGATTGACAAATAATTTGCATTATTTAACTTTGATATAAAAATATCTATATTAATAATACAATAACAATACTACCATTTAGGATGATTTGCTAAATTGAAGGCCATTAATAACAATCAGTAAATAATACTGTATAGTAATAATTTTTATATTTACCGTATAACCGCACACATAGCCCCCTGACAAATTTTTAAAATTTAAAAATTAACTTTTGGTATGGGGGCTATATAATCATTGAACTATATGTCAAGTCGTGGGGCAAGAAACGATTGGGTGAAGGGGTAATTTGTAAGACTGGTCTATTACAATCAGAAACCATTAATGGCCAGTTTATAGCAATTATTGTCGAGATAGTTAAAATTAAATTACTTCAATAGTGGAGGTATTTGATAATTCATTAAAATCAACATTTATTAAATAATATAATAGTATATCTCACTTATTGCCACATATTATCACATATAGCCCCTGATGGCCAGGGGAGACTATATGCGCGGTTTTACGGTAGTTATATAAGTTATAATATTTGCCTTTTCTAATGAAATATCATAAATAGCTTTTGTTGCTAATTTATAACATTTTATTAATATATAACTGTACAGTTGATACCCATATTACCAATACATATATTAATATAAACCAGACATATATTAATCTACTAGTGATAAGATATTAGGGAATTGCCTAAACTACCTAAACATACATTAAAAAATAGATTATTGTTATTAATCGTAAATATTATTTAATAAGTAGAGGATATCAATTGTGAGCCACTCCTTAACTATAGATTATTTTTTTAACAGTAGTTTGGTTTCAGTATTTAAACCGTATACAGTATTTTAAATTTGTTAAATTGTTTTGTGGTTAACTAATAATAAGCAATAATAATTAAAATGACAATTGATTTGTATTTTCTGCAACTGAGTCCACCGGCCCGAGCGGTGCTCATGACATGCAAACAGTTAGGTATTGACGTAAATGTTATTAATCTAGACTTTATTAAAGGGGAACACCTTTCGCCTGAATACGTAAAGGTATTGTTAATTGATAATTAATTAGACAATGTTTATATTAATTTATAACTATTTACTTAATTAGATAAATTAAATATAATTAATTACATTCAATAATAAGATTACATATATGTTTATTGTTTAGCTAAACCCGGCCCATCAGGTGCCTACTATTGTGGACAACGAGTTTGTTCTCTATGAAAGTCGGGCTATTATGCAATACCTGTGTAACAAATATGAACCCAACGGTGCTCTATATCCAAGTGAACCGAAAAAACGAGCTCTTGTTGATCGTTGGCTTAATACAGATATGTCTTATTTCATGGCTAACAGAGACCGATATGTACAGTACTTTACATATTAGATATAAGAAGATATACTGTAATTAATTTTTTATTAATGAATATTTGTGTTTTGGATATATTGTAGGCATTGAAAATAGTTAGAGGTATAGAACCAACTGAGCAAACATTCAAAACATTTGAGACAACACTGAAACTTTTGGACCAACTAATTGGTGACAACAAATACTTAGCCGGTGACCAATTAACCATTGCTGACCTGTCTGTGTTGGCCTCAACAACATTATTGGCAATCAATGATTACGTGGATTTTGATGACCATCCGAACCTAAAGAGATGGTTTGAAACATTGGCCAATGAGTTGCCGTATTTCGATGAAATCAATCAAAATATTGGTCAGAAATTTAAAGAGTTGGGTGAGGCTATCAAAAGTCAGACTAATAAGTAATCATTGAAATACAGAAAATATCAAATTTTTGAAAAAATACTATTAATGAGAATAATGAAAAATGATTGCAATAAAATTGAATAAAATATATTAATATTTAATTTAATTAATATAAAAAGTTAAATAGATACAAATCATAAAATTTGAATTTATTTAGTTAACAAAATAAATATTTATAAATATACAGTATATTAATAACATTATTGTAAGTATTGTTATATATGTAATATTTTAGCTCGTATTAACCCATTTCCCTTATTTAAAATATTTTATAAAATCCGGAAAATTGTGAATTGATTAGACATTAATTATAATTACTAATAATTGTCTTCAAGCAAAAAATTGGTGACCATTTTGTTAAACTCTTCACTAAACTCTTGATGTATGTTATGAGAACCCGATTTGAATCGATATAATCGCGAATCGGCTATTGTTTTGCACAAAAACAGTGGGTGCTCTAATGGTAATGGATCCAAATCACCGTGCAATACTTAAAAACATAACAATAACTAATTAAAAAAAATGTTAAGTTATTATTTGAATTGTTATACCAAATGTAGGAGACATTATATTATGAACTTGATTGCGGCAAATATCGTCCAAATTATTGATATAATGGTCACAATGTTTATTCCAGAGCACAGGTAGTTCATTACCATAGACTGCTTCATAAAAATAACGTGTTTGTGGGTTCCAAATACGGATATCACGGATGGCATTTATAACACGCTTTTCTTGTGACACCACATAAGCATTACCGCCCCAAATGACCAGTTTGTCAATACTCGAGGCATAGTTGATGGCCATTAATAATCCAGTCTTAGCCCCGTCACTCCAACCCAATACCGAATAATAATTATAACCTAATTGTGACATCAATTTTGCTGCCATATGTGCGTCGCGTTTGTATACATCACTATCGTATAATCGTTGAGGTGGTCTACTAAAGCCATAGCCGGGTGGGTCCCATGCAATCATTGTAAACAGATTTTTATCCAAACCCTTATCATTTGATAATTGAATACTAAAATCTGTACGACTTGTGCCTTGTTTTAAATTAATAATTAAAGTGTAGTTATAATGAAATGAGTTTGAATGTCAAAATCATTATCAAGTTTTTAGTAGACCTACCTATACCCCCTGGTAACAATAATAGCACTCTGGGTCCTGTACCAACTTTTTCATAATGTATTTTAACTCCATCCACATCAACAAACTGACCCAATATTGAAATATTCATTGTTAGACAAAAAAAAATAATATTTGATAATTGTATTATATTAATAATTTATAAAAATATTTAGAAAAAATATTATATCAATTAGATTTACCAATTCCTATCTGCACAATATTTTATTGTAATAGTTAAAAATCACATATATATATAAATTTTAGTAATTATGTGGTAAATCCAAAATCATAATTAAATAAATTTTTTGTATAAACTGATATTTTCCTCGTAATTTTCTCAATTTAAAACTTATATTAAATTATATTAAATAAGTAAAATATTATATAATAAAATTATTTCTACAAAAAAATGTTTTTTTTGTGAATAGTCAATGACTTAAAAATGATTTAAATTTTTTAAATATGATTAGCACATAATGTACTAGATGCAAATGTTGTCAAATAAGTTAAAAAATTATAAATATATACATGTATATTACAATTTAAATTGTAAAATATTATTAAATTGGGTTTTTAATAAATATAATATAATTTATATTATCTTAATAAATAATATACAGTATGTAGTAATTTAATAAAATATTATAATAAATAAATATATATATTTCCAGTATTAGATTATGTTAATTAAATCAAAATTAGACAAATAATTAGTTTTTAACCAAACATGAAACCCATAGATTTAGTCATACGATTGGCCTGTCTTTGCCATAACCTCAACATATCGATGGATTGTTTAACAACAGGTATACCTCCCGTTTCCATCATTGTCTTGAACTGATTGTTCACGTCATACACCATATCCTGCAAATGCGCCAAATTTTCGCCAATAAAGCCAAACATTCCCTGATCTTCGTCTTTATTATTCATTATGTTATCAATACTCGACTCGTTATCACTCTGTTTCTCCTTCAATATCATTGACAATGATTTACAGTTTACGATGTCATTGATGGTAATCAATGTTAATAATAAAGTCATTAAACAAATATTTTTAATGTTCAAATAAAACATTATTTTTATTAAATTTTTTAAATTATTATTTTAAGTAATATTATCAAAATATATCGTTTTTCAAGTAATTACTATTATTGTTTAACATTTGTAACAATAATAGCGTTAATTTATTTATACTATTATTTATAATTGTAAAAAAATAGAATTTTAATAATTAGATAATGTGGGCAAATATTTATGTCAAATAATAAAATATAATTACCTAAAAATCTAAAAAATTATAATTAAACCAATAAAACACTAATTAATATTTTTATACAAACTTATCTTAATTTAATTATATTTTAATATATTTGTTAAAAATTATCAGATTGACATAAAATAATAGATAATTAAAATTAAACTCCTCAAACATTTATAGATATTGATTATGTTCAAGCAATATTTAATAAATAAATAAATTTATTGTCATTAAAAATGGGGTCATACTGTAGATTGTACTACAGTATTATATTCAGCACATAATTGTATGTTATTTATTAATTTAATTTATTTCTAAATTTTAAATCTATTAGTTTTATGTTTTCTTTTATTTGAAAATTACTAACTTTAGTATTTTCCATACATTAAAAATAATTTTAAATATTTAATATGTAAAGTTTGATTTTTTAATCATCTTAAAATTATAAATCATCTTAAAGTAGTTTGTAAATAAAATTATTACAATAGCTATTTGATATATTAATGATTTTATAATAAATATAATATTTTATCATTAATGATTCACTACAATGTCATTTATATTTAGTATATGATTACATTTTATATATTAATTATATTATAGAAAAGAGTTATTTTTCTTTGCAAACTTGTTTGTAAAAATTTTATTATTACTATTTTTTTTATTAAGCTATAGATTATAAACAAAAAAAAATCAAATAAAATATTATTTAAATATTCTATTAATTATCATAAAAATATTATATATTAAGAAATATTTCAGCTAAATATACAAATTTATCATAAGAAACAAAATGTTTAACTTATTAATATATTTTCAAGTTTGTTAACTCGTTAGTTATATTATTATGTTAATGTATAACATTAACTGTAAAGTATTTATAATAAAAACTAATTGAATCCTAAAGTTTTTATTATTAACAAACAATTTCTCTGTGAATCCGATCGCAAAAAGGAAGTGATATTATATGCAAACAAAAAGGAAATTAATTTAAACAAACCATTTGTTTTCAAAATTAGTGTTTTTATATCATATTCTTTATATTAGATACATTGTAAAAGTTTATAAAATTGAATAAAATAATAATAATATTTAAATTTGATTTAATATAATTAAATTACTTTAATATTTATTATATTTATTTTAAAATCATTCAAATTCATATTAATCAATATTTGTAAGAATAACTATAAATTATAGTTATTTTTAAGATTATGATTATGTTCTCAAAAATAAGTATTAATTGTCAATAAAATTTTAACAATATTAATGCTACAAAAAAATATATTGTGTAGTTATTTTAAAAAATGCAAATTTTAATAATGTCATCAATTAGTAAAACCTAATTTTTCTAACTGTTATTTAACAATCAGTAAATTTTATATGTTGTGCAACACATATAACAACCAGTATTGTGAATAAAATAATAATTAAAATCATTTCTCATAATTAACCAAAACCAACACAACAATTGATAATTTAATGTCTTTATATTATAATTTAATTAATTCCTATTTTCAATGTGAGAACTATATTACAGTTATAATAAATTAAATTTTCATCGATAATAAATGTCAAATTAAATTAACTTTTTTGTTGTTGGTTAGTGTGTATGTGTATTGTGTACTGAATGTAAAATCTTAAGCAATATCTTTTTATATTTTGAAAAATGTTATTAAAATATAAAAAAATAGTTTACACAATTTTTTTCACAATGTTATTATTATTATTTGTTATTGTTATTATAGTAATGTAGTGAATGATTTCAATTCATAACTTGAAGGCTATGAGTGCTACAATCGATGTGATGTTTAGATTTTCAGTGATATACCAGTTGTATCACTAAAGATAATAATATAAACTTTTAAATAATAATTTTTAAATAATTTGCTTGATTGCTCTTCTAGTTATTTTTTAGCAAACATTTATTGTAATATTTTGTATTATGTTAACTATCTTTTTTTAAAAAAAATATGTCTACATTTTTTGAGATATCAATTAATAAATTACTAAAAATATATTTGAAAGCATTAAGTTTTTAAAATATTTAAAAAAAAATAGTTTAAACAATATTTTTGTGAATATATGTATCTTTTTAAATACTAAAATCATCTTATAAATATGTGAGCTAGAGTTAGATTTTTATTATTAAAAATTGTTAAATTTATTTTACTCGAACATTTATTAATATTTATGTTAATATTATTTATTTTTTATTATTTTATTTGCATATATATATATATTTCTAATTTTTAAATTTAATTTAATGTTATAAAATTTAAATTAATATATACAAAACTTAATATTATAATATAATATAATATACTGTTAAATTATGTATAATGAAAATAATAATTTCCCTACAATTAATTGATTTACCATGTGCGTATATGTCATTAAAATTTTTATATTGATTATTTCATTTTAAAAATATTCAACTATTAATTTACAATGAATAAAATATAATAAACTAATATCTGCAGTGTTATTGAATATGACTGAAAGTAATAATTACTTATTATTTTTATTATAACTATCACAATAATAACAATACTTATTATTAAAATAATAAACATAATTATAAAAATGCGATTTTATATTTGCATTTTCAAACAATTTCTAAAACGCTATATTAGTATCAAACTAATGGGTCGACGTAAACCGTACTTTATATTTATTATATTATTTGGATTTTATTTAATTTTTAATAATATTTCTAAATCATCATTGGATAATAGGTATGTATTTTAAAAAAAGCTATTTAAATTTATTTTAAAAATAATTTATATAATTAGAACTTACGATTTCCATATAAATAGTTTTGTATAAAATTATTTTTTATAAGTTTTTTTATAGTTTTATTAATATATTTATAATGTTTTTATATTGTACTTGTTTATAATAAAATGCTAATTAAATATTAATGATTAAAAAATTTGAATTTTTATTATCAAAATAGATCTTCAATAACTTCATCAACAGTCAAATCCAAAGTTTCAACAGATAATAGTGATTCATATAATTCATTGCCAATGAGTCCATCCATAACCACTATTTCCAGTCATTTAAACAATGATACTTTAAATTATATTATTAATACAGATTTATGTAAACTTATTGAGTGGCCACTGTTTGACGCCGAGACGCGGCCACTGTTTCGCAATCATAGCGGACGACGTGTTAAATGTCGATCATCTGATGTGCAGTTATTTCAAGTTAAACGGATCCACAAAACGATGGTCAGCATTGACTACTTGGCTACCGAAAAACCAAAGCCAGAGTGCTATATATTTGAATTGAAACGCAAGAGAGGAATGGACTCAAAAGTATTTTATGGATCAAAGATAGGTCCCATTAATAACTACTTCAATGTGACCACCGATACTGATGCCGTCCGTGTTGAGTGTTATCGGAAGACAACTAAAAAATTGTCGAAAAAAGCTCAGACAGAGATAGCCGTCAAATACAAAGTGTTTGACCAAATTGTACCATTGATTCCGGCCCGCAGTCTAAACACAAAAAACTCGGGAACAGTACGTCAAGACATACCTAATGTACTTATGTTGGGCATAGACTCGATCTCTTGGCTCAACTTTAAACGACATTTTAGTCTCACGAAAACGTTGGCCGAACGCTACGGGTTTTATCCAATATATGGCTATAATAAGATCGGTGACAATACTTTCCCAAATTTGATGGCTATATTAACCGGTAATTTCTATGATCACTATTGGAATGAATCCATGAGAGACACCAAATATTTTGATGACTTGCCATTCATATGGAAAGAGTTTGCCAAACAAAATCTGATGACCGCTTTCATTGAGGACTTACCGCGATATTCACTGTTTAACTTTAACCGCAAAGGTTTTATTGACGCGCCTACCGATTACTATCTGAGACCGATCTCATTGGCTATTAATCAACAGCTTAAGAGATACTGCTATAAAAATCAGATGGAGATTGAGGTAACCTTTTATTAGTAACTATTATTAAATAAAAGATTTATAATTATATGATTTGTTGTTAAATATGTCACAGTTTTACTATAATTATACCTACGATTTGATCAATGCTTTGACACAACGGCAACAAAATTATTTTGCTTTTATATTTATGGCACATCTGACTCATAATAACGCTAATTATGCCGGTTATGCTGATCTACCACTATATGCATTACTACATAAGCTATTTGATCAAAACCTAATGGAAAACACAATTTTGTTTTTGTTTTCCGATCACGGCATCAGATTTGGCAAAATAAGATCAACGGCATCGGGAATGCTAGAGGAAAGGTTACCGTTTCTCTACGTTTACATACCTGAGCACTACAAGACCACTAGTATTGATCACAATCTGGTGGTCAACTCACATCGACTCACTTCACCGTTTGATATTTATGCCACACTAATGCATATCACCAGAGGTATACCCAATTAATTTATTAAATTTATTACTAATTTTCTTAACTATTTCTGGTGTCAGGCAAACCTATACCCAATCTAAGTCACGGTCGTTCATTATTTGATGAGATCCCAATGAATAGGAGCTGTCAAAGTGAACAAATATCGGAACACTGGTGTACATGTACTCAACGTAACCAACTGTCCACTTATGGCAACATTACATATATCGGAAATTTTATTGTTAGCGAAGTAAACCGACTTTTGAAACCAGTGGCCAAACGGTGTCATAAATTGTGGTTAAATAAGATTCATTTGGCCTACGAGTCGCCAATAGCTGATAAAAAGCCATATGAGAGGCAGTACTTGCTAAGAGTCAGTGTTGAGCCCAGTTATGCTATATTTGAAGCCACTGTACGCAAAATGTTTGGCAAATTGCGAGTAATGGGTGATATATCCCGCATCAATAAGTATGGCACACAATCCCAGTGTATAGATAACTCGTATCTACAAAAATATTGTTTTTGTTAGACTCATAATTACTCTAACTATCAGCTTATCTGTGATATATTTATTACTTTATAACAAATTTTATTTACAGTATAGACTTTATAAAATATAGTAAACAATATTATGATTTGTACAATAATAATTATTGTAAAAACATTTATTTATTTTTTAAAAAAATTTATTAATTATATTTTAGTGCAATTAATGTATTTTAATTTAATTTAAATTTGATTTAATACGGAATTATTTTTATAAAAATATACACTATATTACAAAAGTTTATTATAAAAACATTTATATATCTATATTTTTATTTGTCATTTAGAAAGCATTAATATTCAATTTATATTATACAACATATTAAATAATTTATAAATAAAAATATACATTAAAAAGTGATTTATTAAGTAGTAAAATATTTATCCAAATTTGAGATATACTACAGAGAGTCTTAAACAGCGATGATAGCGGCGATGCTATTAATTTCAAATATCTGGTCAACAATGACTTGGATTTAAAATTACTATTTAGTAATTATTTTTAAAAAATTATAAATTACAGTAAAATTTTAATATAATTTTATCTTATAATTCACATTAACTCTTTTAATGGCTATTTAGTTAAGTTACTTAGAAATTGTAAAAATCAAAAAATGAAAATTTGTAATAATTAGTATGAAATAACTTTACAATATTAAATAAAAACTACCATTACTTAAAAAATGATAATATTGTAGTACATAATAATAATTAAATTTTAGAATATTATTTGAAAAAATATTTAATATTTTGAATCTTAATAATTGCAAATTTGATTTGAAAAATTCAGAGATTTAAAAAATTAAATAATTAATGAAAATAATTTGGAGATAAATGAATAAAAATAACAACAGAAAAATAAAATACTAAATAAAATACAAAATAAATATATCATTAAATTGAAAACAATTAGATTTTCTTTCTTTTTTTTGATCAATCAATTTTAAATTCAGTGACATTGCGAATAGGTTTGAATACACTGTCCTTATGTGTGTAAGCAATGTTACCTCCGACCCAATAGTTGTATACCATTATAACACATTTGGTCGTATAGTTTTGAATGACAGAACATCCCAATTCTGTAGATTGTTTCCAAACAACTTGAGTGAAATGGTTGACCAGTTTGTCTTTGAATTGTGGTAATGTTTTTTTCAGTTTCGTAGTCATAATACTCAATTTCCTTATACCAGAGCCAGACAGCTGTATAACAGTGAGCCTCTTTAGCCAGCCTTTCAGATGAATATATTATAGGAGAGCAGTAAAAAAAAAAAAAGATTATCTCCGGGTATGTTGTCGTGCCATTTCGGGTGCTTTAGTATATTACACACAATAGCTCTCAATTCAAGCGCCCGTTTCCACGAATAGTCAATAAACTGTAGACATATTGAAATTATAACAATTACTTAATAGATTCAAACATATGTATTGATATATTCTTTTTTAAAACCAATCGTTTCATACAAACTGAGAGAGTGTCATATTGGGAACGTTATGTAACGAACGATAGTGGTTATGTGCTTTCAAACATGACTGACTAAACTTAGTCATATTGTCGGGTGGGACCGGCAAATCTTTAAACTTTTCTATCAGGTTAGCAGTTGTCATACCGTACGGTATTTTTGTGATTCTCTTACCAGTCGTACCAGTGCTGGCACTACTGACAGTCACTTCAATGTTGTCATTCATACTGATTCTTATACCGTTACTAACTGTAGTATTATTGACATCAGTTGTGGTGCTGTTAGTCAATGAAGACTTATTAGAGTCGGGTCTCAACCAAACTATTTGCAAATTTGAAGTTTAATTGAATTTATAAAAAAATGGAAAATATTTATAAAATTTACTGAAATATACGCCCAATACTATAAGTCCACTGATGACCAGTACTGTCATAAATACAGTTACGGTTATGACTATTTTTCAGACCATAATGTTATTCAATGCAATTAACTTATTTTGTTAACTATAGCTGTCACTTGTTTGGTATATAAGTTTATGTTAGGTTAGGTTACGACAATAAATATTTACCGTAAAATATATAGAAATATTAATTTCAGCCAACAAGTGGCAGCTATAGTAAAGAATACCCCTATATTTATAATAATTGTTATGATATCGAGTTATTATACAATCGAAAAATAAAATATAAAATACAAATTTTTATAATAAAAAATATTTTTTGTAATTATTAAAATTATTATAAATTATATTTTTTAAATCATAAAATATTCATAACATTAAGAAACGTAAAGTAAAAATATTTATATACTATAAATACTTTGCGAAACTTTGTAAATATGAAAGCGTGTATTCAGTTAAGGTTTTTTAAAAATAAATATTTGTTATTAAAAATAAAAATGTTTGCAATAACAGGTTTGTTAGTAGTTAGTAGTCTTCCTCATTCATATCAAAACATATGATTCAAAAATACCGGTGCCTTAAAACCTGGAAAAAAGTAATTCATAATTATTGATGACTACATTCCATGTTTAAATTAATTCAATTTTATTATGAATAAGTTTTTTTTAAAAAAAAGTTTCCAAAATTTTTTTTTACAAATTAATTATATTTTTATTTATTTATTTACTAAAATAGAATAATAATCATTAAACATTATAATTAGTTATTATTATTTAAAATAATATATATATTAGTTTAGAATACATTATATTTAATGTTTTTATATCACTTATGAGTTATTATATGATTTACCGGTTTAATCAATCTTAAATATTGAAATACAAAAAAATAATGTTCAGTTATATTCATGCAATATTGTAAACATTAAGAAATATAAAATAAATTAATTTAATGAAAATAAATTTATTTTATAATTATTTTGAACTTTGCCAGACGTAACTCTTGTATAAAATAAATTGATCCATACTTTTAGGTGAGTGCGCAAACACCACATACATTCAAAGTGCATTCATACTCTCTCTCTCTCTCTCTCTCTCTCTCTCTCTCTCTGTACATTCAATTCATGTTTTCATTGTCAGGAATCAATGCAAGAATGAGGAGAGAGAGAGAGAGAGAGAGAGAGAGAGAGAGAGAGAGAGAGAGAGAGAGAGAGAGAGTCAGTTCATTGCTATTTTCTAAGCCATAATAAAAAATAAAAAACATCTCATTTCATGAATTTTTTAGTCATCATACTCTTTATTATAGTTTTTTGATGAACAATATATTTATTCAGTTTACATAAAATAGATTTTTGAAAAATATATTTAATATCATATTTATAATGTCTGTGTGTATAAGGGCTGTGATATTATTAATATTAAATTATATATTATTATTATGATATGATTGGTAACCTGTTTTTTAAAGTATACAATAATATAATACTAATTCATAAGCCTTTTACTTCTAATTTGGGCCCCACTTGTAATCGTTTTATATTATACTGTATAGCAGTCATCATAATTATTAAGACTGTTGTGACTAACTGTTGTGTAATACATATTATAAGACTCTCTTTAAATTTCTCTCTCACTTGATATTCACTGATGGCTATCATATGATTTTTTGTGTATTTGAACTGTAGTTATGCGCTGAATAATAATAATAATAAAACTGAAGATGAAGTCATAATTAGTGTCTTATTTCTAGACCAGTCATTTCACATGAATATATAAATATAAATTTATATATAACTTGTATATCGATATATAAACTATAATGTCGTGTAATATGCTTTTTAAAAATATAACTATATTTCATATATACTGAGCATTCATTATATAAATATATATATACCTTGATATTGAAGAAACTAAATTTTCAAATGTCAGATACAATTATGTTATAATAATATAATAATTTTATTGTTGCTATTTGAAAATTGTTTTTATTTTTATATAATAAGTTGAATGTCAATTCATGCAATATTTTATATTTATTAACTAATAATATTGATATTAATAATTAAAGTTATGTTTAATGTGCGTTCACTATATTAAACATTAATTAAATGTAATTATAATTCAGATTATTTGAAATAACATTTTTAAAATATTAATACTATTGAAAATGTTTTAATATTTTATATAAATTATTAATAATTTTTTGTTATATAAATTTATTGACTGTATATGAATGACAACTATGTTTTCAAATTCTAATAATGTTTTGCCGTTTAATATTCACAAATTGTAAATATTATACCGGTATAAAATTTTTTATATAATTAAGAAAATTACTAAATATTTATGAAATTATATTTGTTGTGATAAATTAAATTAAAAACAAATGGCTTTATTAAGAGAAATATTATCTCATAAAAATCGTTTTCTAAAAACTTCAATATTATATTTTTCTTTCATTGTTTTGGTAAGTTATATAACTATATATATTATAATAAATTGTATGATAATTTTTATAACAAAATATTAACTTTAATATTACTTATATACTATGTTAATATAATAGTACTATATTGTACTATATCTTACAAATAAACATCTTTTTCCAAAACAATACATTAATCAATTAAATTGTTTTCTAACATATGATTCAGTTTACATACTAGTATTCATTGTGTTTATTTATAGAAACAATATTATAGATAATGCATTGTGTAATTTGTAGTTATTTTATAAATAATATTATTATATAACTTGTTATATTGTCTGTGAATAACATTAAATATATATTTTTAATTTTAAATATTAAGTATAAAAAAATTTTAATTGCATATTTTATTATTGGCTATAAAATTTATAAAGTATTTTTTATTATAGTTAGTATATATACAATAATTTTTTCATAAACTTAGATTGTTAATTTATATTTTATAGGATTAAATTTTATTAAAATTATTATTTATTAAATTAATTATTTCTTAGTTAAATTATTAAAACAATAAATATATTAAATTTGATATCTATATCATATTCATTGTAGGGCTCATCCATTGCGGTGATCGGACCAACACTTTTGGACATTCGGCAGTCAATCGGTGCAAATCAGGCACAGATTAACATTATATTTCCGGTCGGTTCGATGGGCTATTTGTTGGGTTCAATATTGGGAGGAGTTATCTATGAGCACTTTGACAGTCAACTATCCATTGCAATGTTGGTGTCGCTGATGACTGTCTGTGAACTATGGTTTCCGTGGAATAGGTCTGTGATTGGACTGTCAGTCACGCAATTTATTATGGGTTTGGGAGGCGGAGGACTCGACACGGCTGGCAACGTATGGCTATTGCATATGTGGGGCAAAAGAAGTGCACCATTTATGCAGGCGTTGCACTTTACCTTTGGTTTGGGAGCATTCATTGCGCCCCTCATTGCAGAACCATTCCTCTCTACCAAACATAACGGTACTGACATTGCCGAAAACGCTGAGATAGTGGTCAATACTGGTGATGTCAGTGATCGGGATCTGATGGTATGGTATCCCTATACTATAATTGCCGCTTTAGGACTCGTCACTGTCATACTACTGGTTATTATGTATTTCAATAAAAGCACAGATAAACCACATCCGAGTATACAAAACAATGAGTCTCTAATAAACATGACTTTACGCCAGAAAGTAGTCATACTATTCATTGCTTCGGTAATATTTCATTCCTATTGTGGACTCGAGATAGCGTTCGGCCGATTCATGACTACATTCGCCTTCTATTGTGATCTAAATCTTAACAAATCAATCGGCGCTTACATGACATCTGTTTTCTGGGGAACGTTCACTTTGGTCCGGGCGCTCACTATATTTATTGTTGATTCTGTCGGTACGACATTTATGTTATGGGCGGACATAATCATTGTCCTCATCGGCAACATTGTGCTCATTATGTTTGGTAAAACAAACGATCGATTTTCAAAATATTATACAAATAATTAATAAAATATTATTTTTTATTAATTAATAGGCAATACCTCAGAATTGGGTTTATGGGTGGGCGTATCGTTGATGGGCATCGGTACGTCATCAATATTCCCGACACTTTTATCATTTATAGAGGAACTCCTACCGGTGACCAGTCGTATCGGATCTCTATTTCTGGTGGTCGCCTGTTTGGGCGAATTTACCATACCTTTCATTGTTGGCTATTATATTGAGTCATATCCATTGGTACTCATGTATGTCACAACAGTGGCCAGTGTTATATGTTTTGTATTTTTTGCAATACTATGTTTTGTGGCCAAATTAACTAAAGATGTTTACCGACAACAACGGGAACTCCAGGAAAAGGCAGACTTCAATAATCTCAAGGCTGTTATGAGTTAAGGATAAGACAGTAGAAAACAAGTATTGAAATAAAGAAACAAATTTTAAATAACACTTTTATAATATGAATATTTATAATTTAATTTATTAAAAATTAATTTTATATCACTTATTATAGAATTATTAATAAACATAGAAAGTGTTAATGTTTTTACGAAAATGAATATAAATTTATGATAATTAGGAGAAATGTTTCTCAATTTTTACTCTTAATATTAATATTTAATATTGTTTATAATTCATATAATGGTTCATCAAATATAAGATTTGTAATATATGTATAATTTATTTATTTCTATGATATAAAAAATGAAATTTTTGTCATCACACAAATTGTGATAAATTAATTGTTATTTATAATTGTTTTATTAAATACATGTAATGATACTAATAATAAAAAGTAATATATTATATTTGTCATTATAAAAATTAATTTATATTTTAATGATTTTTGTTGTTAGAGATTAAATAACATTTCATATTATGAATAAAGACATTTCAAATAAAATTATTAAAATAAGATTTAAGAAAATTACTTAAGAAATAACATTAATTAAAAATGTTTAAGAAATATTTTTATCTATTCATACAAAATATATTTTAATATATATTAATAGTAATGATAAAAATAACTTTCCTGTAACATGAATTGCAACATCTATTGTGCAATATATTGAAAACATGTAATTTATAATTTTTGTTAGATATTTAACCAAATTACATAAACTATTTATTTTAATTAAGTTTCAATTGATATCAATAAAAATGAGGTTAAATCTATGATATATTATAGCTTATAGCTTACATCTGTATAAACTTTGAATAGCCAAAAATTGCAATATTAATATTTGTAGAGTAAATTGAAATTAATTTTTTAAAAATTATAGATATTTTGCTTAAATTCTCTTTTACTAAAAATCTACATTTAAAAAAATAACTTTTAGCTTAATATATTGTATTATCAATATTAATGTTATTACAAATTAAAATTTATTATATATTTAATATAATAGAAATTTTTGTTATTAATATATACACAAATATTACTAATGATTAGTCATTATTTAGTTTAGTTAGTTACTAAATAAACTTTAATATATTTAAGCTAAGATTGTTTTGAAAACAACTGTGACATTGATACTAAAATATCATAAATTATTATTATTTAATTTAACTAAATCTTAGTAAACCATAATATATTTAATAAAGTTATTTTGAAATAATATAAGAATATTATTTTTATTGATAATTGAAGAATTACTTTTGTTTATTAATTTTTTTGACAATAATAAAAATAATAAAATTTTCAATTAATTTGAAATTTTAATATAAATTTCAAATTGAACGCATAATCTATTAATTATCAAATAATAATAGACTATATATACTAATTAATAACTATATTAAACTATAAATAGAGCAAAAATATAATATCAATAAATATTAATTAAACCATTAGAATATTACTATAATTAAAATCAATTTTTATAGTAATGTTACTATTAGTAGATAGCGACACTAATATTATTGTTTTATATATTTTTTGAATATTACCGGTAATATAAATTTATTTATTATACATTACTTATTATACTTAGTAAATTATATATTTGAATATATATTCATATACAGAACATATTTATAGAAATACTTTATTTGGTTATTTAAAATAATAAAATTATTAATTAAGAGACAAATATTTTAGTAAATAATGTATGAAAACATTATATATTATATTAATTTTATTTCAATTCTAATGAAAAAATGTTTTCAAATATTCATATAATGCAATAATATGTGAATATAATGATTAATGCAATAATTATAATGTAATCGTTATACAAATAATACATTTAATATTTGAGAAATACCTGTTTAATATGATTTATAAATCTTATCTCAAAATACTGTTTCTTATAATTATTTTATCTAATTTTTCTGTTACTATAGTTGTCACAAATGACTAAACACTAAATAAAAAGGTAATTAAATTATTAAAAAATCGTTAAATAACATTATTTTTAAATATTTTATAATTTTTTAAAGAAAACCTTAAAACTTATTTTTTAGATCATGTTATACTATAAAATAAGATTGTGTCCAATTTATACCCCATTATAAAGCCTATAATAAAATTTAAAAATATAATACTTATGTATTAAGTTAAGTGCAAAAAAATGTTTAAAACAAAAAAAAAGTTTTGCTAAAATGACGATATGTTGACTATAAAAAATTATTTTAAAATCAATAATTAAGTGCTTTTTTTGTCAAGTATTTAATGTATAGTAAAAGTATAAAGAGCTAAAAATAAGTCATGTCAAACAAAAATAAAATTTTAATTTAGATAATTATTTTAAAATTTAATTTGAGTAACTTTTTAAATAACTATTTGATAGTTTAAAAACTTATAAATAATAAACTATTTAATTTTTGTTTACAAATGATTAAATAACTATATACCGTAATATACTTTATATAATATAACTATCGGTAATAAATATAATATACTACTCTATGATATTAATTTTTTTAGAATTTGTAATTTGCTACCAATTTTTCTCAATTAAAACATTATATTAATACTTAACCTATTATAATGTAAAAATACAAATATTAATATAAAATTAAAACACAAAAATAAAAAATATTTCAAATAGTCATAATAATTAAATCAGTAATAATTTTTTGTTAACTTAAATTTCATACTTTGATAATAATAATATTTTATTGATAACGTGAAGTAAAACTTAATAAAATTAAAATGATTGATAAGTGTTAGCAATATTTTGTTTTTTAGTAGATATTTTAACAACTTTTATATTGTATTATACAGTATATATTGTATATATAAAATATAATAAACATTGGATAAATAGTTACAATACATATATTCTTATAATGGAAAAGATCACAAATCGTGATCTTTATTTCACTGACTTTATTGAAATCTTAGGAACGGTTTGTTTGACACCAGAGCTCATGACAAGACTGTCCGAACACTCGTACTTTGAACACGAAATGAGAACAGTTGTCCAAAGATTATCAACTGATGGCGAAAAACTGTTGTTTATGATGACATCGTTTACCAGATCCCGGAGCACTTGCGATGAATTCATCAGATTGTTGCGCGAAACCGATCACACGGACAGTCAATCTAACAAACATGTCGCCGATCGGCTACAGGAATATAACACATCCAAAGGGAACTGGGAGTTTCGTATGACACCCAATCTAAAGTCGTAACAAACAATTAATACTATAATTTTAATTATATTTATATATTTTTAATTAAAAAAAAACAGTGTCACCAAATCTAAAGCTCCGTTAAAGGGAACGTTGTTTTATTCGATGACTAAAACCCCGCGCGGAAAGTGTGTTATTGTAAATAACGTACCAAAAGAGGTGCACATAGAGTCTGATAGGTTTAAAGATATATTTCAAAAACTACACTTTGATGTCCATGACTGGTATGACCTGACTGTAGATAAGATCGTCAGTAATCTACAAGAATTAAAATCCGAAATAACCAGCGATGACGACGCCTTTGTGCTTATGATTATCAGTCACGGATCAGAAGAGTCAGTACTCGGTAAAGACGGCTGTGAAGGGCTGATCACATTGGATGTCGATCCCAGTAATAGTGTATCTAAACGGCAGATCAAAGAGGATGTTATTGAAATTAAAAAGATTGTCGACATATTTTCAGATAGCAATTGTCCGCAACTTATGCTAAGACCTAAACTGTTTTTCTTTACCTGTTGTCGAAACAGTGAGCAAATCAATTAAAAAATAAAAACCTTTTATTTACTTAACTCTTCATCAAACAACAGATCCTGTCGAAGAGCTAACAGGTCCTCAACAGCAACAACAACATGAAAAAAGTCAATCAACTTTGGCCACAGTTTTTACGGAAATGCCTAAAGAGGGAAACTTAAAGACAATGGACAAGTGCTGGTCTGATGCCAACCGCGATATATTTATATGCTATTCATGTGCTGAAGGTTTGCTTAAATTAATTATAATATTATAAATTAATAGATAATACTAATTATTTTTATAGGATCTAAGTCTTACTTTGATATTTTCAATGGTATCACCCATTTTGGACAGGCGTTCAGCCATTGTTTGGCACAGTATGCTTGCGAGGAAACATTGAACTCTATAATGAGTCGGGTATTTGACACAATCGATAACAAATTAATTATAATAAAAATCTTTTAATTAATCATTTTGTAATTAATACTAATGCTATGCTATCCTTGAATCAAATCCATTAACATATAGACCTGTAATTTGATGCACCAGTATTTTGAACAAACCGGAGATTATGCGCCAGAATTTAGAGGTAAAGGATTGAGACGGGAACTGGCGTTTAATCCATAATTAACTTAAATATCCATTTTATAAATAAAATCAATAAATATTGACCTAAAAGTTGTTAAATGAATTTTTAACATAACTATAATAATATATTGAGTAAAATATATTCATTTTCTTGTTATTTAAGTTATATAAATTTATTATAAATATAATATTTTAAGAAATAGTTTTTCAATTATAATTATTATTGCAGAAATTATTGCAATTTTATTGAAGAATAAATTTATAATTTCAAACTATATTCTGTAAAAATTTGGTTGTAATTTAAAAAAAGTATTAGTTTATTGAATTTTATGAGAAAATATATATTATTTAAATATCTATTATTTTAAATCAAAAAATATATTTTTACTTTAATTCAAATTTTAACATTTTTATAGTTTCCTTTATATACCATATACTGTACATGTAATATACAGGTATTAAAAATAATAAAACATTATAAAAAAAATCAATAAATCGTTTTTAAAAATTAACTTCACTTTATATTTCTATATTTTTTATTCAAGTGTTCTTTAATAATAATAATAAAAATTTTTAAAGTTTGTCACGACTTTTTCATATTTAAGTGTAAATAATGAAACTTATTTTGAAAGTGTTTTTCTATTAAACAAATTGATGTCTACAGTATTGTAGATCATCAGGTCTACAGTAGTGTTAGTTTTAAATAAATTGTTTTTAATATTATAGAAATAGTTAGTAAGAAACTAATGTAATCATTTGACTGAAAACTTTTTTATATTATATTTATTTAACACAATAATTGAAAATAATAATATATCTAGTATATTTATATTACTTTTATATTATAAATGTTAATAATAATAAAATACTAATAATTTTTATTAAGTGCTGTATAATATATTATAGATTTTAAGTATATACAATTTACTAATGGAGAATTCACCATTATCTTTTTTGTTAGAAAAATTATTTTTCGATAACGAAAATTATAAAAAATAATTGTTACCTAAAATTTATAAATTAATTAATTTACAAATAACTTAAAAATAAATACTTACCAATTATGCTTTTGGCAATAAAACTGTTTGTCAACTTTAAAAAGTTAATATAAATTTAAATATTTATTTTATAAAATTAATGTAGAATAACTAATTTATAATATATATTTAAGACAAATTTTTAAAAACTTAGTTATATTTTAAAGTTAGAATCTACAAAACATGATTTTAAATTTAATTAAACTAAAAATATGATTTTTTTGTATTATCTAAACAAATTCAAATTTTGTGACTTAAGATTGTTTCATAATTTATAATACAAAAATTATGTAAATGATTAAAAAACAAATTTATATATATATATATATATATATATATTTATTTATTTAAATTAATGGTGTTTTCTATTTTATTTTAAAATTCCATGAGTTAAGTGAAAATTCAAAATTACTATAATATCAATATTTTATAATAAGTACGTTAATAAATAAAGATATATTTATATCAATAATTTTTATGATGTTTTAGAAAAATATTTATTTACCAAACATTACTTTTAATACAGTACTAAATATTATGAATTCAAATCAATTGAAGATAATCTAATAAAATTTTATTAAAAGTACAATAATAATACATTAGATTATACAATAATTTTGATTGTTATTTAATTTAATAAAAACTGTCTTTAGATATAAATATTTATCTAATAATAACAATTTCATTTAATATACTTTTTCTAAATAAATAATTATAAATTAAAATTTAATATTTAATATAATGTTAGTATTAAATTATGGAATTATTAAATATATGATTTTTATTGTTTAAAGTATAATATAATTTTATACAAACAATAATGTATTTAAAAAACAATTATAGCTAATTATTCAATTAATTTTTATTAATTAAATATACTGTTATGAATATTATAAATTTATTATTTATATTTAAAATATGTATTTATCAACAAAATATGTAAGTTTATAATTATAAATTATTATTTAAAACAAACAAATTTTTAGATATATTAATATAAATAATTTGAAATAGCATTTGTTTCTCTATTTATAAACACATATATAATGAAAACATTAATATTTTTTAATTTTAAATAATTACTTACTTATAAATAGAAACCAATGAAAATAAATTTATAAATCACAATATTTATATTTAATAGACATTGAATTTATTTAATAATTATTTATTAATATTAATACTGATTTTTAAAAAAATATACAATAAAATATATAAATATAAATTAATTTGAACCGATCAACAAATTAGCTATATTCATGATATTATAATATCCAAATAATTTTTATCATTTTATGAATGATACTAAAAATTTTCTTTTAATTAAATATTTAACATATAATATATTTTTTAGTATTTTTAATAGACTTATATTAAACTATATTATAATTATAATAGACTTATATTATAAAATTCATTAAATTGTTATTCATAGATTTGGAAAACAAAAATATAATTTATTTTATAAGTAAATCCTTTCCATTTTTATACCTGTAGTGTTGTTGAGCACATGTATCAATTAATAGCCTATTGTTTACTCCCTTTTTGTTTTGACACTTTATCGATGAGACTTTGATTGATGACTATAATTAGTTGTGGATATAAATAATATAATGGCATTTAAGTATAATCCATGAATACTAAGTATAATGTATTTGAGTTTAATTAGCAATAAAGCCAATCTTATATTACGTAATAAAGTGAAAGTGAAATTACATTGTATCACAAATTGGATAACATTTGACTTTTAGTTTAGCGATTAATTTCATTATTCTTTAGTACAAAAAGTAAACATCACTTTTATGTGATGTATTAATAGTAGTAGTAGTAGTAGTAGTAGTAGTAGTAGTAGTAGTAGTTCATCATAATATAATAGAAACATACAATACATACATATTACATACAGTATGATACTATACATTAGTTTCATCGAAACATGTTTTTATCACAAAATATAGCACAAAGATTTTTGTTGATACTATAAAACATAAGTTAGAAGTAAATTAAATTTGTTTAAAGTAGTTAATGAAAACAAAATAATTAACAAATAATTATTGAAAACATTTTTATCAAATTATAGACTCTTCGATCATGAGTTGAGAAACTTTGTTATTGTTGACAATCATAGAGTTGTTATCATTGATAACCATAGCGTCCGACTGTTTAAGTACACCGTTAGTTGTGATCAATCGGAGGGCATTAGTGCGCTGAAGGTTTGGTTTATTAGCCCTTTGGCTGGAACTGGACGATGAAACCTCTATGAATGACCCGTTCCAACACCACATACCTGTGCAACGGACAATATTTTTGATCTCTTGACGAAAGTGTTTGTTAAGGCAAAAGTAGATCCACGGGTTGTAACAAACCTTAATATATTAAATAGAAAATTAACTAAAATTTGATAATGATTTGTAAAAGTTATAAATATTATTTATTTATTTTTGCAATTAATTTTATAATTTATTATATTATATTTGTTAAGTATTGAGATCTATATATTATGTAAAATACTTCACTTTATTAATGATATTACTTTATATTTTAAAATGTTTAGAAACTCTATATTTTGTTTACCTGTATTTAAATATAAAGAATGAAAATTATTTTAAAAAATAGATTTCTTATTTATTTAGTAAAATATCTTATTTCACGATTTAAATAATCTTATTAGATAAAAAAATTCAATTTATTTTTTTTATTGTATTGATATATTTTATTGGGTATTTAATATATACTGTATATATTTATATATAAACAAATATTTTAAAATATAATCTATATTTCTAACTTAAATTATTGCAGTAACTTTCAATTTTAAATATTTTATATTAAGACTAGGGTTGAAAAATACTTTGAACTATAATACAGTATAATACAATGTATTGCATGTATTATACATTTTTAAAAACTAATATCTATTATGTTAAAAGAATTAATATAACTCTTTAATGACAATATAATTGTTAGAAAAATCATTATTTTTTATATTAATACTTGTTTTCTAAGAATAAAAATCTAATAAATAAAGATATACCGTTTTTAACCACATAACTTGCCATATCAATTTTAAAAATTAATTAAGTGTCATAAAGGTATGGAACTAATTACCACTAAACCTGCCATACAGTGGCAGATAATGCGATAACTAAAATAACCGAATGGCAGTAAATGTGATAACTGGTATCTACACTACTATAAGTGTTTTAAATATCTAAATTTAGTTATAATTAATTAAATATATGATCAATCAATAAATAAATAAATAATTTAATATTCTAGGATCGATCTATAATTAATAAATGATCGATCAATACTATAAAATTAATAATCAAATATATAATAAATTTAATTCGCATTAATAATGCATAAATAATCGCATTAAATAATGATAAAAAATTATGAGTGGCATGAATTTGACACATAATAAAAACTTATAACATGGCTGGGATTTTGTGCCCCTAAATCTAGCAAATTCCAGGGGAACCAATTACCACGAAACCTGCCACTTATCGCATTACCTTCCATGCCAAATTATGTGCGCAACAACGGTAAATAAAATAAAAAATTAATATCATATTTAAATTTATCATAAAACATAATTATTTTGCTTATATCAGTGGTTTTGATACTAGGTAGCTAACTTTTGTTATCTATGGCAATATTGGTCATGTATTATACTGTATAATAAGTTTTGTATTTTACAAACATTATGTCTCTGCCAACACTAATTAACATACAGTTTCATATCTTTTATTTACTGTATAAGTTATATACAGGTCCATAAATATTAATATAAATTTTATTATGAAATAATATGCATAGACAATAATTTCTGATAAATATTATATTTTAGTAATATAAATATTTAGATTTATAACATTCAAATTAAATGCTTTTATATATAAATTCAAAATTGAAGAAACATTTTGTTAATACATACGGAACTCATTGCAAACCAATGGCAAACAAGAAACCAATTAATATCTGTAACATTAGTATTGATAAAATCAGAGTATATGTGATGTATATTCAATGGGAGCCAACAAATGGCAAATACGAGTACAACGATGGCCAACATTTTGATTGTTCGCCGACGGGAGCGTTCGCGGGTTTTTTGTTGGTCAGTATCGGTCGACAAAAGTTTGAACCAAATGTTAAATGAGATTATAATGTATGCAAAAGCCGTTATAGACAACGGCACCACATATTGAGTGAGAAATGTAAACATTGTGATGACTTGTCGGTAGAAAGTCCTATGATTTGGAAACACTGCCCGACACCGATACAGCTCCCGATGAACTTTCATTACTACCACTTCATTGAATGCTACGTTTGGTATCGAAAATATTAGAGCCGTTAACCAAATGATTGCTATAATAACAATGATTGGCACAGAAGTAGACAGTCGTCGGTGTAATGGATTAATTATGGCCTGATATCTGTCTATTGCTATTACTGTCATCGAAAATGTTGAAACATATCTGAAAAATATAATTAATAATAGATATTATCATTATTTATTATATCATCAATTTATTATTAATCAATATTTAACAAAAGTAATTTAAAATGACTTTTTTACAAATATAATAATTTTATATTCAAATAAAATATATATAATATTCCTATCAGGTATATAAATATGTATGACTTTTATTGTAATAATGACTATTTTTTAAAAAATAAAATACTTTATTACATAATATACACAATGTTAAACAATATACATTATATGATAAAAATAATAATAGACATAATTTAATAACTTTAGACATGATATTTAGCAATCAATTTATTTAAATAGTTTTATTTATTCAATAGATTATAATCGTAAGCATATTTTAATGATAATTTTTTTATTGATTATTGCGTTTACTTATATGAATTATATCATAGAATATTACATTTGTATGATAAATGTCTTGAAAATAATTTATGGGATAATATTATTATTCTGATTGTAAACAATGTTATAATTGATAGTAAATGTTAGATGAAAATCCGTTAGAAAAATAATAATTATACGATATATAAATAACTATAAATTATAATTTAATAAAAAACTATACATTACTGAAATATTTATCAAAATAACATTAAATTTAAGTATAATTAATTGTTTGACAATTATTTCAATTTATTATATGTCTAAATATTTTTTGATATTTCTAATCAATTTTTAATCACTTTTACTAATATTAAATAAAATAGATTTTTTTTCGTTGCTAATGTAAATATGATTTAGGAGTTTATTGAAAATTGTAAAATAAATCTATTTGTATTTGTTATAAATTTTACAACAGTATAAACATAAATTTTATTATACAATATATCCTACAATAAACATTTATACAATAATATAAAAATACAACTAAAATAAAATGTAGTTTTTCAGAATAAAATAACTATTCATCAAAATCAATATAAAACAATACATTTTAAACAACATTAAGTATATTTCTTAAACATTTAAATAACATTTTGTTACTAATATAGTATCATATTATTAATATATTGTATCTTTATTATATTTATTTTAAAAATGTACAATATATATTTGCTAAAGTATATAAAAGTATTTTATATAAATGCTGTATAAAACTATAATAAATTATATTTGTTTTAGTATATAAAATGTAAATTTATATTAATATAAATCAAAGCTATAAATATATAATATATGATATATTAATAAAAATACAAATATTTTGTTTATATTTTACTACAACATTTCAATAAAACTAATGAACATAATTGAAATATTTGTTTATATTTTATTATTTAATTCAAAAATAAATTTTGTAATTTTAGTAATAAATAATTCAAATAAAACATTAAAATATAAAATAATTTAATATAGCTTTAATTGAATGATATTAATATTTTGAAACCAATGTAATACTAAATTATTAAAAAATGTTTGTATAAAAAACAGTATATATTTTTATTATAAATACTATAATTTAATTAATAACATTGTTTGTATTAATAGTTCAAATTTTTAAATGGCAAGCAATGGATATCTACAGTAGTGTTCAAAATGTTTTATACAAATATTATTTCAAAAGCCTAATTAAGTTTTATTAGTTGTAATGATTGCTTATAAAAAATATTTTATTATTGCATATAATAAACATTAGAAAAATAAAATAAAATAATCTAATTTTTTAATCTAATAGTATTTAAACGTTTAAATCATTAATTTCATGACATTGTAATGACATTGAGATAAATATTTATTGTCTACAGTCAGACCATACGTCCGTTTATTAAGTGATAAAAGTAATATCCGTGTGGACCACAAATGAAACAATCAATTGATTTATTTAGTTTATATTGTCATCAAATGTACTTAAATAATACAGTAATTATTAACTGAATTAATGATAGTCATGTAAAGTAGGAGTGTAAACATTTAGACCATTTTGTATTCCCGGGAATCCCTTAGATGACCTCCAGGGATACTGGGATGAGACAGGATAGGGATCACGTTATAACATCAATGCCTAATAGGGATTCCCTATAATCCCTGTAATACATATGTAAACGTTAAACAGTTAAACATATGACTTTTAATGATATATAAAGTATAGTACTGTTTAGTACACAGTATTACTGTATTATTATTATATTAATTTATTATTTAGAAATGTGTCAAAATTTATTCTAACAAAAACATAAATCTACTTCATATACAAATCGACTTAATAGTTGTTTTTTGATGTTTACTGTAATATCATGGGATTGTTGTTATGTTAGTGACAGCACTACTAATGTATAAATAAATATCATAATATTCTTATATAAATATATTGTATATACAGTAAGATAATATCATTTTAAATAAAATATAAATTTATATAATAATACAGAAAATAAAGTAAATTTGTTTCAAAAATATCATAATTAATAGATCCATATTATAAATAATTTTTAAAATAACTGAATTTAAATGTTTTAAAACATATTTATATTTAATAAATATTATTTGTGTTTAATTTAGTTAAGTCATGGTTTAACTAAAAATTGTGTTTAATTTTTTTTTGTTGATAAAAACATTTATAATTTTATTTGAGAAAAAAATGTGTACTAAATGTCTTATAACTGTATACAGCTTTAGAAATCAAATACCAATAAAAGCAAATATAAAATGCTTGTAAACAAAGTAAAGACAGTTTTATATTAAAAGATTTGTTGCTTTTATAACATATTAGTAAAAGATATATTAGTTAACAACTTGTGACAAAAAGAAAGATTATATAAAAACTGCAAATTAAATAAATAAAATCAATTGTCATTGAAATTGTAATGAGTAAAACATTTGTTGTAAAGATATATCCAATATAAATATAATATAATGCAATTCAAAATGCAATAACAATTTTATTATAAAAATTTGGTTTTGAAGTTAACAAAATAAAATTGATTTTAATTTCTAAGCAAATCTTAACAGTAAATATACGGTTTAATAAAAAATATGTTTGGGTCTAGGTTTTTAAAAATTCAGTAGCAATTATATATTAATTTAATTAAATATTTACATCTACTTAATACTTGTTATTTTCAATATATTTATAATATAAAAAATATTATTTTCTAACCTTAATTAATGAAATGAAAGTTCGTTCCTAAATTTTCTGTTTCATATTTTATTATATTATTTAATGCTTTAAATACCAAATTCATTAAATCCACAATTTAGTTATAAAGTAATTTATATATTAAATCAAAATTTTTTTTCATTACTCAACATCTCATTTGTTTTTTTCTTGCTATTAGTCATTATTTATTTATTAATTAGAGTCACTAACGGAATAATAAAAATGTATTTATGGTAAATATAAAGTACTTATATATATATATATATACTGTATATATTTAATGTGATACTACAAATTAATTTATATAAGATAGTACACTCATTAAATCAATTTAATTTTTTGAAATGGATTAACAAAATTGAATACTACTGTACACTACTTTAGTTGAATTTAAAATAGCTTTTTTCATCGTTGAATGACTGAGTTATACTTGCAGTCAGCAAATTAGGTCAACATTATTCAAATATATATATATTTTGCATTAAGTCATTAGAAACATTTGATGGATTCGTAAGTAATGCATAAAATCTTATAGACATAAAATAAACTCATTTAATATTTTTGTATTATAATAAAAAAAATATTTGTTGTTATTTTTCTAATATTTTTTAAGAATTTGTTTGTACATTAATATCATTTTATTTATAACAACATTTATGGGCAAAATTGTATGCAGAGAAACGTTTGAATCGTATATAACGTCTAATAATGTCTAAAATGTTAAGAATGTRTGTGTATTAACTCGTATTACACAATTAAGTACAAAATAATAAAATAAAATAAATGATAGACTACTACACAAAAAATAATTTTGGTGTTCATGTAATTTAATGTATTATTATTTGTAGACTTCTTTATCTTTTTTTTAACTTAAAAATTCATTTAATTCTTACTTTTAAAACATTAAAGATTGTATTATATATATCATTAAATGTTTTAAGTGATAAATAAGAAAATTGTTTTATTTTGTCTCAATTTAAATGTTCTTTTAAAAACTTTCTAGAAATTTTTATATTATTTTGTAAACTTCTCTTTTTTGCCAACACTATAACACTCCCACTCTATACTTAATTAATTTAATGATAATGTATTTCACTTCAATAAAATGTCATTTTTTATTTAATATAAAAATGATTAACTTTATTTTTAATAAACTCATACTTGTTAAAAGCAATTTGCTATAATAGTAGTGTTAACATGAAAAACGTTTATTAAATTAATTTGTTGATTAGTTTTTTTTAAATAACAAAATTCATAACAAAACATTTAGACATAAAGAGAGTAATAAAAAGAGAAAATAAGTGAATGAAAGAAAGAGAAAAATTTATTATTATTATATCTTATATTATGTTTTATGTGTGAAATGTTTTCAAATATTCAGTTATTTATTTAACATAAAGTAAAGTATGCTTTTTGTAATACCAATATATCATATGAAATAAATTTTAATATATACAGTTGTATACTCTAGTAATATACAGTAGAAATTGTATATATAAAGCATAAGAGCTTTAATATCTATCGATTCATAATATTATTTATATTTAAACCTTTCTGCACTTATTTGAGTGATTTCATCGATCCGGTCATCAATTCTAGGTTTTCGTAAATCTAAGTATTATTAAGAGAAACTCAACTTTCAATTATGTTTTAACTCTCTCTCTCTCTCTCTCTCTCTCTCACACACACACACACACACACACACACATTAAAACTCACTCACAATAAATATAATATTGAAAAATTGAAAAATAAAGAGAATATAATTTTGTTGAATAACCATAAAACCAGTCATAAAGTAATATAAATATTATTCTGCATTAAACATATTAATTGTGTTTTTGAAATTCCAATATTCTTATACATCTAACATAACTATCGGATAAAATTATAGTTAGTAATAATTTTTATAATATTATAACTATATTATATTTAATGAAAAATAAACAAAATATCAAATATCATATAATTTTTAGAGCAAATAAAAACTTTTAATTTTATTGTAACAACAAATATTTATTTTAAATATTAAAAAAGTTCATCCAATTGTATTTAATTTTAATATCTTGTAATACAAATATTCCTATTAGGCGTGGTTCACATATTATGTTCGCACTTGAGGGTAGGGGGGTTAGCCAAAGTGAACTTTTGCGAACGATGGGGGGAGGGGTAGAGACAATAAGAACGTTCGCATTTAGATATTTTATTTCTTGTGGGTGAGGGGGTAGCGCTTAGGGACATGCGAACGTAATTTTTTTAATGATTACATGCRAACAATTGCGAACATAGGGGAGGGAGGGGGTCTAGATTTCTTAAAAAGTGCGAACGTAATATATGAACCACGCCTTAGTTGTTTAATGCTTAAGTTAACATTAGATCATAAGATAATTTACTGTAAATGCATCAAAGTTTTCAAACAAAAGTTTCAGTTATTTGTTGTTTATGTTTGCATTTTTTCTTTATTTAATTATTTATTATTACAATTTATGTTTTATTATAATAAACAAACATTCTTTAGTCACAACTAAAATCAAAGTTAACTCAATTTTTATTATTATTATTCACTAATATTGTCATAGCATTGGTCATCATAAATAAGAAAGCGATAACCATTTTTGAGATAATAAAATATCAATTAATGTTTAAAAAGTTGTATTTCATTATAATTAAAAATTTTGTGAAATTCCCATATCTATAGCTATTGTAATATTTCATTGATAATACATAAATCACATCACTATATAATATGTTATACTATACTACTATATTAATGGGATTTTTATTTGTAAAATTAATATAGTTATCTAATTATAATATTTTTTGTATTTTTTAAATAATTAACATATTTATATTTTTAGTTTAATATAATTAACTAATTTATTTTTTACTTTGAATATTAATTAAAATACTAATAATAAAATTTAGTTAATATTTATAGTTATAATAAATTTTTTCAATATAACAAAATTACTATAAAGAACACATATACAGAAATTTCTCTATTATTTTTAAAATTTTCATTTTTTGCCAACTATAATTTTAATATACTGTATAACAATTTAATTATATATTATTAAATGGTTATTAACTTATTTGAAATCGTTAATTGAGTTAATTATATTTAATTGTTATATTATTAACTATTATACATTTATAATTAGTAATGTTTTTAATAATATAACAATTTAAATGTCAAACTTGAAATAATTTTTAAAAATAATTTTCTAATATTTTATTAAATAGATTTCAAAGATATATATATGTATTATTAATATATAATATTTTTCTGAGAAATATCTTTATATCATATTTACACAAGTTTTTTAATTTAGAAAATTAAATTTTTAATTAAAAAAATATTTGTATATTTGTATCTTTTACAATTGTTTTTATAATAAATAAAAATAATTATAACTATCGTTTTCAATAACTGGTTGATCACTATTTCATATCGTTTTAAAAAATTCAAAATATATCTTTCATTTCTGTAGTTAAGCGATAAATATGAGTAAAGTTATAAATTGTTTGTAAATACAGTAAACAAGAATTATAATTAACTAAAATTATATTATCTAAAATATTTTTGTTATACAGAAATAATAAAATACATTTACTCTACATAATTAAAGCAATATTATAAATAATTTAAATAAGCTATAATACTAATAGTGTTAAAAGTATTGATATATATTTAATTAGTATAATATTCAGTGATAAATATTAAATAGGATATTTAATACAAAGTGTTAACTTCTAATAATCATTGAAAATATTTGAGTACATAAGTATCGTGCTTTGAATAATACAATATATTAGTCAATACAATACACAAAACTAATATAAAACTCTAGACATGTCTCTCTCTCTCTCTCTCTCTCTCTCTCTCTGTGTGTGTGTGTTTCTAAAACAACAAATATATTGAATTATTAATGCAATATATCTAATATTTTAATGAGATTTAAAAAAAATATTTGTTTATTAATATAAAGTATGACAAATATGACAAATATTTCAATAATTGTAAATTTAATTAAAAATAAATTATTTATTCTATTATTTATTTTTAGTATCTATTTTATTGTAATTTTTTGTAATTGTTATATAAATTGTTATATTTTTACTTTAAATGATAAAATATTTTGTGTTGTAAACATATAGTTTTTTATTGATTATTTAATCGTTTTAATTTAATCGATTAATTTTATTTAATAAATATTTCTTTAATAATATTTATATTTTACATATTTAATTAATCTGTGTTTCTTATAAAATATTTTTTTAAATTAAAAAATTATATATTATATTTTAATATAATATTTGGATTATCTTTAATGAATATTATCTTTAATTATAAAAATTATAATTATTATTAAAAATATGTGTGTCATATTATTATATATCTTAATAATATTTTAATAATTAAACTATTTTATATTTTGAATTATTTTCTAATATCAATTATGTATATGTAATGTAAATCTTAGTATTTATTAAAAACTATAAGTTTCTAAATATAATTTCTAAAAGTAAAGTATTCTTTTTAATATTTAAGACAAAATTATAATTATTTATAACATTTAAATTCTTTAACTCTATATTATATGTTATTTTATATTATAATTTTTTTTGTTAATTTTTTATAACTTACTAAATTTTATCAAATTTTTGATAGTTTTAAATTATGTAAAATGATTTATGTAAAACAACTTATAAGTAAAAATAAATAAACCTAAAATTTTATTAAAATATAAATTATATCCACACTTAATATTGTGAATTAAAATTAATGGTTTATTTTCGCTGGCAGCGAAAAACGAAAAAATGCATTTTTAAAATCTAAATTAAAAAAATCCTCTCATAAAAAATTTATTAAAAATAAAATAATATTAAATTTTTGTATGTCTTTAAAACATTATGCAGTATATATAAATTTAAATAGTAATAATTTTAAAATTAAAATTTCTCTATAGAAAACAGTTTAAAATTAACATTATTTATTTTTATTTATTTTTTACTAATTTCAAAATTTTCTTGACTATAACATTTAAATTGACTTAGATATTTTTATAACATTCAATATTAATTATTTATTACACAAATTAATATAATCATGTATAACAAAAATTGTTTAACTATTCATTATTTTGTCTAACAATAAAATATTTATCATTACTTAAGGAAATGTTAAATGTCGTAAAGAAATCGATGATTAAAATTTTATATAAATTTATTAGTAAGAGTACTGTTTTTATTGTTTGATTACTAAAGTAAATAATCGCATTAAAATATTAAATATTAAAAAATACATCATTTTAATCTTTGAATCAATATGTCTATATGCAATATAAAAGATCTATTTATTAGCCAAACATATATAAACTATAATGTCTTAGATAATATAATTTTAATAAATTTATTTTTTATTAATTAAAAAAATATTAATAAATAATAATAATTTTTTTGTGAAGTTTTTATTATTATTCTACTAAATTAATATTTATATAATATTTTAATTATTGTAAATATTGCAATAACATTACCAAAAAGTTTTCATATACTATTAATATATTAATTTCATATATTGCTAAAATTTATTTMTAAAATTAATTGTTATGTTTTGTTTAGGATTAATTAAATCGTTTAAGTAAAATTTAAATTTTAAAATGTATTATTATGTTTACATAATATTATTTAATAATTATAATTACATTTCATCAAATAGTATATTATAAATAATTATGTTATTAATGAATTGCTATAAACTTCTATAGAGTTTAAATTTAGAATATTTTTTTGCATATTAATAATATTAATAAATAATATTACTGTTAAATACATAATTATTAAACATAAATTTTATTGTATAATCGATAAAAAACATTATAATGATAATTATAATTATAATAGCTYAATAATCTCTTATTTTAAGATAAATATATTTTTACTTTAATTAGAGTTATGAAATATGCAATAAAACAAAAAATTCTAAAAAGCATACAAAGTAATAACACACAAATAATAATTATAAGTATTAAATCACAAAATTTTAAAAATTAAGTAAATATAATAATATTTTTAAAAATTATATTAAAAATATAAAAATAAATGTTTGTTTTAAAACTTACACTGATGTGACCTGGATCAATGGTAAGAGTATGCAAAGTGTATGTCCAAATAGCCAGTCATCCATTAGAATTCGGGTCACATTGAATGGTATGTTAATGGCTGTCATAACAATGTCAGATACCGTCAGATTAGCCATCAATAGGTTTGTCTCTGTTCTCATACGTCTCTTCTTGAATATCACATAACAGACCATCAGATTTCCAAACAATGAGATGATAACAATAGTACAGTAAAAACATATAATGATTAGATTGCGGACCCATTTGTCGTACAGATAATCGGGATGATTGAGAAATTGTTTTAACATTTCTCTAATATCATCGGCAGTCATATTTATTGTCGCATTACTGTCCAAMGCACTGTCCATCACTTTGATGGCACTTTCGTTTGGATCAATCATATCTATATCAGCCATAATTTTACGTTAATAATCTTTATTTGTTTGTCACTCGATTACTTGACTATGAATATCATATTGAATATCCTTACAATCTTTCATATAACTGTATGTATGTATATATATATATCAGTATATATATATTGATAAAAAATTAATAATATTGGTGTTTCAATCACATCCATACATCCATTTGCTTCACTGAATACATATGTGYGCTATTTTAGTCTTTCCACATCAATATGTGTGTCGAGTATTATGTCTAATAGTATGAAAACAATGTTAATTCAATGGACACCAAATCATTAATAATTTTTTTTGACTATTGTTACTGTACTTTGCTTTAGTTATAAACTTCATATATTAAATAGAATATTATGAAACATAAAACCACGTTTTTAACACAAAATAAAAGTAAAGATTTTATCTATGTTTTTATCTTTATATATATATATATATAATATTTACTATACTGTATACAATATAAATGTTGTTTTTTAAAAATGATGTTATTTTGTTTGAAAAAACAGACAGTCTGTGGTTTGTTTAAAAACGGTAAAAACATATATTATTAATAAACTGAACATAAATTTTGAATTACACGCCACAGATAAAAATAGAAACACTGATAAAAATTTTGAACTTTTTTAGCTTATAATTTTGACTGGACTTATGTCTAATGTACAATATTATATAAAATATTAAACAATAACAAAAAAGTTTATATTTAAATAATAATATTATGTTAGAAACATACACAAACTTACTTTTAAAAAAAATGTTTGTAAACTTTTTTTAACAATCAGTTTTCAGCGCCGGCTAATAAAAACCGGTAAATAATAATAATATAACTCATAATTAGAGAAAAAAACATATTTTTTTAACTGTCGAAAATCAACTACCAGTGCCGTGAATAGTGACTTAAGTAAATGAAAGAGAGTCTATATAGTCAGTCACAGCACATACTCTACAACACCGACAACTGTAAGACTGGAAGTTATTTTAACAATAAAATCGATTCAATGCGAGGAACTGTTACTCTTGTGCCGAATATACTGTATATACAATACAATACAATATATWGTATGAACAGTGAGTTTGCGTCCATACCTTACAGTCAAACGGCTTACAACTATTTTTGTGATATAAATTTAAAAAAATATAATATAGAAATTACTGTACATTTAGTATAATATAATATGCTGTACTCAAGTTAAAAAAATAATTTATAATAAAATATCTTTTTAAATTATAACAATTATTTTGATGCTAACTTTTCATAAATAGGTTAAAAAAATTTATCTCTCTTTCACACACACTTTCTATCTATCTATCTATCTATCTATCTTATATATCACTAACTCACTCATCTAAAAACAATACTATTTTATAATAAGTTCTTTATTTATAGTTTTCATTTTTATTAGATTAATATAATACACTTTTGTTCAATTAGGAGGTTTGCATACTGTAAATATTTTAAATAAATGTTTTTTCTAATATATTAAATTTTTGTTATATTTATATGTTAATAAAGGAAAATGTCATTTTATAAAATTTAATAAATTAAATTTATATTAAGTTCAGTAAACGTAATATAATCAACAATTGTATTTTTGTCACTTATATTGTTTCTCTTTTTCTTTGTAAAAATAAAATATACTAAATAATTATTTGTATAGTAAATTCTAGTTATATTTGAAAATACAACTTTAAAAATTTATATTATTAATAATATACAGTATATTCCAGTGTTGCCAAAGACAAAATGTTTGTATAATACACTGTATGCAGTACATACATAGTATACAGTATAATACATAACCAATTTTGCATACAAACAAAATTTAGCGCACCTAGTGCCTTGCGATTGGGATCATATAAGACAATATTAAAAGCATTGATATAAGCAAAATAAATAAGTTTTTAATAAATATAGATTTAATATTAATTTTCTATTGAATTTTTATTTTAATTAATTATATTTTTGTTATTTAAAAACAACGATTATTATAGCACTAATGCATTTTCTAGCAATTATATTATTATTGAATTTTTAAAATCAACATAGTATATATATTAGTTTTAAAAATTATATTATATAAGCAATACATTGTGTTATACTTTATTATATAAAAACCTTGTATTTTTCCGACCCTAGAATATACAGTACATGAATTATACTATAGTATAATTATACTACTGTATGTATAATAGATATATATAAAATGAGTTTATCTGTACTATAATTAATCATTAACTATAATTATGGTAAAACATTGTTATTAATAAATACAAATAAGTTTTAAAAAATGATATAAAACTAAATCAATCATAGTTTTTTATTAATCTAAAAATTTATTTTCAAATTAATTAAAGTATTATTTAATACATAATATTCTAGATTTATATTACAGATATTATTAGAGATGGGCAAATAGAAAGTTTCTAGAAAATTTCTCAGGAATAAATTTCTATAGAAATTTAACTTTATTGTTATACTATGGGATCCCCATATCTAGTTATTGTAATATTATAGATAAAATATTATACTATAGAGTATATACTTTACAGTACTATACAAATGTGATAACTATATATAAAATAATTATAATTATTTAATAATAATTAATTTTGTAAAATTGTATTCATCATTTTATTATATATACCATACTGTAGTTTAATTAATTAATTTCTTACTTTAATTAATAATTAAAATAATAATAATAATATTTACGGTAATGTATTATTATATGATAGCAATATCGAGATAACAAAATTAAAATGGGGATCCCATAGATAGAAATTTCTTTTAGAAACTTTCTAGAAATTTCTCTATTATTTTATAAATTTGTCTTTTTTGCCAACACTAGATATTATTAAAAGAAAATATGATTGATAACTGACTTTATTTGTATAATTGAAAACTTTATACTAAAATTATACATTATTCTAATAAATATTATTTTATAACATTAATGTTTACCATTTCTAGTGATTTAAAATCTATTTATTAAAATAAGATTTTATTGATATTTCAATGGAAAATATAACATTAATCTGATATTAATTGGTTTGTAAATTACATTTGTTTTTAAATAAGTAAAGCAGTGTCTGAGTGTTTGTCTGGAAAAACATATATTACAATATTATATGAAACTTTTRTTTTGATACATCTATAATTGCTTTAATTAATACTGTATATGAATGCAAATCATACATTTTAAATACAAATTAAAATATAACGTATAAACACATAGATTATAGTTTTATTTTGATATTTAGTTAAGTTTTGTAGGYTTAGGTAAATCTATTTATATAAAGTAAATGTTATTTCTTAGGTGATGTTAGTATATATATATACAGTATATACAGGTAATACACCCAATAAAGCTATGTAACCCTCGTTTGTCATAATATGCATTTACGGGGTTTTGAGAACTCTTAAACTATATTTCTCTCTCACAATACATTGGTTATAGCATTCAGTATAGCAGTCAATGACAGTCGACTGTTGATGAGGAGTATATATTCATCAACAATATGTCATATATTGGGAACAATTCTTTGTACACATAATATGTTAAGCGATTATTATTACTATTATTATTATTACTATTATTATTACTATTATTATTACTATTATTATTAATGTCTCATCAAAACTACTAAATATGATCAGTGATCCGTCAGGGTTTCGATTTCGGGTTGTCGTACCTAAAGGCCCGCAACTTAGCCTCTCAGCCATTGAGACCATATGAGAGAGAGAGAGAGAGAGAGAAAGAGAGAGAGAGAGAGAGTATGTATGTGAGTTTTATAAATTTAGATATAAAACAGAAAATTACAGAAAAATTTAACACATAAACTAATAGATAAATTCAGTAAAAATATTATAAATAGTATTATTTGAAGGAATGCACAAAAAAGATAAATCATGAAAAGATTGATACAAAAAACAGACTTATTAAACAAGAAATCCRATCAAAAAAACAAAACAATCAATTTATTAGTTTTTTTAGTATACCGTATAATATATTATAATAAAGTAGACGACAAAAAAATATGACTGTCTTTATAAGAATTTTGTAAACTTGTTTTATTCAAACAATTTGTTAATAATTCTTTAATTAAACAAAATTAATTAAATTATAAAAAATAAATATAATTATRATGTTAATAAACATACTGTATGTTTTTTAGTCACTAATTATTTTTAGTAAAATTTCATTCAAGTAGTYATTAAAAATAAAACATTCCTCTATGTTATAAATAATAATAATAATTTTATTAAGATTTTTTTTTAATTATATCTTGAAATGATGTAATAATATTTTATAAAAAAGCAAATAGCAAAATATATAGAATTTAAAGTAAAATGTATTAACTAAATAAAAATTGTGCATTTATTTTAATTTTTCTTATTTTGATATATTTATTAATAAAAACAAAATTTACTCATGTTTATTATAATGTATATTGTATTACTTTTATATTAGTTTAATTTAAATACTGCATTAATTTTATCAAATATATAAAAATTTAATATGAGAAACAAATTTAAACAATATAAAACTAAAAAATAAAATCCTTTTTCTTTTTTAATAAGAAAATATTAATTTGTAGTTATTTATATAAAAGAATGTTATTTATATTTATATAAAACTAAAATTTTAATTTACTTAAAAACTAAATAACAAACGTTTTCATATTCAACCGTTTAGACACAACAAGAACTTTATATATTATAATAAAAATAATAAATATTTATTTACAAAATACTAAATTATTGAATAGAAAACATTGAATATATAAAAATTTCTAATAAAAAATTATTATATGATATAACATAACAATCTTATGTCATATAAAAGCAGTGTTATGTGATTTGCTTTATACAATAGATTATAACTATATAAATACAAAATTAGCTCAAATTATATTATGATAACACAAATCAATTGATTATACTGTATAACATTTATATACTGTAGTACAGAATATCGTATTATATGAATCAT